CTGTCCCTAAGTGCAGGGAGGAGACTGGGGCCCAGGGAGGGCAGGAACAGGGTGGGCGGATGCCCCACAGGGCTGTGGCCAGGGGCTGGGTGGGCAGTTCCTCACCCCACAGTCTGACATCCCCTTAAGCCATACTGAGCTTGTCTGCTGCCTCCTCCTCTGAGGGGCTCCCCCAGACTAGCAGCCCAGGTGCATGTGGGCCCTGGGGCAGGAGAATGGGGGACTGGGTGCAGGCAGAGCTGGCAGCTGACCAGGATTTAAGTAGGAATGGGAGGGCATTTCCCGAATCCCCAGGCTCTATTTAGGTTGCTCCTATGCCTTTGGGATCCAGGCTGTGCCTTTGAGACAGGTCAAGCTATTGTCCGACCTGCCCTGGGATCTAGGCCACAGAGCCTTTGTACAAAACTGCCTAAAATGCAAATTTTTCAAGGAGAAAAAGACAGTAAAGTCATGCAACTTCCCTTTAACCATGGAAATGAGCTTCTGATAGGAAGGACATCTGTAGAAGCCCTAATCTAAACTAAGACAGGGTTCTCCGAGAGGAAGGGGCAGAGCTGACCCTGGACTGACCACAGCCCTCCACACACAGAGATGGAGACTCTGCGATGCCAAGGCCTGGGGCTCATGCATCAGCAGGCCCATGACTGTCCCCACCCTGATGACAAAGGAACAAATGGAGGCACAGAGCACTGGAGTAACTTCCCATCATGTGACATAACATGGCAGCCATTTAGGCTTGGACAGTGACACTCCAGAGCCCCTCCTCTGGACCACCCTGTACACAGACTACTGTGAGTAGAGGTATTCTATATTCCATTCTTACAGCTCTTTGGCTTTTACCTTTCACATTTAGGTTTTGAATCTACCTAGATTTTTGGGTTGAGAGAGAGTCCACTTTTTTTTTTTTCCAATATGGATAACCAATTATTCCATTCATTGAAAATCCAACAATTCCCCCTTGATCTCATACCTCCTTGGTCACCTATTGTGTCTACATATGAGCATTTGTTTCTGAGACTGCTGTTTTTTCATTGGCTATTTTGTCTACACTTGCAGCAATGTCTAATTGTTGTAGCCTACAGGGGTATGGGTGTCTTGACTGTTTGGCACTTCCATATAAATTTAAGAATTAACATGATATACACACAAACACACATCTATTGAAATCAAGGGTGGATTTTCATTGAGCCCACAAAACATTTAAGAGGGAACTGACAGGTTTATGTCATTGATTCTTCCATTCAGAGAACATGTATATCTACTTAATCTTTTAATATATCTGTTAATAAGGTTATATTTTCTTCCCAAAAGCTCTTGCCCTATTTCACTAATTTCTAAGCAGTTCACAAGTGGAATCTTTTTTTTTTTTTTTTAAGATTTATTTACTATGGCCCTCCCTTGTGGCGCAGTGGGTTAAAGCATAGCACTGAGAAGCTTAAGCCACTTCCGCATGAGTTCGATCCCCGCCTGCCCCGGAGGTGACTACATGGTGTGGCAGAGCTCTCCTGACCCGCCCACTGCTCCCCTCGGCAGTGTACTTCGTTGATCTGCCTGTTCTGCTCCCTGCTCTGTCTCTGGTGAATCCTCTCACCGTCCGCATCTCTGGCCTGTACCCCAGTTCTACATGAATAAATAAGATATGGGCCAGCAGTGTGGGGAGGGAGAGGATTCACCAGAGACAGAGTCGGGGGCAGAACAGGCTGACTGACGAAGTACACTGCTGAGGGGAGCAGCAGGCAGGTCAGGAGAGGTGTGCCACACCATGTGGATCACCTCCGGGATGGGGATCGAACTCATGCTGAAGTGGCTTTAACTTCTTAGTGCAGTGCTTTAACCCGCTGTGCCACCAGGGAGGGCCCCACAAGTGGAATCTTTATTAAAATATTCTCTCGTTTGTTGTTAACATATAAAAAGCAATTGACTTTTAAATACAGATTGTGGGGCCCTCCCTGTTGGCACAACAGGTTAAAGTGAAGCACTACAAAGGTAGCCACTTCAGCACAAGTTCAATCACCAGGCAGGAAGGTAATGCACATGGCACAGCAGACTTCCTGTCTCACCTGCTGCTCCCCTCAGCAGTGTACATCAGTCTGTCTGTTCTGTTCCCCACTCTGTCTCCAGTGAAACCTCTCACCACACCCCCACACCTCTGGCCTGAACCCATTCTTGTATGCATAGATTTTTGTATCCAGAAAAAAAAAAATTAAGTTCTTAATAATTCTAGTAACTTATCATGGATTCTTTGGGATTTCCTACATACATGGTGGTATCATCCATAAATTTGACAATTCCATTCACTTTCCACCTTTAATTATTGCATTGCTTTCCCTTACCTTATTGTGCTGGCTAGGAACTCTGGTTCAATGCTAAATAGAAGGGATGAGATCACAGGCATTCTTTGAATATTTCATTAATTTTAAATATGTAATTCACTGTAAATCTTTGCAGATACTATTTATGTTAAGAGGGCTTGCACTGTTACATTATTTTTAAAAAATTTAAAAAGAGGGCTTGCAAAGATTTTAAAACATTAATAGCTGTCAAATTTTATCTAACCAATCCTTTTCATCGGAGATGATAGTGGGTTTTCTCCTTTAACCGCTAGTGGGGTAAAGTGTGCTGACTGAATTCAATGTTAAGCCATATTGCAGAGTTGGAATAAATCAAATTTGGTAGTTAAAAAAAGTTAGATTTATGCGGTACCATGTAAATGAATGTTTGTGTCCCCTAAGAATTCATACGTTGACACCTAATGCCCAATGTGATGGTATTAAGGGGTAGGGTTTGAGGGAGGTTATTAGGGCAGGAGGGTAAAGTCCTCATGAATAGGATTGGTATCCATATAAATGAGAGTCCAGGAAGTTCCTCACCCATTCACTATGTGGGGACACAGTGAGAAGACTGCCATCAATGAAACAGGAACCTTTTCATCACAACAAACCAAACTGCTGGTTCCTTGACTTTGGACTCTCCAGCCTTCAGAATGTCAGAAACGGCGGTTGTTTATTAGTCACTAATCTACATTATTTTGTAATAGCAGCCAAAATGGACTAAAATAGGCAGCTGTGAACTTCAGATAGATGCAACTATTTTGATTGTTCTGTAATACTGTCTTTTCACTCATCATGTTTCAGAATCAAGGTTCTATAAGCCTCATAAAATGAATTAAGAATGCTCTTTTAAACACTGAAATTGGACTCTCCCTGGTGGTGCGGCGGGTTAAAGTGCAGCACTATGAAGCTGTCCACAGCCACTGTAGCACAAGTTTGATCCCCGGCCAGGGTGGTGACCCACATGGCATTGCAGACCACTCCTGACCTGCCTGCTGCTCCCCTCAGTAGTGTATTTCAGTCAGCCTGCCTGTTCTGCTCCCCACTCTGTCTCTGGTGAATCCTCTCAGCCCCACACCTGTGGCCTGTACTTCAGTTTTTGTGTGTGTAAATAAATAATTCTTTAAAAAAATTATAAACACTCAGAAATTGCTTTCACAAAAATAGAATTATTTATTCCCCTAGTGCCTCATAAGCAAAGTCACCACAATCCCAAGTTCCTGTGTGGGAAAACTTTTGGCTACAGCTTCTGATAATGGTTATAGAACTACTCAAGTTACTTTTTTTTTTTTAGATAGTTTTGGCAAGTTATATATGTCTGCAGTAATTGTCCATTTTATCAAAAATTTCAACCTAATTGGCATAAAGTTGCCTTTTTAGATACTGGTCCAATTATCCTATCAACGGAAGACCACCAACCTTTCTGGCCAAAGTCAAAATATCATCACTGAGTGATATGTGAAGTATGGATGTGTTGGGTTGGTTTTCACTAGCTCTTTGCTACTTCCACATGTCTGCAATTCTATCCCTTCTCATTAGACTGCCCTTTCTTCCCCTTTATTACCTGGCTGACTCCTCATTTTATAAAACTCAGTTCAGGCACCATATCCTCCAGAAAGCCTTCCAAACTGGGCCGAGCATCTGAGCCCACAGGAACCATCACAGTTACTGCATAACCACACAGCATGGAAATTTTCTGTATCAGACTTCCCCACTAGACTGTGAGCTCCTTCCTCAGTGTCCCCAGAGCAGAACAGAGGAGACCAGACAATATTTGTAGACCTGAACTAAGCGTGTCACCACTAAATGGCCAGCTAAGTTCTCGAGGCATGCCTGGCAATACTGCCCCTCCCACTCCCTCATTTGCTTGTCGTTATTTATTCAGCATCTATTATATGCCAGGTAGTTCTAGAAGAGTGGCCAGTGGGGAAGGAGGGAAACTAGGTGAGCAGAGTGTCCTAGAAACCAAGTGAAGAGCCATTGAGGTTGAGTTATCAACTGTTTCAGATGCGGCCAATAGATCAAGTAAGGTGAGGTCTGAGACTTGACCATTGATGTAACAATCTATCTTGAGTGACTTTGGCTCTTCTGCTGAAGTGGCTGGGCAAAACATCTGATGGGGGAAAAAAAGCTTTTTCAGAAAAGCTTTGGCATGCTGGAGAACTGAAGAAAGCTTACATAAGCATTTCCTTCAAGAAGTCTGGCTGTAAGGGGAAGTAGACAAATCAGTGGCACTTTAATTTGCTAAGTGGAGCCGACACTTACATGCAGTAAATGTATCTATCCTTTTCCAAACAGTCTGGGCTCTGGGTTTCCTGTTTTGAGTTAGACATGTGTTGTATATGGACAGCAACTCTGGCCTGATTTCTCTCAGTACATTAAGATCTCCGTCCTTCCTCAGATCTCGCCCATCTTGGCAGCAGGCCGTCTCCCTATTGAGTGTCATGGGCATTTTTTTCATTAACCTCAAAACCTTGTGGCTGATGTGCAACCATTATTCCCACATCCAAAAGTGACCACATCCACCACTGTAACCGCATGTGTGTCACCAAACCCTGTGTGGCCACATTCCCTTCTCCCCGACAGAATGTGGGAAAGACCAAAAAGACCTTTCCTCCTCCCCCCCCCCAAAAAAAACCCAGACCATGTGGTTTAGGACAAGGTGAGGGAACAAGAACATTTGAAATAGCAGCAGCAGCAGTCATGACCACATCCCAACCCCTCACTCCCAACGGCCCTCCCACAAAACAACGTGACCACCCTGCCCATTTACCCACCCTGCCCACTCATGCTCAAACAGGAGACACTGCACAGGAGGACACTTTGTTTCTCATAGAGCTCTATTGTGGCATATAATAATAGGTACTCTATATAAATTAAATTAAAAATAAAGCTCCAGCAGGTTGCACAGGTTGGCTGTTAATAAATATATCTCTGGGTAATTGTGCCCCAAGACCAGCTCACGACCACTCTCCCTCATCCAGAGAATTATACAAAAATAAATACAGGCTCGGGGTGGGGGGGAGGACATGCCCAGTTCCATTCTAAAGTTTTCATTCACACCTTCCAACAGTCCCTCCTCCTCTCCACTGGTGTCACTGCAGGGAGCCCTATGCAGACAAGAGCTCGGGGACTTGGACAGGGACAGGAAGGAAGGCTCTCTCCAGTGGAAACATTCTCAGAATCAAAGGACCACGGTCTCTTCACTGTATAGGTCACATATCCCATCTGATCCCTCTGGCGGTGGTTCAAGGCCTTCCCCTCCCGGGGCCCCAGAGAGAGAGGAAAGCCTGTTGTTGCTGATCCCACCAGCAGCCCCTACGAGAACCAGGCCAGGGAGAGGCACAGTGCAAGCACCAGGAGGGACATACCACTGTTCAGAGCCACAGGGACCACCACCAACCCAGCCAAGACCCCCAGAGTCTGGGTCAAAGGTCCCCGGAGCTGGGGAGGTAATATACACACACATTCTGCTGGGGCTCCTGGGGTGGGAGACCTTTTGGGGGACTCAAGGCTTGGGCCTGAACCTTCTTCCTCCTGAGAGCTCGTGTGGGACTTGGCCAGGCTGGAAGGGCAGACTTCAGTGCCTGAGGGGCCAAGGAGGGTGAGATTTTGCCCCTGAGGGGCTGGAGCAGCTAACTCCTGGCCAGACATAGGAACCAAACTGTCTGCCCACTCACTGGTAAACTCCATCTGGGCTTCTGTCCCAGACACTCCCAGGGACCCTGTCACCCCAGCTATCATCCTAGTCATGTGCAAAGAATCAGTATCCTTGTCCATCCCCTTTCCTGAAGCCACAGTAAACTGACCCTCTGTCCCCAAATCCACAGGGCTGTCACATCCCGAACCCTCTGCCCAGGGGAGCCACACATCTCCCATAGTGGCTACCACCGGATGGGCCCCACAGAGTATTTCTGGAGGCGACTCCTTTGGGGTGTCCCCTTCAGGACTGGAGGGTATCACGGAGAGCCCTTCTTCGCCCTCCCCCTCCTCATCAGGGTCCTCTGTGTCCTTGATGAGCTCCACACCACGCCCCAGGCGGGCATAGTGCAGGGTGATCTCCTCAGCCAGGGCGCTGTTCAGGGCCCGCTCGGGGCCAGGCCACTTCAAGATGAGGTCGCGGTCCGTGAGTATGCCCAGGGGCTGGCTGGGGGACAATCCCCCATCTGCAGGGCCCTCCCCACCACCTCCCGCCCCACCTGCAGCCACAGCAGCCCGAAGGCGGCTCAGGTGGGACAGGTAGAGCTGCTCCAGCTCCTGGTCAACGGTGTCCTCGCCAAGAAGCTCCTCCAACCCACTCACGGCCTCCAGACCCCCAGGGGGCTCATCCATAATGGCCCCCACCATAGGGTCCTTTCGGCCCCTTCCATTCTCGCTCAGCACTTCCCACGTGGTCTCCACCTGGTGCTGGCTGGGTTCCAGAAGAGGCCCCGCTGGCCCCTCACTTGCATCGGGCCCTGAGGCCTGGTCCCTGGGGGCGCCTCCCAGGCCACAGAGAGAGGAGGCAGCAGGGATCCTGATGACTGGTGCCTGGGGGACCTCTGTGAAAGCCACCGGTGGACTGCTTCGAGGGCCATCTCCTTCCTCTGGGGTTTTGCCAGTCACTGTAACTTCAGACACCTGGAGCCATGGTGGGAAAGGTGGGGTGGGAAGGGAAAGGGAAAGGAATGAAGGAGGAAGGGGTGGAACAAGTAGAGATTTTGAGAGGTGGTGACAGCCACCCCCACCCCTACAGCCCTTTGTACCAAAACTCCCCAAAGAACATTCCATAATTCTGTAAACTCCAAAGATGGTGTTATTTGTATTACAAATACAAAATGAGATGGTGTAAAAGTGGGCTTCCTGCTAATGAGAAAGCAAGGAATTCAGTGGGCACCAAGACCTGGTAAAGGATTATCAATAAACATTGCTGGCTCACCTTCAAAACATATCCAGAAAAGCCATAGAATTCACATCTTCCCTCTTTTTAAAAAAAGTATTTCCCAGCTCCATCTTTTGACAAAGCCTGGAGACTAGCCTAGCATGCAGCTCGAGATCTCCAACTACCATTCTCCTCTAAAAAGAGCCAGGATTCCTTTAAGAAGCGGCTGTTTCCACTCTTAAGAGGAGTCTGGGACAGGGCCCTCCCTGGTGGTGCAGTGGGTTAATGCACAACACTGGGAGGCGATCTGCAGCCACTGCAGCAAGAGTTCCATCTCGGGGAGCTGACCCACATGGCGTGACAGGCCCCTCCTGACACGCCCGCTGCTCCCCTCAGCAGTGGATTTCACTCCATCTGCCTGTTCTGCTCCCCACTCTACCTCTGGTGAATCCTCTCACCGCCCACACCTCTAGCCTGTACCTCAGTTCTGTATGCATAAATAAATAAATCTTCAAAAAAAAGATGAGTCTGGGACACACTGTCGTAGCAGTATTTGAGGGGCACTCTGAGAATGGCTGGGCAGTGCCCAAAAGGCTCCGGAGACCAGCTAGACAAGCTCCCACTGGCCAGGGAATTGCGCGCATGCATCAAAGTAAGTAAATGAGGGCATCGGGATTGAAACGCATCCAATTCATGTGTTCATAATGATACGACAAAAGTAAACATTCTTTAATTGGTCACCTTTGGAAAAATCCGTTTCTTCTAAAAGCTGGTAAATAAAGTAGAAGGTTAAACTAAACAGATTAAATGAAATTGTGTTAAGTTTAAAAGGAAAAATTAAGTATTTATACAGATTTTTCTATACCAGTTGAAGTGAAAGCTTTTCTTTCAAGAATTTTAGGTAATAAGAAGGACCAAAAAGCAAACAAACAAAAAATAAAGAATAAGAGAAGTATTCAATTGAAAGTAATAGATTAATAAATGTAATAAAATTGATAGCTTCATGAATTTAACTATAGATGACATTAATTAAATAGAATGAATAAATTAATAAAATAGAGTAAAAAACATGTTTCCACCTGGATATAATAAGCCAGATTCAGAATGCAGGAAATTCTACAGGGCAAACAAGGTTTCTTCAACAAACAAATTGCAAGGAAAAGGAGGAAAATTTCAAAAATCTCAAAAAGACCCATTAACCAATTGCAAAGTATTACCCTTGTTTGGACCCTAAAATACTACAAGCAAAGAAAATTTTAACAGTGGCCAAATATTTGATGATACTAAAGAATTAGTGTCACTTTTCTGCAGTGTGATGATGGGATTTTTGCTTGTTGTTGCTGCTATTTGGGGTTTTTGTTTGTTTTTTAGAATTCTGAGGTTCAAACTAAAGTATTAAAGAATGGGATAATGTCTGGATTTATCCCAAAAACTAGGGAGTGAAGGGGAAGAGGTGGGGAGACAGAAAAAGTGGAGCTGGACATGTGTTGCAATTTGTTCCAATTGGGTGATAGGTGTAAGTGGCTTCATTAAACCGGTCTCTTTACTTTTATGTTTAAATTGTTTGTTCTAAAAAGTCAGCACACACACACACCTCAGAATCTCTCTGCCAGCTCGAAGAACGGCCCCTGCTCACCAGGACCCCTACAGTCGCCTCCAGCTCACTGTGCCCCACCCAGCCACAGCCTGTTCCCCTCACAGCAGTCAGAGGGAGCCCACCAAATCCTACAAAAGTGCCGCTATGCTCTCAACCATCTGGTCACTCCTGTCACTCAGGGTGACATCCAGAGTCCTCCCCATAGCCCTCTGCAGTCTGTCTCTGCCACCTCCTCTCCCACCTCACCCCTGCAGCTCCCCAGCACTGCTCTTCACACACCCTTGTCACAGCCCGCCTCCTCTTTCTCTCCTCCTCCTCTTCTCCCCCCAAGTCTTTCTTCCCTTAATTTTTTTCCTGAATACTTATCACCACTGTAAATACCATGTATTTTAACTATTATTTTGTTTTATGATGTCTCCACTAAAATGTAAGCCCTCCAAAGACAACATTTTGGTCACTACAGTATTCCCTGCATCCATAAGTGCCAGGCACAGAGCAAACACTCAGTACTAATATTTCCCAAGCCCCAAGTGAATGGAATTTCTCAAGCCCCAGGTGAAAACCTGTTTTCTACTCCTCCCCCAATGAGGCTCTAATTTGGGGACCTCTCTCTGACCTCAGGTGAACGCAGAACAAGTCCATGACCAGCACCACCCAGCCTCCCAGCAAGCTGTCCATCCAGATTTGCTAGGGCCCACTTACCTGAAGTGTCATCTGGGGCCATGGACGAAGAGGAGTGGGGGCCACCAGGGGACCAACTGACTCCTGGACATCAGGACGCTCCGCTGGAGAGAGAGAAGGGCAGTGCTGGGGCAGGGCAGTGCACAAGTATGCCTGCCTTGATTAAGGAAATCTGCTTCTCACTTAAGTCAATTGACAGTTTGGCTTCTGATGCTTCTGTGACACTCTAAGGCAGAGGGTGTCTCTTAATTTGTATGGAAAGAAAAGGGAGAGGAAGAAAGAAATGGTAAATATTAGCACAAACTCCTACCCGCTGCAGTCAGCTGCTTACCCACAATAGTGGTATTATCATCCGGGCTCCTCATTTTCATCTTCAGCTCTTCCTCATTAGGCCTGTGGGAAAGAAGAGAGAACAGATGGATCTGTGGACATAATTTCACAGCTGCCTTTGTCCACTCCCAGGAAGAAGCACTATACACTGTAAACATCTGAAATGGCTGTTTACCACGCATAGCAATGGGCTCATGTAAGCTGTGTGACCATTCCTTTCCTACCGAGCATCTCGGTCATTCCCCTGTGTGTTCTCACAGGACAGATTTCAGCAGACAACACTGGGCAAGCTAAATGATCATTTAGCTTGGATCATTTCTTTGGGGCATATCCCTGGCTGTGGAGAAAACTATCTTTTCTAAAGACTTAAGTGAGGACCATGGAACACAAGAAGCCACAAAGGAAGGAGGGAGCGACAGGAGAAAGGGAAGGTGGGAGCAGAAAAAGGAAGTAACCCGGGGTCACAGAACCACCCTCCCGCTCATCCCTCAACCAGCCTGGCAGGCCAGTTAGCCTCCCTAAGCCTCCTCCTCCTCACCTTAAAACAGAGCACAGGGTACTGGGCAATGCACACAAGATCAGATAAGAGAAATAAAAACACCACACCAGACACCAGTGCCTGGCAGAGAGCAGAAGCTGAACCAACTGTAGGCATTCATGGAGTTTGTTCCTCCTTCCTTCGTCAGGCAAGTCAGACCCCAAGGTTTGAGTGGCACAAGCCAAGTGTATTTTAGCCAGAACCTGTTAGGGGTGGGGTCATGGGCAGCAGCAAGAAACTTCTGCTCTCTTCCTCACAAATGAGCAGCAAATGTTTACAGATTAAGGCGAGTGAGGACAGCATTAACTGAAACAAGTTCAGAGACCTGAGAGCAGCTGAGGCAATTGTTCAAACCTTATGCTTCCTAAGAGGTAACCTGATGATGTTGACATTTTTGGAAGTGGTAGCAACTTCTCAAAAACACATAACTTCCTTCATGAGCTGACCTGCATATAATACTTACTATGGTGCTAGACACCACTGTAAGTAGACCCTAGATATTAACTCAATCCTCACGACATCCCTGTGAGATAGGTACTCTGAAGTAGGCAGCTATTCTATCTTCCAAATGATGACAAGGTCAAGCAACTAGCTCAAGGTCAAGTAGTAAAGACTGAAACTGGGTCTTTGAGTTCCTAAGTCTGTGCTCCTAACCAACAAACTTCAGCTTCTTGGACAAGGAAGTCAGGGCTCTTTCCCCAACCCATTCTCCAGTGCGCTCCAAGAGGACACAGAGGAAGGCATTAATGACACACCGAGATCACCACCATTCCCCTCCTGCACTCAGACTTGTCTCTATACCTCCCTTTGGCCCACACACCTATTCCCAGCTTCCCTATTTTTGTGGAACGCTGGCTACAAGACCACCAGATACAGAACTGCTTTCTCTAGCATGCTCAGGGAGGACACTTGAACCACCCACATGGAACCAGAGCCTGGGAGCTCTGGAAGGGACATCTATCTGTCTTGTTCCATGGACAAGAGTCCACCTCTCCCACCAAAGATGTGTAAATCTGAATACTACAGGGCCTGGCGACAGTGACTCAGGGAGCCCAGCCACTGATTCCTGTACATCATGGAAAAGAAAGGGGGATACAGAGTAAGCCAGCTTGGTCCTGCACCAAGTGCCCTCAGAGGGGTCTAAAATCCAGGTCTTCAGATTTATGACCCAAGGTGACTTGTGTGAACTTCTTTTGCTGCTGCAGTCTTTCTTCAAAGAAAGTCCCTTCCAAGGATCTCCTGAAGCAAGCCTCTTCAAGAAGAAACAAAGACAGAAAGGCAGTCCTCCGCTGGGAGCATGCCTAGGCAAGCCTTTCCCTACCATCTGGCCAGAGCCAACCACAACCAGGCTTCTAGAAGCCACTCCAGAGTCCTAGATGGACACAAGAAGGGAGGTGGGGGGACAGGAAACTCAGAACAAAGTCAAGTAGCAGGAAAAGAATTCCACGGTTAAGGGAAGAAGAAAACAAATACAAAATAAATTCCTCAGCCCCCAGAGTGTCTTTTCTGCAGCCAAGGAGGGGGACCATCCAAACAGCAGGACAAGCAATTGAGCCAATCCCAAGATCAACAAGGTCAACAGAGACACTCAAAGGTCACTCTTCCTACCTCCCAAATCAGAGGTGGAAGCCAGAGGACCAGCATTTATTAGCCCCTCCGTGGGCCCTTTAAATTAATTCACCAATCATTTGAAAACCTTCCTATCTTTCCCTCAGAGAGCAACGCCATTCCCTTTTGACAAGTGTGGAAACTGAGGCTCAAGGAACTGTGTCTCTACACCCACTAACCGCACACCACACTGAGAACATCCAACAGGGCTCCATTTTAAAGACTGTTTGAAACCGAGGGCTTCAGAAAGAAAAGAAAAAAAAAAACTAAACATCCTTGAAGTGTCTTTTACGGTAAACACTCGGGACAGCTATGACTTGAACAAAAAGGCAGCTGGTGAGAGAAATGGAACACAAATGCATATTGACTGTGATCAATAACAGAGAAGAGGGGTTCTTAGAAAAATGGGGAGAGAGATTCAGAACAAAACTGTACCACAGTATGCTTGCACACTTTCGAGAAGGAAACCTGTTCTTTTGGTACCAGCCCCACAAATGCCACATGGTCTCAAGGGCAGTGGGCACTAGTACACAGACCTGGGGGTATTTCGGGCACACACCCTCTGGGGCAAGCTGGTATGACTTAAAAGGGGCCAGGCTGGCCGACATGCCAGCCTCCTGGGTGTGAAACATTCCTCCTGCCACCGGGAAGCTCCATGGCCACTGACCTCAGGTAGCACCCAGGGGAACCAGGGCATGAGATTTTCAGAAAGAGGTGCCAACTGGCCCCAGCCTGGGCCAGCAGGGACAGAAAAAGGTGACTCGGCACAGAGAGAGAGGACTGACAACCTCCGTGAGGAGCAAAGCACTTTCAGAGCAGCCACGTTCCTGCCATCGCCACCACTGCCACGCCTCCCACCTCCCCTTCTTGGTGAACACCCCAATGCTTATGTTTTCGAAGAACTTGGCCAGCCCAAAGTGGGTCACACACCAAAACCCAAAGGGAAACTCAGCAGAGCCTGGCTCCCGTGCAGTCAGCCCAAAGGCAACGCTGACTCTCTGGGGCTCAGGGGGTTTCAGAAAGCTGCTGGGTACTTGGAATCCCAGTTACCCTCAGCCATCTGCTCTCTGAGGACTGTCTGAAGGTGGCTATAAGAGCCAAGTTCTGCAGGGCACTGCTCTGCGCACCCCTGGAATACACCGTGTCCAGTGTCTACGGCAACTCTGGGCTTCTAGACCAGCCAGCAGGCGCAGAGAGAGCAGTCTACTGTGCCTGAACCTTCCGTCACAGCATGACCTCAGCCGTTGGGTGCATTTCACATGGTAGACCCAGCACACCCATGCTGGTGTCAACATACATGACTCAGAGCAGCTGCTCTGGGCACAACACTTGCCCTTGCGACATGTCATGATGCACTCTCTTTCCTATATGGCCCCATTCTTGGAAAATGCTTGTTGGAATCCAGTAAACTGATTTCACATCTCAATCAAGAGCCATGACATGTACTTTTGAGTAATCCCAGCTCTGCCACCTACCAGCTGTGTGACCTTAGCAAGTTACTAAACCCTCTCTATGCCTCAATTTCCTCATCTGTGAAAAGGGTAGAACAGTAGTAATAATTAATTCTACCATGGAGGGGAGGGTTTGAGAAAATACTTGAAAATTGCTTGGATCGTGCTTAATGGTAATCTCCTCCAAATTCCCACTGAGGGAAGTTGAGGCTCCAAAAAAGGAAAACAGCTTGCTCCACACTGCCCAGCAGCCTGGCATAGCAGATAAAAACTAGGGCACTACAGCAGGACCTCCCCACCCCAACTAGTTCAGTTCTCAGCTCTGCCACTTGCAATGTGTGGCCTACGGCCCACATCCTTATCCACACAGCCCTGCCAGTTTTCTAGGAACAGAAGAGGATCACTTTCACACAAAATCCTCTCTCCAGACAACTAAGAGGGCTCCCGTTTCAACTTTGATTGTTCTGGTTTCCCCTAAGCCTGCCAGCTCTGGGTAGCAAGTGGGGTCCCCATCCATTCAGGTATAGGTGAGAAGAAAAACCTCTATGGTCTTACTGCGCAAGCAGCTCAGTGACAATACCCTGGAGACACAACAGTGAGCAAACCCAACTAGGAAGTTTACGATTTAGTGCAGAGGAATACATTAAAAAAAAAAAATACTCACACTCATTCTTTCAACAAACATTTATTAAGCGCCTGATACGGCCAGTCACCATGGCAGGCCCTGTGGGAACACAGCAGTGAACACAAGTAGGCCAAGTCCCTAGCCCTCACGGAGCTTACAGTCTAGCAGGGCAGAGAGGGTCATCCAATCCTCTCCTGAAGGTCCAACAGGAAAGTCTGACTGAGGTCAGTGACTTCAGAAAAGTAAAGAAGACCCTAGAACCAAGTCCTTGGTCAAGCTACAGGCAGATGCCTGGAAGGAAGACAAGCAGAGAGGGGTAGAGGAGCATGAGGTGGCTCAAAAGACGGGAGGGGAAGCAATGCAGTTGATCTTGAACCGGGGAGACACCGAGTTTGGATATGAGGCTGCAGGAAGGAGCGAGGAGGAAAAGAAGGGCCGGTGGGTTAAGAGGAAAAGCAGCAGAACATGGTCCCGAGGCTGGGCAAAAAAGTTAAGCAGAGTACTCAAGCCTTTGAGAAGAAAACCATAAAACCACCAATGTAGTCTTGGAGGGTTGAAGCCAATGGAGGTGACGCTTTAGAGGGGTCAATCATGAGATGGAGGATGATGAGGGGCGGGCCACAAACAGTAGGCACAGAAGGAGGGGTCAAAGCACAGACTGTTAAGATGGTAGAGATGCTAGCACGTAGAGATGCTAGCACATATAGCGGCCAAAGAGAGGATCGGGTGAGGATGACAGTGAAAAGTTGTCAGGAGAGGAAGGGTAACTGATTGTCAGGTGCTGGAGCAGGTCGGGGGGACAGGCCTGGAGGAGGCCCCTCTCCTCCCCTGTAACACAAGGGAGGGAAATCAGTCTGTAGGCTTGGGGCTATACCAGGTGTGGGCTATACCATTTTTATAGCCTCTATTTGGTTTTTTAAAGCAGGAAGTCTGAAGGTAAAGAACATTTGAATGAATATCATCAGGAAGCAACAAGAGTGGATCAGGAAAAAAAACACCACTGGGCAAGCACTTCCAGGCAGGGTGGGAAATGATCCCGAATTTGTGGTGATGTTCATCTGCTCTGCCGGGTGATGTTCTCTAACAGGGTGGCCTCTAACAACCAGTGCTATGAGAAAAGCCAGCCCTAAGGAGGCTGGAATGGATGGGCAGACATCCCCAAGGAAGCAGTCTCAGAACTGAAGGATCAAAACAAAGAGACTGCACAAGGCACAGAACTCACATTCTTGGTCATGCAACAGAAACAGCATGGGCAGAGGCCCTGCAGCACTAAGGCGCTAGGCACCTCGGAAAGACCACAGTGACAAGAGCTTTGAAGACAGAAGATTGCCTAAGCAAGTGAGACTAGCAGTCGAGGCTGCCAGACTGAGGGACAGGCGGGGGTGCTTGAAGGTCCTAGCCAGGCTTCCTCGAGCTTTATTTTTAGGAACAATAGGATACCTCCTGAGGTATTAACCCAAGGCAAATCAGGAGGGCTCCTCCCCCAAACCAGCCCTGGGACTTTGGACTCTGAGAACCTCTATTTGCTCACTCAGGAAAGATGGATAAAACCTATTCACGGGAAATGGAAAAGTCAGATGAGCTTTTGCCTGAAAACACTCATGTAAGTGCCCAGCAAAGGGCAGAGTCTCTGCAAGGTCTCATACAAGCCTCTGTACCTGCCCCTCCCACCCAGTTCTACCACAACCCTTTGCCATCTTAGCTCTAGTCTGCCTCTTTTTCCCTGTTGGAGACCAGTACTGTGCCCAGCACATAGTAGGCTCTCAATAAATGCTTGCTGTGGATCACCTGAAAATCTAAGCATTATCAAAAGCCTGTTTCAGCAATACCAGGAATTCATCTCTTCCAGTCTCTGAGCTGTATTCAGATGGCTACCAACTTCTCACATGCCCCCACCTAATGTGGCTGCACCCAGCACACAGTGGGCCTGCAGCCAACACTTCCGGATCAGGAGCCCTCTGCAATGGGTCCCCCCAGATTCAAGCTGGCAGCCCCTGACCTCCTCTACTGTTTCCCAAGAGGTGGCTGTTCTTCAACAGCACTCCAAGGCACCAGCAGCACACAGGTTTTAAAACAATAATAAGCTGAAATGTACTCGCCAAGAAAGCTACCGACCTACAAAGAAATATCTTATCGCTGATCTTGCAATGAGCACCAACCTCCCCTTTGCAAGAGCTGAGATCAGGAGATAAAGAAGCTATCAAAAAGCCATCTGCCCACTTAAAATAATATCACAAGTCATGTTAGGAACCACAGACCCGGGGCCAGATACCAAAACAATTGTCTGAACGGGCTGCTTCAATTTCTCCTTAAAACCACCCATGTATTTTAAAAGAAAAACACCCTCTCCACCCACCTTGGCCCTGTTCCTTTCCTTTCACACTCTTTAAAATGACCAAACCTTATTACCCAAACTGTCACATCTTACAGAAAGGGCTCCCACGAAAACCGGCTGGGATGACAACTTGGGAAAAGTGACAGACATGAAGGTGATTATGGCACGGGAACCATTTGATCTGGGTGATGGCTACACATGAGCATAGATATGTGTAAATCCACTGAGCCTTACACTTCGGATCAATATACATTATGCCAGTGTACCTTAATAAAGAAAAAAAAATGGTACCAGGAAAGCACGACATGCTGGGAGCATCAGGAGCAAAAGGCGGGATCTGCCCTGAATCCTGTCAGGTCTTCAAGAACAGTACTGGAAAAAATGGCCTTGGCATCCACACCCTGGTCCTGTCACTCACTACCTGAGCCTCAATGAACTTGAGCAAGTTAGCTCACCTCTCTGTGCTACCTGTTCCCACCTCTATGAAATAGGCGTGATCAGAGCATCTATAACACACAGCATGCACAGGCCTTGGAGCAGATCAATTTGAAACCCTTAACACAGAGATCAGTAAACGTTGGTCACTGTTGCCGTTCAGTGACAACCATGCTTCAGTTACCTTGCTCAGGTTTGCCATGTCCAATTCCACCACACAAAGTAACTGTCATTCCCCTTTATTAGATGAGAAAACCAAGGTTCACGGGTGAAGAAACTGAGACAAGGTACACAGCCGGTGACAGGCAGAGGAGTTGGAAAGGGGAATCCAAGGAACTTGTGTGCTTCCGTGAACAGGAATGCTAATACCTGGCCAGGCTGCGTTTGGAGTGCTTTTTACTCATCTGCTGTGAAGTTGGGCTGAAATTATCTGTCTCACAGATGAGGGTATTGATGCAAAGTGCAGTTAAATGAGTTGGCCAAGGTCACAAGCCAATGACAGCAGGGCTGGGCTTGAACCCAGGCCCTCTCTTAGGATCCACAGGCTTAATTTAACTCTGTAAGGAAAGCCATACTACCTCCCCCTTTAGACTAAGTCTCAGGTTATTATGGGGCTCCCAAGTCAGTGAGTGGGTGCTTGTGTGCTTGCTCACTTAACCCAGACACCTCTACCCACCAGCCTCAAGCACTCACAGCCTGAGGCCTGGTGAGAACCACAAACATTTTGTTGCAGGCAGAGGATTACCATCAAGCATATACAAAGTCCAAAAAGCACTTTCCCATTCCCATTCCTCCCAGGAACAGGGAAATGTATACATTTCCCACACATGCACAGAAAATCTATTCGCCCCAGGCTAGACTTAGATGGCCCCCAAAAGAACCAGGCCTAGCTGCTACACTTGAATAACTCACAGCTTGATGGAAAACACCTAGGAGACTCTTACATGGCGATATGGCAAAAACCAAGCTTCATATCCAGGCCCAACAGGTTCTGCCCTGCCAGAACCACTGCTTCCCTGGAGAGTACGGGCTCAGACCCTCACCTCCACAGGCCTCAGACTAGATTAGAGCATAACAAGAGAGAGTGCACAGGTTTCGAGGTCAGACTTGGCCAAACTGCAAAAGCCAGGCACCATCACTTCCTCAACCAGTTTCTCCCTCTGGAACCCTATTTCCCTGCTCTGTCAAAGCGGGATCCGATTCTCTGCCCTTGAATGGCAAGGCCCTTGGTCCGCGCTACCATATCACTGCAGTTTTCTCCATTCCAGCACACTGTCCATTATTCACACCAAGCTCATTCCCAGCTCAGGACCTTTGCACTTGCTGTTCCCTCTTCCTAGAACACCCTAGCACCCATGTGTGCATAACTTTTCTCGTCATCATTCAGGACTCAACTGAAATGGCAACGCCTCAGAAAAGTCCCCCTTTTCTACAAACTCTCCTCCCCACACCCCACCATGTCTGTGCACAATTTTATCATCCAGGACTCACCCCCTCAAAAGCCCTCCCATACTATCACCTTACTCTATGGTACTTTCCCCTCAAAAACTAACCTTATCACTATTTGCCTGCAATTATTTTTACAAACTGTCTCCCAAAGGAGCCTGTATGATCCTTGAGGGAAGGGAAAATGTCTGTCTTGTTGGGGGCTTTACAGTGGAATTCAATAAACGAATGAATGAAACCCCAGTCATTAAAACAGAACTAGTACATGTAACTGACTGCATGTGCCCTCCTCCCAGTCCTGGAGCACAGGCCTGAGGGGTTCCGGGTCGGGATGCTTGTCCTCTAGCCTAGACACAGCCCAGTGTTGGCGGAGGTGGCGCTGGCACACATTACCTGCGCCTCACCGGCTTCATGCAGCTCTTCAGCTGCCTGGCCTCAGCCTCCACCGGACCCTGGCACTCAGGCTGTGGCTCCAGCTGCGGCAGCTGCTGCTGCTGGGGCAGCCCTTCGGCATCAGTGGGTGTGGGAGCGGGTGCAATCCGGAGCAGGACTGTGTAGTTTCGGCCGTGGTTGTTGGCCCAGAAAGTGCCCTCGGGGGTCTCATAGCGCACCACGAAGTCCAGGCGCGCCCCATCGCCCGCGCCCTCAGCAAAGGGCAGCTGGAAGGCGAAGCGGTCGGTGTGGCCGCCGTCGTCGGGCGAGGAGGCGGGCGCCTGGCCAGGGCCCAGGCCAAGGCCCGGATCCAGGATGGGATCTCCTGTTCCTGGTCCTCCCGCTCCTGCCCCCGGCGGGCTGCGCGGGACGTAGCGCGCTGGGTGGTCGCAGAAGGAAGCCCAGCCGTCGTGTGAGGCCCGCACGTGCACCGCCTTCTCGAAGGAGCGGTTCAGCACGCGAACCAACCCGCGCAGTACCGGCGGGCGCCCCCCTGGCACCCAAACCCCGGCACCCCCGGGAACCGCTCCAGGAGGCGGCAGCAGTGCCTCCAGCTCCACCATGACGCGCCCCAAGCGCTCCAGACGGCCCAGCGCGGGCGGCAGCGAAAATGTGGGCACCAGGTAAAACCCCCCTCCGGCGGGCACGGGGCATAGCGGCGAGGGCTCGGAGCAAGCTTCCTCTTCCTCCTCCCCTTCATCCCCATCCTCGCCATCGTCGTCCTCCTCAGCCCCTCCGCCGTCGCCATCTTGCCCGGCCGCCGCCGCCATCTTGCCCGCCCCGGGCCCGCCCCATGGCCGGTAGCGGCGCAGCTGCGCCAGCGGCAGCCCCAGGGCCTCGTCGGCGAAGAGTACCCTCCGCGGAGCCACCGCTGCCTCAACCGAGGTGCGGGGCTCGCCCGTGGCCGGCGAGGGGGGCGCGGGATGCCGCAGCGGGGGCTCCACAGGGGCCGTGCGCGCCATATCGGCGGCGGCGGCGGCACCGACGGCACCGGCGGCGGGGCCCGGCGGGGGCAGGGCTTGAAGGGGCGGGCAGCCAATGGGATGGCCAGCGCGGGGGGAGTACGGCTCACGGGGGGCGTAGGCGGCGAGATGAAGACAGGTAGACCAGAGAGCCAATGAGGAGCTACGCACGGGTGACGTAACGGTGAATGGAGTGCTGGAGAAGCACGCAGCCAATGGGGATGCCAGAGAGTGGGCGGTGTGGGAGGCGGAACTATCGGGAAAATCAATGGGGAAGCCGGAATGGGGGTGGTGCAGGGCCCAGGATGAAAAGAGAAGTAGGACAGCAAATGAGCAAATGTGAGCTGGAACTATGTGTGGGCTTTGGGGAAAACGGAACGGCTACGGGCAATGGGAACACCAGGGAGCAAACGAAGGGGCCCGAAATGTAGACTTGTGGGTCGCGTAGGTGGTGGGACGGAAGCGAACGACATCTAACAGCCAATGGGGAGCCACGCACGGGTGATGTAGAGGCGGGATAATGATGTAGCGAGCCAATGGGGAGTCTTATGAGTGTGCCAAAGGGCAGTGCTAGAGCGTAACTAGCCAATAGGAGGTTAGGAGGAGACCGAGAGGCGGTTTCGGAGGCGGGACTCGAGGGCCAGAGCCAAATGAGGGTGAAGGTAGCAACGAGGAAGAGATGGTGGGTAGCCAATGGGAGAGCCAGAGTGAAGGCAGTTACGCCCCCAAAGGGCAGCTAGAATGGGATGAACCAATGCTGAGTCTAGAAAACGTAGCAGGAGGGACACGGAGGCGGGACAAAAAAGGAGAAGAGCCAAAGGGGCGCTTTGTAGGTGGTGTGAAGGAAGAGGTGAGTAGCCAATAAGGACCCCGGAGAGAGGGTGGTGCGTAGGTAGTCTGAGCTGTAGGGCGAACGAACACCAAAGCTATAGAATGCATAAAACTAGAAGAAAGTTCTCGTGGGTCAATGTGCCTTCTCTCTATCCCTCCGTGACTCCCACTGGCCTAGATCTGTGAATGCCCAGAACCGCTAAAGACTGACTGCACCCCAGTGTGGGATGTAAGAAAGCAAAACGGGCTCTTCTGGCAGTATTGGGTCCCCCTGCCCACCTGTGAGCCTTTGCTTAAGCGGTGCTACTAACCAAGAATGAACCTAATTGTCATAATCAGCATTCTCCAGAACTTGGCAGTTTTTGAATGAATGGTCAAATAAGAAATTGAGCTTTGGGGGAGGATTGGCGTTTTCTAACTTTAGCTCAGCAGAACAGGCTGGCCGTGCACCATCAGGAATTGGTTGGGCATGTTAATAGACACTGGCTAATGCAATCACAAGTCCGAACCCTAGCTTTTTTGCCTCACGCTTTCCATATACCCTACGGTGGTCTCACCTCCATTCTCTGTGCTCTCATCTCTGCTCCTGCTGTTCTCTCTCCCAAGAGTGCTGCTCCTGCGTTCCCATCTAGTGAACTTGCACTATCCCGTTGAGGTCTCACCTGTGGGAATAGAATTATAGCTTATGTTCACCGAGCCTGTCTACTAATAGTTTCCCCCTTTCATACTGGATTTACTGAAAACCTATTTACTGTGTGAGAGGTTCTGACTCCTAGGTAGAGTCAGACTCCCAGCAGCCCTAGGAGGGAGATGGTTCCTCTAAAATGAGTGCCCCCTCTTCAGATATCAGTGTCCAGAATGGAGTCCTGGGTCAGGAAGGAGAATGTTCAGCTGTGAGTAACAGAAAACTCGTGAAATAATGGGGTCGTTAAAATAGAACTTATTTTTTTTTCTCACATAAAGGTTCAAGCTGATAAGTAGTTCAGGGACTCCTTGCCCAGTTAGGTTATATCTGTGTCCTTTCTGGCTCCGAGATTCATTGTTCCACTCTCCATTCAAATTATTTCCCAAATCTGCCCTTTCTTCGCCCACTCCATTGCCAGCACAGTCATCAGCCAGCTGGCCTGCAGCAGTAACCGCCCCCCTCACTGGTCGGCTTCCACCCTCACACCTGTCACCCTTTCTACACTCAGCCATGAGGAGTCCTGTTAAACCCTAACACCGTTCACATCTTTCTTCTGCTTACAACCCTCCGTGGCCACCTCCTCACTCAGGATAAAAACCAAAGTCATTAACCTAGCCTACAACATTCTACATGGTCTCCCTCACCTTCTACCTGCCTCTCATATCTCTGTAACAACGCCAGTCTCCTTGGTAGAGCTTAGCAGATCAGGCACACTTCTACCTCAAGTCCTTTGCACTGGCTCTTCCCTCTGGAATGATCCAGGTCTCTATCTACATGGCTCCCTCCCTCACCACTCTCAAGTCTTGTTAAACAGCCCTCTCTGGGGGAACTTTCACTGACCTCTGCTTATTCCTACATACTGTCCCCCAGAAGATGTCCATGTGAGAAGGTAAGTCCAGTATACAGAGAAGAGGTAGGGATCTCTGCCCCTTCTCTGTCCACTGTGAACCCCCAACCCTCACTCTGCAAGGGTCTTGGCTCTTAGTAGCAGCATTGTCACCTCTCCCATACCCCAAACACCACCTGAGTGGCCTCCTGGAACTCCCGAGGTCACCACCCAGAGTTTTCTTCCTACTTCTCTGGCCACTCATTTCATGGATGAAGTGACAGTAAAGGAGAGACATCCTAGGCAGGGTATACGGAGGATATAGCCCATGCCTCTGATCCTGAAAGACAAAGCCAGCCCCTCCCTCAGAAGTGGGCAAGGAACGAGGCCTCAGCTTTACAAACTGACCTGGTTTCTAGTCACTTGAGAGGTGTGGGAAAAGTTCAGACCCAAGTCCACAGGGAGTAAGGGGTCATTCATCCTGGAGACATCCCTAACACCAGCTCCCCACAACTCCTTCTTGAGAAGCACACGCCTCACACCATCCCTTGCTCCCAGCTATATGCTACATTAGTGACACCCCTGCTGTACACAGGGTTCCTGCAGACCTCCAAGTTGAGGGCCTTCCTTAACTTGGCACCTCCCCTGGCTGCCCGCCATACGTAGGCCATCTTTGGGTCTCAGATGTGTCCCACCCTCAGAAGCCTCAACCAGTGAAAGTTTTGTTTTCAACTAATGGTGGGGAGGGTTGGGTTTTCTTTAATTGTTGGCTGATTTTTTTAAGGTCTTTTTTTTTTTTTCTATTCACCCTTCTTTCTTCTTTATTTCTTGTCTTCACAAAGCTGGGCCATCAGGACCCCTCTGGGCTTTTCCAGGTGAGTCTAAGTTAAGGAAAGAGATCCTCCTGTTTCTGTGGGTTTGGGAGGTGAGGAAAAGAGACAAAGGAGAAAGGGGTCTCTGGAGACTGGGTTTGTACTGTGTGAATTTCTCTTTCCAATTTTTCTAATTTCTCTTCCCCAGACATGAAGCGAGTCTTGCAGAGGGGTGGAGTGGAGGTTGAATGACAGAACCTTGGACTACGCAGGGTGTTGGGGAGCCAGGGATTGGGAAGACCAGCCATGGCCTCTCATGGGTCTTTAGCCCCTGGGGCTGGTCTCCCCTGCTGACCTGTGACTGGAGGGGTTGCCTGCCATGATGAAGAAACATAACCACCAATTCTTGGACAACTTTAAATCTTCACAAGCTTAAAACCCCAAGAAGAATCTTCAAATCCCAGAATCTCCCATCATTGCATCCTAGTCCGGCTGCAGGATTTTGAAGCCTGGAACCAAGGAAAACTCCCCACTCACCAACTGAGGAAACAGTGCCTCTGTTTTCCCCATCTGTAGAGAAATCATAACAAGATGGTCCTCAAAAGAGCCGTGGTGAGGCCTGAACTCGATCAATTATGAGAAGTGTTCAGCCTTGTGTCTGCCACATGGAAAATTCGAGTTTAAATGTCAGCTACAGGATGATGGGGATATTCGGCATCCTAAATCCTTGAAAACTGGGATTTTTTTGGGGGGAGAAGAAAGTTGCCAAGGCTGAACACCTCAGAAACATCAGGCCAAGGTGGCCTTGAAAGGCTTGGGGTTCCTAGGGATCCCTGGGCTTTCACGAGGATGGTTGTGTTAATAGGGGAGGGGCTGGTTGGGACCTTCCCAGTAGGGCGGCCTCGGGGTCAAAGCTCTCAGGCTCTCAGATGTGAATAAGGCAAGACTTTTCTCCCTGTCTTCACTCACTGATGCTCAGTGGATTCTAGGGGCCAGTGATTCTCAGACTTCGATTCTGTGAATGCATAGGGGTGGGGGGGTAGGTTAAACTCCCTGGTTTTTTCTCCATGAAGTAACTTTCATGGCTCTCATCCTCTGGATTAGGGGAGTGTTCAGAGTACTCCTTTGGGCAGTAAGAATGATGATGACCCTATCAATTCAACCAAAGGGGACACTCAGGCCTGCAGCAGGGCAAGGCTGCTGGTAATCCAGGTCTATTCCATTTCTTTCCCTGGCATTTCCTGTCGGCACACAGAGCCTCACTACCTCTCTTTCTTTCACCAGAGACCCTCAAATGTCCTCTCACAGAATGATAGCTCTGCCAGCCTGGGTTGCCCCTGTGATTTATTTGAGTTCTTTTTCCCTTGTTTTTTTTTTTTTTTTTAAACTGTGGTTTCTCATGAGCCTTGTTATCTCATTGATACCTCTCACCTCTGTGGTAAGGGGAAGAAATCATATTTTCAGATGACTCGTAAAGGGCAAAGAAAAAACCCAAAATTTCAAAATTTCCGTTTAAGTCTCATAATCAAGAGGAGAAACACAGCAAGAGAGAGAGAGAGTAAGAGAGAGAGAGAGAGAGAGAGAGAGAGAGACAACTATGAGAACACCCCCCCCACCCCATACACACTCATCAAAAAAATTGGATTATTAGAAGAGAGAGGTCTGTGGCTTCCACACCGTGGTTTTTCTTCTCGGTATAAAAGCAGTTGTTTTTGATATGTGACAGTTTCCCACAAGCCAGGCTGATCCTTTTCTGTCGGTCCACTTCATCAAGGTGAGTGTCCCCGCTCTCCCCCACCCTCAGCCCCTCCAAAGATGTGGGGGTTCTAAAGGGCCTCATAGAGGCCATGAAGGAGAGGGCCTGAGGTCAGCAGTTGGGGGTCAGAGACCCTCCAGTACAGGTGAGATGCAAGCTGCCACTGAGGCCCCAGTCAGGTAAGGTATTTTTAGTTACAATGGTAATAACAAATGCCTTCAAACTAATAGGTAAAGTACTTAATGTCTGGGCAGAAGTAAAGATAAATGGATTGATATGTTGGTGGGTAGAATTTTTAAAATATGTCAACTGCCAGCCTATGTATTTCAGAACTTTGAACTTAAAACACTATCCAGGTAGAACTGGAAATTTCAACGACCTCTCTCAGTATCTCCCATCTGTCTCTATTTGCCCTTTCTTGCTCCTACTGTGGCTCTGCCCCACTTTCTGCTGCTTCCCTTTTTTGTCTTTTGCTAGCTCTTACCATCTTCCCTCTCTGGCTCCTCCATTGGACTGCACTCCACCTCTCTCCTTTCCTGCCTCCCCTTACCTGCCTGGCCACCCAGCGGAGCGCTTTACACACATTTGGCTTGTACTAATAGCATATTGTAATAATAGCATGTCAATGAGGACATTTACAAGAATGGGCAACAGTTGTGTGTGGCGCAGTGGAAGGATCGTGTGATGTCGGGCAAGGCTGAGCCCTCCCTGGACTCGTGGAGTGCAGGCCTCCTGGGCACATTTCCTGCCATCGTTGCCATGGTTTAAGCTGTGGGGTCCTACCTCAGGACCGGGGTGGGGGGTGGCCAGAGCCCACGTCCAGGGCCAGAGATCATCATTCAGGGCTGGGTGAGCTTGTCTCTGCAGGCTTCGCACAGGGCTAGGCACACTGGAAGTGCTCACTCAGTGTTGCCTATTAGTCATTTTGTTCATCTAATGAGAATCATACTACTTGCCTTATTCAATGAACTGGAGACCTTTTGTGGATCATTAAAAATTGGTTTAATATTGATGTTTCCTAACTGTCAAGACTGTCCTCACATTGGCTCAACCAGGTGCCAATTACTGGACATTTGTGCGATCTCTAGTTTCCCCCATGACCATCCTTGGTTGGATCCTTGAATTTCTGAAAATGGAATTGCTGGAGCAAAGAATATGTGCATTTTTAAGGTTTCTGGCCCTCTCTGCAAATTATCCTTCCAAAAGGTTGTCCTGCTTTATGCTCCCTCTACACAGGCTGACCCTGGGGAGGTATTATTGTTTTAAAATCCTTTCTCAACAAGTCAGAAAGAAATTTAACCCATGATCAACATTTGCATTCTTTGATTACTTACTGTTCTTGATTTTTTAGTTATAGTATTTATTGATCATTTGTACTTTTGGGTTTTTTTAGTTGCCTGGTCATGTTCTTAGTCCTAATAGGGGGTTCATGTGTGTGTATTTTCTAATTGGTCTTTCACAGTTCTTTATTGAAAAGGATATTGACCTTCCACCAGCCATACATAGCAAATATTTTCTCCCAATTCATGTTTTGTTTCTATTGGTTTACAGTGCTTTGTGATGTTTTTATATAATCAAATAGTTTAGTCTTTCCTTCTGTGGTTACTATTTCTGGTTTTGTGCTTAGAAAGTCCTTTCCCACTTGAAAATGAGGTAAATGTTCACCTGTGTTAGCTGCTGTTCTTTTATGGCTTCATATTTTCCATTTACTGTAGAGGTTAAGAGTGTGGGTACTGGAGCCAGACTGTCTGGAACAAACCAGCCTTACCTCAACCCCCTGTGGGATTTTTGGCCGGGCATTTAACCTCTGTGTACCTCCATTTCCTCATGCACTGTGATAATGATAGTAATATCTACTGCAACAGGCCATCCTGAGAATTAAATCCTTTAATCATATTAAGTATTTAGCATAGGCTCTGGTATGCAGTAACCCCAAGATCAGTATTATATGTTATTTCTCTTTCATGGGTCAGGAATTTTTTAGGGCCTATGATGCTAGTAACTTTTCATACTGGCCAGGGAGGGGTTGGTGGGAAAATGAACTGATTATCCATCCAGTAACTTTATTTTTCTCCTAATTATCCCCCAAAACATTTCACTAGTCTCCCCCATCCCCCAAGTCAAAATGCCACATTCATCACAAATTCAGTCTGCGTGAATATGTGTCTGAGCTTTCTATTCTGCCACTTCTGTCTGCTCTTACCCTAGGGTGACACATCTCTGTGATTGTTGCTTTGCAACACCAGGCATGAATGGCCCTAAGCTCCCCCTGGCATTTGCCCGTTATTCCTTATTTCAGTCAGCATCAATTCCTCCAGCCCAGAGCAGCAACTGTTCTCTCTCTGCATCTCTGTTTCTTTTCTGTTCTGTTCTCTCACTCCCTGTGTATGCTGTGACTTTCTCCTCCCTCCACCGCTCCTTCTGCCATGTTTCTCTATCCCACCGCAGTTTTGTTCATTTCTCCCTCTATCTCCTACTGTGTCTCTGCTCCCTTGTCCTTCACTCCGTCCTCTTCCCCTCTGTGTATCCATTTCAGCCAGTGCCCTGGATGGAGGGGCATTGTCAACTTGAGTCCCTGTACACACTTAACTCACCTAGCCACGGAGCAGGGGGCCCTGCCCTCGGCTACTCCACCTTTCCCATCCCTAGTATACAGGGCAACAGGTGGAGGCCCTGAGCTATACAGGGGGCTCTTCCGAGGCTCACACAGATGCAGGGGCAGAATCAAAACCCAAGTCAGCTCTCAGGGTGCTGGGTGGAACCCTGGTTTGCCCTCAGAAGCTGCATGGAGGATGTTTCTGGGATGCAGATTGTGTCTTCATATCGGGGTCTGCATCTGGGCGCTGTTGTTACAGCCCCCGACTTCCCCAGATTTTCCCGCCATTGACGTCATGGCGGCCGGATGCGTTGGGCTTCATCAGCACCCAGGAGGCCCCATTGTGGGCCTCAGCTTACTTCTCAGCTCTCATGATGTGAGATAGGAAGGAGGTCCTGAAATGCCCTCCAGCAGCTGCCACTGCCCCTTCTGCCTTCTCACAGATTGGTCCTTCAGGCAGGAAGATCCAGTCACAGTACAGAGCCCAGCCACACAAGAGCTAGGCTGTGGAGCCCCAGAGCCCCATAGGCAGGAGACAAGTGGCCAGAGGGTGATGTACCGGAGGGACGGACATCAGTTGCCCTAGGTCTGGCTACCAACAAATTTCAGCCGCAACCCCAGAGCAGGTACTGGTTCCTGGGGACCTCTACCTGGGGGCCCCTCCAGAGAGCACAGAAGTGGGCTCTTTACTGGCAAAGGCTGGGGCTTTTCCTGCTCCCTGCCTTGAGACCCTAGACAAAGGTATACTGGCACCCCCCCACCCTCTTACTTCTTCCCTCCCCATCTCTAGCAGAGCAGGGGGGATTTGGGGAACATAGTTCCAGCATGGATAGGGAGACTGCAGCTATCTACTTATACCTTGCTAAGTATTTCCTGCATATGAACTTTGGAAGGTGGGTACTGTTACCATCCCCACTCACACATGCTCCTGAAAAGCGTGACAGCTAGCTAGTTAGTGGCAGAACCTGGCCTCAGGCTGGGGGGAAGGAAGGGGTGATTCTGACCTTCCTACCTTCATGGAACTTGGGAAGGAGGCTGAGGAGAGGCTTGCTGCAACCCCAGACCTGGTAGGTGGGAAGTCCTATCAAGTCATGAGCTTCATACTCCTCAGGGAGTTCCAGTGAGTTTGGGTACCAGGGACATTGGCTTTCATGTACTGAGAAGACAGGCCTTTGGGCCCCATAGTCTACGGGTTGAGATTGTGGGATCCTTTGAATCTAACAAGTAATGTTCAGTGATTGAGGTTCTGACATAGTGCCATCTGAAGACCCCAAAGGTCCCAAAATCCATGGGCACCCTCTGAGCATCAAACCTTGGGCCTCTCCATGTCCCAAGAAAGGCCAGGTCCACAGGGCTTGTCACGGTGGCCAGATGGACATCACCTACCACATCCGCCAAGCCAACTGCAGGATGGGCAGCCAATTCTCGGAACGAAACTCATGGGGTGGGGTATCTACCCCCTTCTCTTCCTCCTGGGTGCTGATGAAGGCCAACGCATCCGGCCGCCATGACGTCAATGGCGGAAAAATCTGGGGAAGTCGGGGGCTGTAACAACAGGGCCCAGATGCAGACCCCGATATGAAAACACAACCTGCGTCCCAGAAACATCCTCCATGCAGCTTCTGAGAAACAGTCAGAAAGGGACGCCCCAACAGACTGTGCAGGAAGCCAGCTGCCCAGCCTGGCCCTCCCGGTACCCTATCACCAGACAGTCCATATCCACATCTCCTTTCTGAGAATGTACTGTCTCTACACTTCCTTGAGTTCCAGATGTGCCTGGGGAGGAGATTTCTTAAATGCTCTGTCCAGGTGTCCAGGCAGCTTCAGACGTGACCATAAACAGGTTGCGTGGGCCAAGCCAGGGTGGTGGAAAAACATCCACTAAACAAAACCAGAATCTCTTTGCTTCGGCTTCTGTAACAAAGCAGCACAAACGGGTGCCTAAACATAAATGTACCATCTCATGGTCTGGAGGCCAGAAGTCCGAGATGAGCAGGGGGCCGGAGGAAGGATCTGGGCCTCTCTGGCTTCTGGTGGCTTGCCACCTATTTGTGGCATTCCTTGACTTGTAGAAAATCACCTTGATCCCACTCATCCATTCACTCACCTCCTCATGGGCACTGATGTTCTCTCAGGCCCTCTTCCCCCAAGGCTCCTGATTCTCACATACTAATTAATGCTCTAATCCCTGAGAGACTAAAGGTTTGCTGTCTGAATTCCTCCTGTCTGAATTCTCCCTCAGCACTACGGCACTGACAGCTGACAGCAAAAGGAGCACTGCCTTCCCAGAGCACTCCTTGTACGGTCTTGGGTTACTGTCAGCCTCTGCGCCCAGCCAGTGCTAAGGGATGGGGGTAGGGACACACACACACACACACACACACACACACACAGCTTCTCCCACAGTATGGGCTTGTAACATGTACACACACACAGCTTCTGGAGAGAAGTGGAAGTCCCAAATCACTTTGGTAACACTGTACCTGGGGGTCCCCCTCAGTACTATGCACATTGTGCTGTGACGTCCCTTTCAGTACTGACGTCCTCTCAGACAGGGACTACAGGATTCTGAGAAACCAAGGCCCTGCGCACCATGGATCGGGAAGCCCTGGGGCTCAACAGAGGGGCCTGGAGCCATCATGGTGGGTTTTCTGAGCAGGGTGAGCTCAAATAGGAGAAGAGGAGGAAGAAAGTGGCCAGGCAGTGTGAACAGCATGAGCTTAACTTGCAGGCAGACATGGGGAGCAGATATTGGGGTAAGTTCTAGTGGGGGTTAAACTGAGGAGCTCCCACAGGTGCTGACTAGAGAGTCTGTCTCTTCTCTGGCACCTGCTAGGCCAGCTTGTGAAGGACAGGGGCCCAGAGGTGATCGGACTCCACCCCTGCCTGAGCTCCAGGTTCCACTGCTCAGATGCCCATTCGGCATTTCCACTCCCATGTCTAATGTCAGACTTCAGGTACATCTGTCACTACACCTGGCTCGTCCCTCACCCCCAGCTCTGCTCCCCCATCTCCCCAATCTCAGGCAATGTCAGCTCTGTCCTTCCAGCTGCTCAGACTAGTACCCAGAATCACTTGGACCCCTGCCTCTCTCCCCCACCACATCCAAACTATCAGCAAATTTTCCTGATTGCGCCCCCCAAACACACTCAAAATCCACCCACTTTGCATCATCTCCACTTCCACCATCCTGGTCTGTGCAGCCATGCCCGCTTGCCCCGACTAGTGCAGTCGCCACCTCGCTAATCCCCCTGCTTCTACCATCACCTTCCTGGAGTCTATTCTCTCATGGCAGCCAGAGAGATCTTTTGAACCTGTGTCCCCAACACATACCTCATGGATATGCCAGAATCAGTGGCATCAAACAATGCCCCCTGGAGAAAGTCCAGCTGCTGCTAGCCATGGTGGGCACTGAGCTTATGTGGCTTTGGCAGGACATGGGGACAACTGGAGGGTCGAGGCTTGCAGACAAAGCTCAAGTGGTAGGGGAAGGAACTGAGACCTACCCTCACTGAGATCCCACAGACTCCAGAATCCCCCACCATCCTCATGGAAGACACATCCAAACCAAGGTTATGCCAGCACCCACAGGCAAGTGTGCGCTGGACAGGTGGTCATGGGGCGCACATGGGGACACATGCTCCTAACACCAGTGTGGGGATTCACATGCGCACACGTGACCAGAGTGGAGGTCTGGCTGTAGAACACGACCCCATCAATGGCTGCTCTGACCCAAGGAGGCACCACGTGGTTCTGGTGGTTGGCTACTTTGCACCCTTCTCCCCCCAGCACACATGTAACTCCTTCCTGCTATGCCCCACAGCCTGCCCTTGGACAAGGACCCAATGCCCAACCCCAGGCCAGCCAAGCCCGCAGCCCCTTCCTTGGCACTCGGCCCATCCCCAGGAGCCTCGCCCAGCTGGAGGGCTGCACCCAAGGCCCCAGACCTGCTGGGGGCGAAAGGCCCCGGGGCAACGTTCCAGGGCCGGGACCTCCGAGGTGCCCATGCCTCCTCCTTGAGCCCCATGCCACCATCGCAACTGCAGGTGAGGCCCCTGGCCCAGGATGGGGCAGGCAGGGTGGGGTACCTGGGCCTACAGGTGCCGACCTTTACTGTGGCACTGAGCGGGGGGCCCAGCTGGGGCACAGGAAGTGGTTTTCTGGGTCCCAGGCAAGTCTGTGACTTATGCAGATGTCGTAGGGCCAAGAAAGTCCCCACTTAGCAGGTCTCAGAGATCCGAGGCTCTCAACCTCCCAATCCTTGTCTCAGGAGGAGACCCTACCATGATCCCAGCGGCCTTGCCATGTGTGCCCACACCCATGTGACAGGCAAGGGCTGAGGCCCAGAGAGGTAGGGGGTGACACCGTGAAGACCAGCTCTGCCGCTTATTATTATTTTTTGATCTCGAAAAAGTCCCTCCATCTCCCAGAGCCTGTTTCCACATCTGTAAAATGAGGATGGCACAGCATGAGCATGTGCAGTTGTGGTGGATAGGTTACGAATTAGACACATTTGACAGCACGGATGGGGATGGCATCTCACCTACCTGCCTTCTCCCTGCAGCTGCCCACAGTGCCCCTGGTGATGGTGGCACCCTCCGGAGCCCGGCTGGGCCCGTCACCCCACTTGCAGGCACTCCTCCAGGACAGGCCTCACTACATGCACCAGGTACAGACCGTAAACGGCAGTGAGGGAGCAGGTGGGAAAACTGGAGGGGGCAGTCCGAACCATGCCCACTTTTACCCCCAGATCTCAACAGTGGATGCCCACGCCCGGACCCCGGTGCTGCAGGTACACCCGCTGGACAGCCCGACTATGATCAGCCTCCCACCACCCACTGCTGCCACCGGCGTCTTCTCCCTCAAGGCCCGGCCTGGCCTGCCACCTGGTAACACCACACCCTGCAGCTCCCCAGAGCCCCACGGCCCCCAAGTACTTGAGCGTAGCTGTGCAAGCTGCTGAAGGGCAGCATCAGGAGGTCGGAGGTGTCAGGTCTCATCATCTTGGAAATTCCAACCTCCAAAAAATGTCAGGCTCAGAACCTTAGAGATGCAGAATGTCAAAATCACAGAACCACAGATCTTTGGAAAGTTAGTCAAAATGTCAGCGCTTGTAAGTGGCAGTCTGAGCTGCCACACCAGAAGCCGAGGACATCAGAGACAACAAGGGCCTGGGAGTCGGGTCCCTGGGAGTTAGGACTCAGGAGGTGGGGAGCTCAGAAGACAATTTGTGGGCCAGGTTCTTTGGCCTGGCTGCAGCCTCAGAGGTGCTCCATCCCACTCCACAGGGATCAACGTGGCCAGCCTGGAGTGGGTGTCCAGGGAGCCAGCACTGCTCTGCACCTTTCCAGGCCCCAGTGCACCCAGGAAGGACAGGTCAGTTGGCGGGGCTGGGAAGGACCTTCTCCCTGCCATCCCCACCCCTGACACCCTATCCCCCGCCCCCCAGCACCCTCTCAACCGCGCCCCCGGGCTCCTACTCACTGCTGGCCAATGGTGTCTGCAAGTGGCCTGGATGCGAGAAGGTCTTCAAGGAGCCGGAAGACTTCCTCAAGTGAGCAGCCCTGATCCATTCCAGTCCAGGAGGAACGTTTGTGGGAGGAGGTCTGGGATGCAGGTGTCAGCTCAGGCCTCATCCCCATAGGTATTAAGATGAAAGAGGCAGAAGCTGAAACTGTGGCTATGCAACCTTGGGCAAGTTACTTAGCTTCTCGGGGCCCGATTTCCTCATTTGTATAATGGGGCATATTAATAGCGACATATGCTACTATTTACCTCCATTTCACAAAGAAACTGAGGCCAGAGAGGCAATGTATATTGATCAAGATCACCTAGTTCCTGAGTGATGAAGCTGGGATGTGAGCCCAGATAACCAGGCTTCAGAATCCATGCTAACTGTTTTGTCCTGCTACCACACAAGCCTGATTCTATTAACCCTCTAAATTCCAGTTCCTCACAATGGCTGATGCTACCTCCCCTAGGTTCCCCCCCACCTTCTCCAACCCAACTGCATGTAGCAACTCGATGTACCCTATCCTCTCGCCCACCAGTCTTTCCCACAACCTGCCCCCCCCCCCCGGAATGCCTGTCCTGCGAGCATCGAGCATCGGCCTGGCCCACTCTTGGCTCACCACCCTCCCAGTGTCATCTCCCGCACCATGGCCAGGCTCAACTCCATGGCCAGGCTCAAGTGACAAGCTCAGACATATCAAGGTCATGCAGTAGACACCAAGCAGCTTAGGTTAAAGGAAAGACAGGTGTATGGGGGGAGACCGAGGTAGAGAGGGGTGGGGAGCTGCGGCTGAGACAGCACTCGGAGGTCTGGGCCCTCTCGACTTGGAACACTGAGGCAAGAGGACAGCCCCACCATGCTCACCTGCACTTTCTCCCCCTACCCAGGCACTGCCAGGCGGACCATCTCCTGGATGAGACAGGCAGGGCACAGTGTCTCCTCCAGAAGGAGGTGGTACAGTCTCTGGAGCAGCAGGTGATGTGGGTGGGTGGGGGGTAGGCAAGCCTTGCATTCACCCTGTGCCAGGACCCAAACACCCAGGATGGGGTTGGCCTAAGGGGAGAAAGGGGTTCGGGCACTCGTGGGGAAGACCACAGCCTGGGCAACACCATGACAGTGACAGGCCAGACTGAGGCCTCACTTTGTGTTCTCACAGTTGGTGCTGGAGAAGGAGAAGCTGGGTGCGATGCAGGCCCACCTGGCCGGGAAGGTAGCCCTGACCAAGGCGCCATCTGTGGTGAGTCACCCCCAGCTCAGGTACACACATGCTGGGCGGAAGAGGAGGGACTCTGCACTCTTTGGGCCCTGTCTCCGGCTCTAAACGCACCCAGACCTGGGACTCTCCCCTCAGCTGCAAACCCTCCGACTCTGATACTGAAACATCATGACCTTCAATTTTCAAAGCAACAGCAAATAGCCAAAACACCGAATGTAGACCGCAAGCCGTGGCAGGAGCACCTATGTAACCCGCATTGCAAAATGACAGTGTTGAGGTCAAATTTCAAGATGGTGACCACAGTGGGGAGTCCTGCCCAGCTCACACACCCCTGAAGCCTGCCCTGGCTGCCAGGCACTGCTGCTGCTGCTTACTCAGCCCTTACAAGGCCACTGTGAAGTGGCTACGATGACCATCTCCAACTCACGGGCAAGGAAAATCGAGGCCGGTGCTCTCCCCAGTCGCAGCTGGGTGGAGGAGCCCAGTTCAAGCCCTGCTTGTGGCCTCGGCATCGGTGCGCCCTACACTCAGGCGTCCAGGCCACAGCTCAAGCTGTGGTCAAGTGGAAAGGTCAAGTGGACCTGCCTTGGAAGTGCAGCCGTAGCACATCCCTGTCATAAAAGCCAAGTTGAAAGTTGAAGCCAGTGGTCACCAGCCTCTCCCTCCTCCCCCAGGCTTCATCTGATAAGGGCTCCTGCTGCATCGTAGCTGCTGGCACCCAGGGCACTGCCGTCCCAGTCTGGCCTGGCCCCCAGGAGGCCCCCGAAGGCCTGTTTGCTGTACGGAGGCACCTCTGGGGCAGTCATGGACACAGCACTTTCCCAGGTAGGGTGGCTTTCCCTACACAGTGGCCCTAAGCCCGACTGGCACTGCAAGGGGTACAAAAAGGGGCTAGGTACTGCTCATCCCCAGACCCCCACCCCCAGATTTTGTTGCCGAAGCTTTCATTCAGGCTTCCCATGTCCCACAAGCCCCTGTGATGGTTCCTAATGTTTTGCCCTGTCCCCCAGAGGGATTGGAGCTCACTCACTCTAGGCTTCAGCTCCTCCCTTTGGTCATCAGATGGGGGGGGGCTCTAAGTAGTTCCTAGTGACTCTCCCTTCCTTTATGTTCTCCAAGGAAAAGTGGGTAACTGGCCCCAGCTCACTTACTTACTCCCCACAAGGTCTAGGCTATGGGCTAATGATCAGAGCCCTTGAATGTCACCCTGGCTCTGCCACTTAACCTAGTCACATCCTTTTGGCATGCAAGTTCCTTCACTATCTCAAACCTCAGGGAAAATAAGCCCTGTATCAGGGATCAGGAATGGAGCAAAAATTAAATATACCATTTCCATCAAGTGCTCTGCCAACCAGCTGTGCTCATGGACACTGGTGTTGACCTGTAGATTCTGAACGGTAGAGCAGAGGCGGGAGAGGGAACGGGGCTCCCTGACAAGGCCTGATTCTCCACCCCCAGAGTTCTTCCACAACATGGACTACTTCAAGTTCCACAACATGCGGCCCCCTTTCACCTACGCCACCCTCATCCGCTGGGTAAGCAAGCAGCTCAGGCCCAAGGAGAAGAAAGAGAAAGAGGGCATGGGGACCTGCCTCCCCCACTCCCCCCCACACCCCCTGAGCAGGATGCTGTATGAACCCATGCCTCAGAGGTGATCCCCCATGCTGGCTTCACCCCAGAACCCAAACCTTAACTACCATCCAGACCAGTACAAGCCAAATTCTGGCCCTAACGCCAACCCGTCCTGTTGGCCCCTTCAACCCCACGCCTAATCCATTCTCAGCCTATACGTAGCCCCAGAACTAACCAAATCTCTGTCTCTTGGCTTAAATCCATCCCAGGGATTCCCCTAACTCCTTTCCCAGTCCCAACATCCCCCACTGGACCCCATCCTAACCTTCACCTCCCTGGACATGGGGTGACAGGTCAGAGGCAGGGTAAGGGGAGGGGTACAGATGGAACTGTGGTGGGGTTTGGTAGAGCAGCCTGGGAACAGCTATCTGACTCAGCCTCTGAACCCTAGTCCCCACACTTTCATCTGAACCTCCCCAACAGCGCCTCAGAACCTGACGCACAGTCCAGGGGACCATCATCCTAGGCCACACCATGCTACACCTTTTACCACTTAGCCCAGTCCTGCCCAGAACCTCAGTGCTACTGTAACCTGACCTTTTACTTAGCCCCATCCTAAATCCAAACATCAAATCCTGACCCCATCTCACCCCACACCTAACTCTAGCCCTGCTCCTTAACAACCTTGCATGACTAACCTCAATTCCCCAGAACTACCTTCGTTCTTAGCCCTGAATCTAATGCATCCCTGACACACAAAAAGAGCTAGAAAACTAGACCCCTCTGACTGTTGACTTCATCCCACCTCTCACCAGACCCCCATCACCAGCCCCTCCCCCGACCTTTAATTCTGCAGGTCTTTGCCCCTTCCAAATCCTCAATCTGATCCCACTCCTGGTCTTTAACTTTCCCAAACCCTGAAATCTCACCCCCCAGAGACCCCAACTCCAGCTCCACTCCAGAGCCCTGTAGACTAACTCCAGCCCTAACCCTGACTCGGGCCTGCTCAAGCTCAGCTTTGCTCCTCTACCATACTCACCCCTTTACCCTGTCTCTGACCTGTCGCCCCACACCAATTCCACCCCATGTCAGATGGCCTAGGGTGGGTTACTGCCTCTCTCAGCGACAACTCTAGGGGAGCAGCTCCCCTTACCCCACACCCCCAATCTCCAGGCCATCCTGGAGTCTCCTGAGAAGCAGCGGACACTCAACGAGATCTATCACTGGTTTACACGCATGTTTGCCTTCTTCCGAAACCACCCTGCCACCTGGAAGGTGAGCTCCTCTGTGGTAGCGGTGGCTGGGGAGTCACAACACTGCCAAGGGCTGGGCCAAGCTGAGGAGCAGGCAGGCCTGCGGCTGGGGTTGCAGGGTTGCTGGGGAGGAGCAGGTGGTGGGCTTGTGGGGGGGGGACCACTGGCCTTAGAGGCTAACTGCCTGCCGCCCCCTGCCCGGGCCTGGCTGGCTGGCCCGCCTTCCACAGAATGCCATCCGACACAACCTGAGCCTGCACAAGTGCTTTGTGCGGGTGGAGAGTGAGAAGGGGGCGGTGTGGACCGTGGATGAGTTCGAGTTCCGCAAGAAGAGGAGCCAGCGGCCCAGCAGGTGTTCCGACCCCACACCTGGTCCCTGACCTCAAACCCCAGGAAAGAAGGAAGGAAGGAAGGATGGGACAAAGTCAGGGGGAGGGGTGCCCAGCCCTGGACATGAGGTGTGCAGTCTGGCCTGCCGGTGACCCTACTCCCCAGCTGACGGCGCTCCTGGATCACATGCCCTACACCAAGGTGCTCCAAGGGGCCCAGCCCCGAACCCCCACCCAGGTGGGGGGGTCTCCAGCCAAACTGAGCCTCCACACCCAAACGTACCCAGCCTGCCTCAGTCACTCTCACAGGCAGCCTCGGGGCTGGAGAAGCCCCACAGTCAGTCACAGGCAGTCACAACCCTGCCCTTGGATGCCACACAAACCCCCAAACACAAAAGCCTGTCTCAGCACACCCAAACCTGCAGTCACACCATCAGCCCCAAGAAGCACAGGCCCATCAACCCACACCCACAGCAGCCTCTGGACCCAGAGATGCACACAGGCTGCACCCAGACACCCACGCAGAAGTAGCCTTGGTACCCTCAGGATGGCAAGTCCCAGCAAAGCAGACACACAGTGGTCACGCAGCATCATATAGTTTCCAATGCACGCCCGGTCACACCGCCCATTAAAATTCGCCTAGACATCCGGTGTGCACATGCTCCTATGCAGAACCCCAGTGCGCCCTGAGTCCTGCTCAGACATGCCTGGACACACACACACTGACGGGGCAGCATGTGTCCCTGCCACCCACCCCTCTGAGCCCTGAGCCCTGTGCCCCCATCCATGCCTCAGCTTAGACTGCATACAGAGCCCTCATTTATTTGGGATCCAAAGCCCCAATCCCCATTGCCCTCCCCAATAAACTACATCCAAGTTCCCACACTCTGGACGGTCACCCCAGAGAAGGGTTGTGGGCAGGTGGGCAGGGGTCCGGGTCTAAGGCCACAGGAGGCAAAACTGGACAGCAAACGAGGGAATGGTTACGGCAAGCGTTGGCTAGTGTCTTCAACACCCCAAATTCCTGCCTAAGGCCGGGGAGAGACCTCTGCTGGGGAGTCCTCAGGCCTCACGGACCCGCCCCAGGAGGCCAGCATTCTCCTGGCGAAGGGCTCGGTAGTCCTCTTGGATCTTCTCCAGATTGCTGAGGGTCTTCTTGCCCATCTCCGTCTCAATCTATGGCAACACCAATCAAGTTCTTTCAGCACACAGGGCCCTTGCACAGCTCCTGCTTGCCACCCTCTCTGCTACAGACCCGGGCCCTCCCAGGCACCTCCCACCACCAGGCCTTGATACGTGCCACGAGGCCACCAAAAGCAATCCTTACTAAGTGGCAGGATGAGCCACCACCACACACTCAAGCTGCAGCCTCTGCCCGGGGAGAAGCTGGGGATCAGAGTAGGGTGCCAGCCTGTCATTTATGCACATAGCTGTAAAGGGGCAGGGCCAGAAGTCCAGCCTTATGTTGCCACCTCTGCGTCTACCCAGGGGCTGTCTCAGGCCTTCCACGGGCCCCCAGACCTCACCTGCTCCTCCAAGTCCCGAACCTCCCGCATGATGGTGCCTGTGTCCTCAATGGTCTGGATGAGCTGACTACAGTTCTGGGACAAGAAGAGCAGAAGCTTGCACCTCAACCCGGCTCCACCCCAACCAGCCCCCCAGACATGCATCTCCCCTTACCTCATGCAAGGCAGCTAGATACTTGTAGGCCTTCCGAACAGCATCATCCTTCTTGGCATCCTGACCGACAGAGGGCACCGCCAAGGCGTCAGTGGGCTGCACTGACCTGCCCTTCCCACCGCACTACCTCCATCACCCCTGTGAGCAAAGCCAAGCCCGAGCAGGCCAGCCCCATCCCAACCCTCCCCCAGGCACTGCCTGCCCCACACCTTGAACACGAGTTCATCAGTCACTGCAAATGTCCGGTCCAGCTTTCCAGACAGGGAATTGATTTCCTTCTGAAGTTCCTTTGTGTCAGACAAGATCTGGCAGAGACCAGGGAGGCCATGAGCCCACATCTGCGACAGGGCAGCAGGCCAATCGAGGGTGCTCACACACACTCACATCCAGTCAGGGAGCGCGGCACTGTGTTGGGGGACTATGTGCAACTATTCTATGTGGGGGGTGGCCAGACAGCTCTGCCTATCTGAGGGTATGGGGTTCCACACAGCCATGCCACACACACTGTCCCCTAAGCTTGCAGCCTGCATCACCCACCCTCCAGGTCACACAGGCACACACCTTAGTGATCTCTTCCTTCTGCTTCCGGATGTTGCCCACAATCTCCAGGATGCGCTGGGTATAGGCCAGCCGGGACACATCTCTGGGCAGGGTCTCAAGCTCTGACACCTAAGAAGGGACATGGCAGGCACTCCTCCCCCAGGACCCACCCCCACCCACTTCAAGCCATCTGGGGCCCCCATACCAGCCTTACCAACTGCTTGTAGACCTCCTCCTTCCTGCGAGCCTCTTCAGCAGCTGCCCGGACGCTCTGGTGCAGCTCTTGGATCTCTGCCAGCCGTCGAGAAGATTCCAGCTGCCGGGACCCCATGAGCAAAGCACAGTGAGAAGAGGACTGGCCCCCTAGATAGGAACTGAACCTAGGCCACCCACAGCGCAGGACCCCACTACCTACCTCTCTGCAATCCTGGAGCTTCCGAAGGTGGCGGTACTCAGCAAGGAGTGGGACCCGGTGCTTTTCCCACTGACCCGCCAAGTGGATGACCCGCTGGGCACTACTCTCTACCACGAGCTAGGGGGCAGTAAGGGGGACATGTCATACAGGCAGGGTCCTTGCAACTCCTACCCTCCAGGGCCAGCACCAGCCCTACCTGTAGTTTGGCGAGGTTGGCAGCCCCATCGGGCAGCAGCTCTACCGCCCGGCTCTTCAGACGCAGGGCCTGCTCGTGCTCTGCCGTGCTGAGCTCGCTCTGACGACGCTCAGTCTCCACCTGGCACCACGTGACCCACTCTCAGTGACTAGAGAAGACCACAGCCCTAGCCGCCTGGGCCTGGAAAGTCCCGACCTAGGGCTAGCTCCCACACAGGACAACACACTCCTCTAGCCCCCACAGATCCCCCACCTCTACCCCCAAAGGATAAAGACCTGAAAGCAGTGACAGGTACCCATGGGGCTCTCGCACCCTGCTACCTCCACACTGGCCCCGAGGAGCCCTAAGGAATTCCACAAGCCCATGCCCGTACAGACCCATCTTTCCCCCACTGAAGCCTTCAGACACTCAAACCCCTCCTGATTCTCAGACACCTGCAAAGTCTGATGGATGCCCACAGGTGTCCTCACCTCCCTACAGGCCCTCACCCCTGCCCTCCACCCCTGCATCCCCTTCTCACCACCACTGATTCTTCTGAACCCTCCCAAGTTCCACAGGTCCTCTGTACCCACCATGAACCCCTCTGGCATCTCCAGACAGACGTCTACAGAGTATCTCTCAGCCCCCTTAAGTCCCACTAAGCTCTTGGGCCTGACTGGTGACCTGGCCCCAGGCGGGCGGTGCATCCCCACTCCACCTGCATGAGGCTGATCCCCAGCGTCTTCATGTCGGCCTCAACCTCTTCAATATTGTGGTTTACGCCCTCCAGCTGCTCCCGAAGGGACTCCAGCTCCTGCTCTTGAGCGGCCCGCATGTCCTAGGGGCACAGACCAGTTGGGGTGGGAGCGTCAGGCCTGGCAGGCAGGCAGAGGCCCAGGGCACCTCCCAATGCGCTGCTCACCAGTTCAGGCCGCTGGGAGGGAGCTGGCACATCTGACACCTGGGGTGCCTGCACCTCGGGCTCCTGCGGGAGTGAGCAGGGGGCATCCCACTGTGAGGAAAGGCCCTGCCACCCCCCAGCCCCCTCAAGCACCCTCCCAGCATCACAGCCACACCTGCTCAACCCACTGGGACAATGTGACGATCATGGTACTTCCTACAACCTCAGACTACACCATCTGCTCCCTGAACCTGACACAGCTCCTGCCAACCTGCCCCATCGCTGAAGCCCAACTGCCCAGGAGAAGGATGAGGGCCCTGCTGGGTGCCCATCTGAGGAGAGAAGATAAGGCCAGAGAAAGCTGCCTGGAAAATGCTGGGGCTTGCACAAACAGCACCCTCCACCCTTACATGGGTCCCACCCCTCCACCCTTTCTCCACTGAAGTCCCCAAGAGGCCAGGGGACCCCTCTGGGAACACCCAGTGGGAATACAGGAACCCGCGTAGATAAAGTGTGGCATCTGTATAAAAAGCAGCCCTCCGAGCCGGCCTCGGCCCCATCGGCACGCCCACAGCCACGCAGGCCTACCCACCAGATGGAAGGTGAACTTCTCTGAATGCGTGAAGCGGGAGCCCTTAGGAGCATCAGTCCTGGCCCCAGCACCCCAGGCCTGCAGCAGCTCTCCCAGGTCTCGGGCAGGAGGGGGTGCCCCCAGCCGATCCCAGGTCTGGCGCAGCTGCTCAGCCAGAATCTTGTGCAGACGCTGCCGCTGTGCCCGGGTGTCCTCCTGGAAAGAGAGCAGGAGGCCATGGAAGCCAGCAGGGCCCCAGGACCCTGCTCCTCCCTGTCAGGGAGCTGCCCGACAGGTGCTGCCAGTGAGTCACACCCAGCCGCCAGCCCAGCCGCGCACCAAGGGGACCTCAGCCCCACTGCCCTACCCCCCCATCTGAGATTTTCCTGAGGACAGGCGGGGGTGGGAAGGGCTCCCGTTTCCACACTGAAGAAAAGTATAGAAGGAAGGAGAATAGGTCCGCAGCCATCAAACCAGAAACTAACACTAAATAGATATAAGGGGACAAAGCTGAGTCAGAGAGGTGTGGGGCGGAAGAGGCAGATAGTGGAACTGACAGAGACAAGAAGAGAGGCAGTTTTGGAACAACTGGGGAGGCCCGATTAGGAATTCAGTATTAGAGGGTAATAAGAGATCATGTTAATTAATTTTGTTAAGTATGGAAACGGCCCAGCACTTACATTGTCCTTACAAGGCAAGAGATGGATGCTCAAGTATTCCGAGTTGAAATGACATGCGTGTGATTTACTTAAAAATAATGTAGAAAAAATAAGTTGGGGGGAAAGAGATGAAGAATGATAGGCAAAGTGCTTGAAGGAGGATGACAGGCATTAGAGGACTCATCTGAATACGCTTTCCACCTCTGTGTCTGAAAATTCCCATAAGGTTAAGAAAAGAGAAACAGAGGTAAAGACAGCAGCTAGCAATGACGTGGAAGAGGCGGGGCAGACAGAAGCAGAGGCCGGAGGTGGGCAGCAGGACAGGTGGTGCAGGAGTGAGGGAACAGGGCAAGAAAACAGCAGGAAAGCCACGGCGCAGTGTGACCTGAGAGCACTGCGCAGAGGCCCAGAGGCAGAGACAAAGGAGCAGGGCAGGAGGCAGTGGAGGCAGGAGGAAGGGAGCAGGCGCTAAGGCTGGAGCTGCCAGAACCTCGTGGCTGTTGTGTGGTGACTGCTACTCGGAGCAGAGCACCTGGTAGCGCCCCGCGGCTCAGAGCAGGAAGCTGGGGCTCTGAGGAGGTACTGACTGGTTTGGGGATCCACGAATCAGTGGGGGATGACAGGAGGGGGGCACAGAGTAGGGAAAGGAGGGAGCAGAGGGTTGACAGGACACAAGATGGGCGCGGCGGCGAGTAGGAGCTCTGCAGCAGGGAGCCCAACTCAGGACAGTACCTGGGCAGGGAGCCGGGCTGCCCGGTGGACCCAGTCCTCATCACCAGGGCGCTCCCGGCCCGCGTGCTGGCAAAGCTGGACGGCGTGGCGTTCGAGGAGTGAGGCTACCCTCTCAGCAGGCTGGGACACCTGGGTGGGGGCTGGCAGTAGCAAGGGACTGGCCTGGAACTCCCGGGATTCTGGGAGGATGAAGAGAGTCAGCAGGAATCCTGCAGCCCTCCTGCAGGCCAGGTATCTGGCCCACTCTACCCTACTCCCCAGCCCGCCCCACAGCCCTGTGCTCACCTCCTCTGGAAGTCAACTCTGGCATGACCAGCCTACTAGTGTGGAAAGGTTTCTGGGAGGTGGAGCCCTGATGGGAAAGCAGAATTGGAGCCTTCTGGGTGAACTGTGCCTCAAGTCACCAAGTTGGGGAGCAAAATCCTGAGCACCCAGTTGAGAAGAAGGAAGGCAAGGGGCCAGGCAGGGAAAAGCAAAGATGCACATGAGCTGGGGAGACCCACCTGGAGCTGCTGCAGCTTGGGAGTGCGAAGGAGGGGTGGGACCCAGGGCAGAGCCAGTTGGTCCCGGATCTGGCTCCCAATAGCCCGCAGAAGGATAGCTGAGTCACCTGTGGGGAGTGGGGGTGTCAAGCAGGTGATAGTGTCACAGATCCAAAACTGTGTACCTTAGGAAAGCAACCATCTCCCTCTGATCCCCTCCAGAGACGCGTGTCTAACTATCACCCAGTCATCCAACACTTAGCGAGGACCTGCTATGTACCAGTCACTGTTCTAGACATTCAGGAAACCTCAGTGAACAAAGCACTAACGGAGCCTGCCTCCCGCAGCCAGCATGCTAGGAGAGGAGACTGTGACTACGGTCTGGAAGATGATACAGAAAACTCTCAGGTGGTACTAGTGAGATTTGTCAGGTCTTCCATGGTGGCACAGCAGGTTAAAGCACAGCACTAAGAAGCTAAAGCCACTTCAGCAAGAGTTCAATCCCTGCCCCGGAAGCTGACCCACATGGTGCGGCAGACCTCTCCTGACCCGCCCGCTGCTCCCCTCAGCAGTGTGCTTTGTTGATCTGCCTGTTCTGCTCCCCACTCTGCCTCTGGTTAAGCCTCTCACCTCCCCTGCACCTCTGGCCTGTACCCCAGTTCTGTATGCATAAATAAATAAATCTTTAAAAAGAGAGAGAGAGAGACTTGTCATCTGAAACCAGACAGTGAGAGCAAGGCCTCCTTGAAGTGAGGAACTGGGAAGAGGCGAGGAACTAAACCATGAGGACATCCAGAATACAAAGACTCTGAGTTTGGAGCATGCCTGGAGCATCTGAGGGGCACCAAGCAGGCCAGTGTGGGAACAGGGTAATGTGCAACAAGGAGCAGGACAGGAGGGGAAGCAGAGAGGTTCCTTATAGCTCCAACTCATCACCTGGGACAACCCAAGCCCCACCAGCCTCCCCTGAAGTCCCCTCTCCCAGTCCAATCCTTCTACATAGCTCTTTCAGCTCTCCTGAGGGTACATACCCAACCCACCTGGCAGCCCTTACACCGCCAGGCAATGCCACCCACACCACCTCACACCAGGCACCCCCTACCTGCAGGCTGGTCTGCATCCTCAGAGGCATCCGTGGGCAGACGCTCAGCCAAGAAGAGAAGCAGGTCCCGGAGGTCAGGCTCACTGGGGTAGAGGAAGTTCTGATAGCCAAGCTCCAATGGATAGCCCAGGTCCTGGCAGTGGGCAGGAAGCAGCTATCAGTCAGACTGGCAAAAAACCCCTGCCCTGAGATTCCTGGCCCTAGACCACTCCCACTCTCTCACCAACCACCACCCCTGAACCTCCCTGTGGCTCTTCAAAGTCTCCAGGCCTTAGGGGGGCAGCCACACATGATTAGAGTCAATGTTAGAGAAAGCAGGAAAGAAGATGCAAGCTCTGGCCTTTCTACCTGTAACTCAAAACCCAGAGGCCATAAACAGAGAAGGTGAGCATTTCTGAATATATGAAAATAGCAATTTTAAAGAAAAAATACATTAAGCAAAGTCAAGAGAATAATGACAGGTCGAGAAAAAATATTTGGAGCTCATAACATTGGCAAAGAATGAACCTACCCCATAATATAAAGAGTGCCTAGCACTAAATAAGCAAAAACAACAAAAAAACCCAGCAGTGCAACAGAAAGGCAAGCAAAGACAGAAAAAGAAAAAAGGCTCTTTAACATGTCAAAATATGTCCAGCCTTGCTTTTAAGAGACACAAACTGAAAGCACACAGACACCTCACACAAGCATCACCAATCCAGAACAACCTGAGTTATGTTCTCGGGGTACGCACTGGGAGGGAGATACTATCACTTGTGCAGTGTTCCTGCCCCAAATCTGAATCAAATCAGGTGAAAACAGACCAGTTCAGATTGTGGGGCATTCCACAAAACAACCAGTCTGGGCTCTGTCACTGTGAAAGAAACAAAGAAACAAAAACAAAGCAGGACTGTTGGATATTTAAGATTAGAGATGTAACAGTGAAATAAAATGTGTGGTCCTTGATTGAATTCTGTCCTTTCAACAAGCAGTTGGGGAAATCTGACCATGCACAAGATATTACATGCAAATTCCATGGGCATGACTATGATCACCGTAGTGCTGTTATGCCAGAGAATGTCCTTTTTCTTAGGAGAGGGATGCTCAAAGTTTAAAGTACAAGTGTCATGAAGTCTAGACTTTCAAACAGCTCAGCAAAAAAACATGTGTGTGTGTGTGTAAGCATGTTTATACAGACAGAAAAGACTAGAACAAAATGCTAACCATGTAGGAAACTGAGAGAAGGGAATACAGGTATGCATTGTTTTATTTGCACTTTTCTTTAAATTTGGTGATTTTCCAAAGTATAAAGCTGGGGGGAGTGGTGGTAGAGAAAATGACACTGAATTATCATTTCTCCCTTACTATGTGGGCAAAAGTCTGACAAGACTGAGAGTGTGATTTTGAAGGAACAGGCACTCTCTCATACACTGCTGCTGGGAATGCAAAAATGAAAGAGTCCCAGTGAGGACAATCTGGCAAAATCTAACTACATATATACATTTACCTTCCTACCTAGCAATCCCACTTCTCAAAAGTTGCCATGCAGATATGTCTCCACCAATTCAAGTATATACATAAAGAAGATTATTCATTACAACGTTCTTTGCAAAATATTGGACTCCCTAGATGTCTAAGCATGGAGGGTTTAATAAACTATGCTACAGACATGCAATGCAGTACTATGCAGCTGTAAAAAGGAACAGTGATTACAATCTTTATTGTATGATATGAAACTATTTCCAAGATTTATTGTTAGGGAAAAAACAACACAAGAAACTAGGTATATGCTTTCTTTGTGTAAGAAAGCAGGAAAATGAGAATATTCACATTTGTTTATATTTGCATTTAAAAAACTGGAAAGACACCCTACAAACAAGTCAAAAGAAATGTCCCTTCTAGTGGACAGGTCAGGATAACGGGGCGGATAGTTTAGTGTGAGTGTAAAAGCTCTCAAGGTACTATGTATGCTACTTCCTTGGAGATCTCTTCCACCCTTTCAATGGTTCGCCACCTTCACCTAGTTAACCATTCCTTATGTTAAAACTACAGGCTTTGCAGTCACAAGGTCAGGGTTAAAATCCAGCACATACTACTTACTGGTTAATAAGGCCTTGGCCAAATTATTTAACTGCCAACAATACCATTTCCCAGCTGTGAAATGGGCCTCAGAGTACTTTCCCTATGTGGCTGTTTGAAGGGATAAAAGGACCACCAGGTTTCTGGGTAGAGAAAAGGAGTCTTTTGCTGCCAGAATCACTGTCGGCCCAAAGCTACATGGAGCCTCGAAGCAGATGTCCTGGATTCAAATACAAGCTTTGCCTCTTACCTACTGTGTGACCTTGGATAACTCACTTAACCACTCAGTATTTCATTTTCCTCTTCTGAAAAAGAGGACACCAACAGACAACAGAGGGTTGCCATGAGAACAAAATGAGCTAACACCACAGAGTACGCACTTAACAAAGCATCATTATTAGAAGTATATGTGGGCATTGGGTCACAAGGTAAGATGCATTTATTTCAGAGGGTCACAGTCAAAAAAAGTGTGAAAACCACTGTCTTTTAAGCTACTTTACTTTGGGTTTTTTCTGAGACCTGCAATCAAAGAGTTATGACTGATACAGAAACTCATTCCAGGAGTGGGGTGTGTGAAGCGACAGACACCAAAATATGGAGGTGGCTGGGTGCAGAAAGAGGCTCCAGGAGTATGGTGCAGAAAGAGGCAGGCTCCAGAAGGCGCTAGTGCTGAGCTAAGGTGGCCCACAGAGGCAGCACCCCACTGGGTTAAGAGAGACCCTGCTGCCTGCTGCCAACACACCAAGGCTCAGGCCCAGACAATCCCATGTGCCTGCTGGGCAAAAAGAAAAAGCGTCCTCTCTGTCCCATGCTAAAGGAAGTATGAGCAAAAGCAAGTCAGCATCAAATCCAGTGGAAGCCAGTTCTAAGAGAAGAGAGGAACAGAGAAGTGGGGGAAGCCTGCCCCCCAACCCCTCCCACTGTGCATGTTCCTTGCCAAATAGAGGCTATCACTTCCCCCTCCTGTTATAAAATGCCATCCTCACACATAAGGCCACCAAGAGCCCAACAGAAGAACCTGAGAACTCCTAAGAGCTAGGTGAACCGGAGAGCTAAAACCGAGCTCTCAGGTCCATTGCTAAGAGACAGAATTTGCACAAGCAAGGTCCGAATTCAAGAAACCTGACCCCTGGATTTCAATGGAAGTTTTCACAGTAGGTAGTTTATCATCCCTCTACCCCCTACAATGACTGTGCTAGACGTGTTTTGACTCATCTTGTAGCCAGAGGTTGCCAGAAAGCAAGCAGCCAGATCAGAACTATCCAATAATAGTAATGCCACCTGCACAAAGCATGTTATAGCTTTTTTCATTTTTAATGCCCATAGCAACCTGTGTGGTAGCTACAATTCTTACACCCATTTAACACATAAGGAAACTTCTTCCCGAGTTCACAAGACTGACCCAAAGTCACAGAGCTAGTGAGTCAGGAAAAGCAACATGACTCAGAGCCTCTGCGTATAGTAACTGCACACAGCTCTGTTCTGGGGAGGCATGAGTGCTTTGCCAGAAGGCACTTCGTCTGCTAGAAAGTTTTGGAATTATTCTCAAGAGAAGCAGGGCATATGAGGCCACCACATGGGGACTGCTGCACAGTTTTAATTAACCAGCATGTCTTCCTTTGGGTCGTGAGCCTTCCACCAACTCCAAGTCCTCCTTAAGGACAGCTGTGCCAGGTAAGAATGGCCATGTGATCCAGGGTGGGACAATCGGAGAATACGATGACTTAGGCGTGAGGTATGAACCAAGTAGGATCTTTTCTGGAACTAGTAAATGAATGAAATACTACAGGGGGAAAATTCCTGGTACTAAGCGTAAAGTGTGGGAGCCTGGGGTAGCTCAGGTGCAAACTGGATTAACTCATTTAATGCTCATAACATCCCTACATTTATCACCATGAGTTCACAGATAAGGCAACTGGCCCAGAAGGGTTAGGGTTATAGAGTTAACAAGTGACATAGAGAGGGTCTGAACTACTCAGGCATTTTGACCACAGCCTGCAGCTCGTAACCACTGATGCATGAACCATTTAACCTTAAGTCACAGGGAGACTTGGCAAAGAGGGAAGGCAAGAGTTTCAAAGGAGCTTGGTGACTTTGTGAAGGAAAAAGAAAATGGTGTGTGTATTGGGAGGAGGACACTCACCATGCAGGCCTGAGCCAGGCTCATGGCCAGGCGAAACCGGGCAGACATAGCAAGAGGCAGCAGGTGACTGAGGCCAGAGCCCACAGTAGGATTGATCACACGCAGGCAACGGACCACAGCTTCTACAACCAGCTCAGTGGTGAAGGCTCGCAGAGTCTGCACATCTGGTGGAACTGCCCTGAAGAAGAAGAGGGCAGGCTCGATGGGGGAGTAGCCAGGAAAACAGGGACAGGCTGGGTCCTGTTGCCATTAGGAAGCCCTAGTACTAGACTGGAAAGGATGGCCACAATTTAGATGGATCCTGGGTGTTGGTAACTGCAACTTTCATTTGGAAAACTAAGAACTGAGAAAGTTCTCAGATCCAAGGACCCGGGTAAATGGAAGGGATCTGAGTTCAGAAAATCTCAAAATTTCCCTGCTAAAAAGTCCCACATTTCTAGATGTTAGAAGGTAAGGGAACCAGGTGGCATGGTTTCTGGGTCCCCATATATGCTCCCTAAATGTCAGGCGTCCCTAGATAGTCAAACACTAGAGTTTGAGGCTAAACGGTAGGAGGCTTGAATTTTCAGGAGTTCCAAATGTCAGGGTACCTGGATATCACGATATAAAGCTAGCAAGATATCTTTAGTTTCAAGCAATTCAAAATACTGGCATCTAAGGTTTTTAGGGCTCTCAAATGCAGGAGTCTTTAAGTGCCAGAATCGCCAAGTATTTGAGGTCGCCAGATTTCAGGATCCTGGGACTTTAAAATCCCCAGTTAAGATCACCGAGTTTGAAGGTTGCAAAGTGTCCAGCCAGTCCCAGGGGTTTTGGGGTCCTTTGGGTTCCCTGGTTCTCAGGATACAGTTGTCTAATGACCTACAGATATCATGGTCCCAGGGTAATGGTGTCAAGATGCACAGATTTCAGGGTCCCAGATCTCAAGGTTCTAAGGTTGTATGATCTAGAGGTGTGTGGGTTGTGGGGTTTGGGTTTTACCAAGTGCTGAGGTCAAAGGGTTTGGAAGGCCTCTGATGTTAGGGGGAGGGGTACACGTACGGGGGAGAGAGCGTAAAGGCGTCCTGGAAGTTGGAGCTCCGAACGTCAAGGTCCGGGGTTTTAAGGTTCCTGGGAGGCTAGGTCTAGAGTTTTGGAGTCCCGGATGTGGGCATTGTAGGGTGGGCGGGGGCTATGTCCTTACGTGCCAGCCTGGCGCAGGGAATGGATGAGGATTCGGTCCGCCTCCTCCATGGTGGAGCCTTGTCGGAGTCCGGGGCCGGGTCCAGGGCCGGGTCCGAGCAAGAGAGGCACAGCAGTAGATACCCAACTCCGCGCTCTTGCTCCAAGGAGTGTCACGGGCTGCACGGGGGAAAGCCGGGAAGTGTAGTTCGAAGAGTTACTACGGTGGCGCACGCCAGACGCCTGGCGTCCTGGTGCCCTGATGCGAATGTACGCGCGCGCATGCGCGCGCGCGCGCGGGCGGGCTTTTAGCGCGCAATGGGTGCTGGGAGTTGTAGTTCTTCTGTTTCCGGTTCGGTGGGCTTTTCTCTGTAGGCAAAGAAAAATACCCTGTGTGCACGGGAGGTAAAAGAGGTAGTGTGAGGTTGTGTGGGGGTAGGGGAGACGTATTGGTGTGGGGGTGGGATGGTGTTTCTAGGGGAGGGGAAGGAGTGGAAGGACAACCAGAAGAATAGTGATTTCTTGATTCATCTGCTTAAAGCTGCATTTATCTTCCAGATTGTAAAAATGTACAAATTAAGAGCAGGAGCTTTAGCACAAAACGACTAAATTTCAGTCTCAGATCTGCAACGTGATAAGTGTGCCACCCCTGGGCACGTTGCATAACTTCCCTGTTCTTAGTTTCTTCATCTGTAAAATGAAACTATTAATAGTACAGTGAGGCCCTCCCTGATGGCACAGTGGGTTAGGATGCAGCACTGCAAGCTGGCTGCAGCCTCATCAGTGTGAGTTCAGCCCCCAGCCCCGGAGGTGAGCCACATGGCGTGGCAGACCTCTCCTGTCTTGCCCGCTGCTCTCCTCAGCAGTGTATTTCCTCTGTCTGTTTGTTCTGCTCCCCACTCTGTCTCTGGTGAAGCCTCTCACCGCCCCTGAGCCTCTGGCCTGTACCCCAGTTCTGTATGTACAAATAAATAAATCTTTAAAAAAAAAAAAAACCTATAGTACTAAAAACAGCAGGGTGTTGTAATAAACACAGGCACATAGATCATTGGAACAGAAGCGAGAGCCAGAAAGCAACCCACACATATATGGGCAGCTAATTTATGACAAAGGAGTCAAGAATATACAATGGAGAAAGGAAAGTCTCTTCAATAAGTTGTGTTGGGGAAACTGCACAGAAAAAAATGAAAATGAAACTAGACCACTCACATCATATACAAAAATTAATTCAAGGTGGATTGAAAACTTAATGTAAGACCATGGGGCCTCCCTGTTGGTGCAAAGGGTTAAAGTGCAATGCTATGAAGCTATCTGCAGCCACTGCAGCACAAGTTCGATTCCTGGCCAGGGAGGTGACCCACAAGGCGCAGCAGACCTCTCCTGTTCTCACCCACTTCTCCTCTCGGGAGTGTATTTCTGTCAAACTGCTTGTTATATTCCCCAGTCTGTCTCTGGTGAATCCTCTCACCCCCTACATCTCTGACCTGTTACCCAGTTCTTGTATGCATAAATAATGAATAAATCTTTTTTAAAAACTTAATGTAAGACCTGAAACTATAAAATACATAGAAAAAAAGTACAGTAAGCTCCCCAACATTGGCCTTAATGATGTCTGTGGATTTAATGTCAATGGTAGAGAAACAAAAGCAAAATTGACAAATGGGACTACATCAAACTAAAAACATCTGTACAGCAAAAGAAACCATCATCAAAATAAAAAGGCAACCAGCAGAGAGAAGATAATTGCAAATCATACATTTATATGGGTTTAATAGTAAAAAAAAAAAAAAAAAACCTCATACAACTCAGCAAAAAACAAATGACCTGACTAGAAAATGGGCAGAGGATCTGAATAGACATTGCTGCAAAGAAAGACATACAGATGGCCAACAGGCACATGAATAGATGTTCATCATCACTTATTGTTAGTGTTGTGGTATTATCACTAACCTCAAAAACTAAATCCCCACTCCTTGCCCAGCAAGCAAGTTTGGGAGGCTTGAATAAGATAAAGGGAGTGGGACCTTGGCCAATAAGTTGATCAGGTAAGCTGATCCCAGTCATTATCCAGGACACACCCAATACCAGTTACCCTAACTAATCAATGATGCTTGGAGTATAAATAGAATCTTGGGACCCTCTCTCTGTGAGCAGCAGACCTCTCCTGTCTTGCCTGCTGCTTCTGTTAGTAGTACATTTCTTTTTTTTTTAAGATTATTTATGCATACAGAACTGGGGTACAGGTCAGAGACACTGGAGCGGTGAGAGGATTCACCAGAGATAGCATGGGGTGCAGAACAGGCAGATCCACAAAGTGCACTGCTGAGGGCAGCAGCGGGCAACAGCAGGCGAGACTAGAGAGGTTTGCTGTGCCACGTGCGTCATGACCTGGTATTGAACTCATTCTCAGCTGTGGCCAGCTTCACAGTGCTGTGCTGCTTTAACCTGTTGCACCACCGGCAGTACACATTTCAATGTACCCACATTTTCTGTTCCCCATTTTGTCTCTGGTGAGTTCTTACATACACACAGATATGGGTAGATCTAAATGAACTAAGTCAAATGGAAGAAGAGAAAGGCAATAAATATAAAGAAATGGGATATAAAAACAATGCAATCAAACAAAACAAAAGGCAGTTCTTAGATACAGACAACAGATTGGTGATTACCACAGGGGAAGAGGAAGGAGTGAAATGCGTAAAGTGGGTCAATTGCACAGAGATTCATGGAAAGTAGACTTTTAGGGTGATCATGAAACCAAGGCTAAGTGGTTAAATTGGCCCCAGATGCTAAGGGAGAGGGGGAGAAAGAGAGAGACAGAGAAAGCGTATATAAATGACCCTCTGAGACTTGCTTTTACAGACTCAGCAGAGCCTTCATGGAGGCTTATCTACTAACCATGGGTTGAGCTCCAAGGCCTACGAGAGCCTAGCTAGAGGTGAGGGGGCACCACCAGAAATGCAAAGCTCCAGCTATCTGGAGAAAATAAACCTCTTCATACATCTTCATGGATGACCTTCATGGAAGCCCATGTAGCCAATGCACTTCAGCCAAGTCCAGTATGTTTGCCCTATCCTGTAACCGTGTAATCCCCATAAAAAGGGGTGGCTCCGGGTTCCCTCCCACCCAAGGAAGGGTTTTGCTGAGCAGCAGGAGAGTTAGAAAAGGACTGGGGAAAGTGTTTTAGCAAGAAAAAAAGAAGCGGAAAAGAGACTTGGAGGAGGCACATGGAGTAGAGAGACATATGAGGAAGCCTCGCTTGCTTCTTTGCCTTGAACTTGTACTGGGGAGTTGAGAGACAGGGAAGGAGACACCTGACAGATGTGGGTGGGCAACTTGCAGGGGGACTAACAGTGGCAGCCTTCATCTTGACTTGAATTTTGAATTTGCTCCTTTCCTTCCAGACTGGCCCCGCTTCCCTATGGGTCCCCACCAGGAGGTGCCTTAGACCTGTGGTGGGCTTTGGGGCCTCAGTGGCCCTGCTTTGGGCCGGCCCTGTTTGGCTGGGCATTTGCCCACAAGGGATGGGTACCTTTGGATGCTTCATTTTAACTCTATTTTTTTCTCTTTTCTTCTCTCTATTGCGCACTAATTGTATTAAAGTTATTTTCAATTAAAGGTGTTAAGCACTGGAACAGATTTTGTCTTTATGCAGCAGATGGCAGAACCCATTTAGAGCAGGCAGGTTTGGGAATACTGATGTGCTCTTCATTGTGTCTGCTAATAAACCCATTTTTCAGTCAGTAAAATTTAGTTCCTTTGTTCTCAACCCTGGTCTCCAAAACCCATGTAATCTAATTTCCTTTCTAATGGGGGAGGTAGGTTTGAGTTTATCTCCTACCTCCTTTACAAGCAATTAGCAATAAAGCTTCTTTCACTTCTCAAATGGCCAAGTGGCATCATCTGGTCTAGGCACATCACACAGAGGGCTCATTTGCTCCATAACAATCACGATGCAATGTATACAGATGTCAATTCCAATGCTGTACACCTGAAACTTATATAACCTATAAACCAAAGTCATTTCAATAGAAATTTATTTTTTTAAGCCCACTTTGGAAGCATACTCTGCCTCTTCCCAGAAACTACTGCCCTCAAAGGAAGCATCTTATTAATTCCCACGTCAGAAATCCAGGCTTGGAGGCCTCCGGGGAGGCACTCTGGGGTGTGCAGCTGCTGCCAGGGCTGCTTTCCTGGGCTTGCTGTGAAAAAGGTAACTGGAGTCGCCTAGCCATGGATAAGTGTCAATCCAGTGCTAGAATCCAGAATAGTCCTCAGAAGCTCCCAAAGGGAAGATATACAATCAGGCCACAAATGAATCTCAGAAGAAAGTTGTGGTTGTAGAACACATAAAGAGATGGAATCTAGCTGAAGTCTAATGAGAACGAAAGAAGAAACTACCCTCCAGGGAAGCCTTAAAATCAACAAGAACAGGTGACGCTATGAACAAGATGTGTCAACATTCAGATTCAGAGGTGGCTTGTCTTTCTAGAGAAGTTTACCCTGAGTGGAGAGCTTCTGCTGAATGACCTTTGGAGAAACCTTCTGTGGAACTCTGAAGAGATCCCCAAACTGAGACATTTACCACTCAGATAATACTCTCAAAAGCCTTGAAATTAGAGGTGAATCAGCTACTGCCTGAAAACGTTGAGCAGGAAATGTTTCGTCTCATTAATAGGCTGTACCAGACCACTGTGAGGACCGTGGTCTTGCATGAAGGCACAGAGCTGAAATCCTGACTCAGGTAAAGATATGCTCCCCACCACAAAAGGTATAGACCCACAAAAAGTGACATGAAGATGGTTGCAAATTGGGGTTGGACAGGAAGGAAATCGGCCTCTCTTTGCCTTTCAAAAACTCTTTTGAGTTTGGGTGATGGCTGCTGCTGGCTGTTAAAAATTTTTAATGGTGCCACTTCCCCCGACAGAAGATACGGTGCCCTGGAAGACAAACAGATCTGCTGGAAAAGTTTTACTAGCACACTGGTGCTGCCTAACAGGATACACCCTGCCTGTCGCTAGGAAAAGCAGTATGACTGCCATCACCCAACACAGTAAAAGGGAGATGAATTTCACTGGGAGTGATGCCAAGGACACCTCTCACCTTTCCCAGGTGATGAAGTTACAACTTCACTTCACCTCTCTGCAGGTAACTGAAACTCAGTTACCACCACAGCTCACTCAGTTCCACCCCCCCCCCCAAGTTTAGATGGCCCTGTGCCTCTCAGAACTCCCAAATCTGTTTTCTTTGCTCTACTAAGCAGGTGAGACTGCTAGAGCCAGCCACCACCCCTTCTTCCCCCAACTCACATACCTGAACAACTGTGTTGGTCTCCAGGGTTCCCAGAGGGGGGCTTCTCATGAAGAACTGTTCTGAAGTACCCCATGCCTTGGGATTTCTTTGAATAGGTTGCCTATTTAGGTTTAGAGCTCTGAAGAAGATACATAATGAAACATCTCTTGAAATAAATGATTGTAGCAGAAAAAAAGACATGCACTTTAAATGAAATACCTGTATATGGTCTTGCTTAAATATTATGTAAATATTTGCACTTTAATTTTTTTTTATTTATGCATACAAGAGCTGGGGTGTAGGCCAGAGGTATGGGGTGGGGGTGAGAAGATTCACCAGAGACAGAGTGGGGAACAGAACAGTCATATCTACTAAAACACACTGCTGAGGGGAGCAGCAGGCACGGCAGGAGAAGTCTGTTGTGCCTAAGGGTCAGCTCCCTGGCCAAGGATTGGACTCATGCCACAATGGCTGCCAATAGTTTGATAGCTAAGGCTTTATTACTGTGCCACATGAGAGGCCCTATTTGCTTTTTGGGTTTTTCCCCTAAAACAAAAACCAAGAAAACCAGTCTCTACTGCCAAGGTTTTTCATAAATCATGTGTATGTATATATGTGGGGATCAATTCCTGAACTCACTGTGACCTTAGTGACTATAGCTTTATAACAAGCCTTGATAGCTGCTCTGGTCAGTTCTGCCATCTTGTTCTTTTATAAAGGACATTGGCCTTTCTAGGCCCTTTGTATATCAATATAATAATCAGTTTGTCAGATTACAGAATGTTTTGAGATTTTGTTTGGGCCTGCAAGAAATTGCTCCATTGCTTTGGAAAGAATTGACACCTTCACAATATTGATTGTTTCAGCTAATAAATTTAATATATGTTTCCTTTTTTTAAGGTCCCCTTTACTGCATAATACTTGATCGTTTTCTCATGAAGATCTTGTACATATGTTATCTTGGATCTATTCCTTGTACTTCAAATTTCTGGTGTTTCTGGGAAATGATATCATTTTTCTTATTTTAGTTTCTGAATTTTGGTGCTTGTATGTATTTTGTGTATATATATATATATATATATATATATATATATATATATATATATATATTTCTTTAATCAGTGCCTTTTCCATTGCCAAGCTCTGGCTCACAAAGGTCCAATCTTTATCCCTGCTCACCCTCCCACCCACCCCTGTTATGGTCCCTCCCTATGACCTTAATCCCTCCAAAGCTGGTAAGAGAGGGGAGCTGTGCACAGATGGCTCTTCAGCCTCAGAAGGAAGCTAGGATGTCGGCATCTGAAGGCAGAAAAGGTAAGAGCAGCCCTCCACCCCAAAGAACCTTGGAGCAAGTTTATGCTCTGCTTCCCCCTCAGCCCCTCTGACTCACCCACCACCCACCAGGTCTCCACCCTCAGAGAGCCTCTGGGGGACTGGAACCATGCCATTCTGTTCTCATCCCAACCAGCACCAAACACAAGCCACACCTCCGCCTGCACCCTGATGCTCAGCCTGACCCCCACTCTGTCCCCCAGCCCCCTGCCTTATTTCCCAGCTGAAACCCAACCCCAATCCTGGCCCCTAGCCTTGTCTTAAGGCCCAGCCCCACTCCAACTCTAAAACCAGCCCCAAAGGTAATCTTGGCGAAAATCCTGCCAACCAGAGGGTAAACCTCCGTTAGAGTCCAAACCCCAATTCAGATACAGACCTCTTACTAAGGTCAACTAATCTTAACCCAAGGCCCTGAATGTCAATACCATTAGTGAGGGAGTCTCTGACTTTCCAGAAAGAAGAGGGGGCGAGAGCATTTTTCTGAATGTTGAACGCATTTAGTCACAACCCAAAAATATAGGCATTCTTATCATTCCATACAGATAAGAAAATCGAGGCTCAGAGAGGTTTCATCATTTGCTCAAAGGCACGCATAGCTCCCTAGTGGTAGAATAAGGATTTAAATTCAGAAGCTTGTTTCCTCCAAAGCTGGGTCTGAAAAAAGGTCATGGGAGTTGAGACCAGGCTTAGCTGAAAACCCTAATACAAAACTCAGATCCCACCCAAACTCCACTTCAATTGTAACTTTGATTCTAATTCTAACCCCAACTCATTCCAATATCCAATCCTAAAACTAAATATTATCTCAAGCACATTCTACTTCCACTGTCTTTTAACCCAACCCAAAGTCCACTGCTGGGATTGAACCCTACATTTGCTTCCAGCTATAAACTTAGTCCTGCCCCATGCCAATTTAAACTCTAGTCACAAATCTAACGCCAAACTTTCACCTAGAAATGTGCTCTCACCCTCACCCTCTTATGGACTCTTGCCCTTTTCCCCAATCCTAATTCCAAACCAACTCTTACCCTCAATCCTCAGCTATCCCCACTCTCTCTTGTTTTACTTGCTCCCCTCGCCTTCCCTCAGGTGAGTGAGGTCAGGAAGGAGGTGGCCTCAGTTGCCTAGTGGCGTGTCCCTCCCTGAATTGGTCTCTCCACACAGATACCACTCCAGAGTCAGGCCCAGTCAACAGGGTAAACCCTGGTCCCAAGTGGGGGCTGTGCTCAGGACCTCCAGCATCAGGGTGTGAACTCAGTGTAGCATCGGATTCGGGGACCCCTAGGCGAAGGACTCAGCACAGTAAGCACAAGACGATGACAGTGACCAGCACCCAACGGTCGCCCCGGGCCCTCTTCTGCTTCACCCTGGCCAACCCCCTGCGGCGCTGGTGCATCAGCATCGTGGAGTGGAAGCATCCTGGAAGGCTGTGAGGGGGCTCCAAGAAAGGGGCCCCCAGGGGACCGAGGATCAAGGATTGGGTCCGGTCTGGATGGAGGAGGGCTGAGGTCACCAGGAATTAAGGGTCAAGAATAGGATTAGAGGGGGAAGTTGAGAAACACGAAGGTCAGGGGTTGAGGATGAACACGGTTTGGGGGAAGGGGGTCAAAGTCAGGGCCTGGGAATATCAAGGCTGGTCCCCTTGGGGTCCAGGATCAGAACTGGATGGGGAGGACTCCAAGGAGATGTGGAGGTTCTAAGGTCATTCTGCCTGGGTCCTTGACTGAGCCCACCTGAGACCCTTTGACATCCTCATCCTTCTGACCATCTTTGCCAACTGTGTGGCCCTGGGGGTCTACATCCCTTTCCCAGAGGACGACTCAAACACAGCCAACCACAACCTGGTGAGCATTCGACCATCCTGCCCAGCCCTGAGTCGGATTCAGCCCTGGTAGAACCACACTTCATGCCTTCCAGCCAAGTCCTGCACCTCTCTGACCCAGATGGCCCTCCCCCCGCCCAGCCCTGCCCTCGGTCCAGGCTATCTCTCCTCCCCCTGCGGGTCAAACCCTAGAAACTACTCCCCTGTCTCCTGCCCCGCCCCCGGCTCCGCCCTCAGGAGCAAGTGGAGTATGTGTTCCTGGTGATTTTCACTGTGGAGACGGTGCTCAAGATTGTGGCCTACGGCTTGGTGCTCCATCCCCGCGCCTACATCCGCAACGGCTGGAACCTACTCGACTTCATCATCGTCGTGGTTGGGTGCGCCTCTGCGGGGAGCATCCCTGCCCTAAGCCAACTCCCCACAGAATTCAGGGCTCAGGGAAGTGGCTGCTTCAGACTACCCCCATTTTGGCAGCCAGCATAAGGAATATCAAGTGATCTTAAGCCCTCATGCTTTTGCAATTAGCGGGGCTTATGCTTTTCTGAGAAGGGAGGGATGGGGGGGTCCCAAGGCCTGACCCCAGCCTCTTGGTTCCATGTCTTCCCTTCAGACTGTTCAGCGTGCTACTGGAGCAGGGGCCCGGACGAGCTGGGGACGCCCCACATACCGGGGGGAAACCAGGTGGCTTCGATGTGAAGGCACTGAGAGCGTTTCGCGTGCTGAGGCCACTGAGGCTGGTGTCTGGGGTCCCGAGTGAGTGGCAAGCTCCCCTTCCCGGGACTGGCTTGGTGGCTAAGCCGCTGCTCTTCACCTCTACCTCAGCGCCCGCCCTCCCCCGTCCCAGGCCTGCACATAGTGCTCAATTCCATCATGAAGGCGCTGGTGCCGCTGCTGCACATCGCACTGCTGGTGCTCTTCGTCATTATCATTTATGCCATCATCGGGCTCGAGCTGTTCCTCGGGCGCATGCACAAGACCTGCTACTTCCTGGGATCTGGTCAGTCAGCCCACCCCTCCTGAGACAGAACACACACCCTCTGCGGCTCCTAAATCTCGCTTTGTTCTCAAGGAAACCCACTTAAATTCACAAGACTCTGCTCCCAGGTTCAGGCTCCACCCCTGGATGAACAAAGCCAAACACTATAATCAGCGCTCTGCCCTCAACCCTGGACTTCAATCACCCGCTCCTCCTTGCTAATAGCGCCTCCCTTTCACAAGAGCCCACCCACAGGCGAGACCCTGCAGGCACTGCAGACGCTCAGGCCTCTCATCCAGACTCCAGCCCCAGCAAGCTTTGCCCCACCCCCACCCCCCACCCCCCCATCAAGAGACCCTCATAAATTCACAAGGCGCCACCCCCAGCCGCCTGCGTCACTATTATTCACAAGACTCCACCCCAAAATTTACAATCCCAGTCCCCAGATGCGAGGTGAGGGAGGGGTGGTGGTGGGAGGACTCAACAGCTGCTTACCAGTGATTCAGAATCCTGACCCAGCAGAGACTGGGGAAGGCCTGCCCTTAATTTAGAAAAAAAAAAATTAGAACCTCATTCCCCAGGTGGGTGGGACTCTGGGGCAGCAGTGACTGCCAGTGGGCCTGCTTCGGAGCCCAGAACTTCAGTCTTCCAGCAGACTTGGAAGCAGAGGAGGACCCCTCACCCTGCACTTCTTCGGGCTCAGGGCGTGTATGCACGCTGAACCAGACTGAATGCCGTGGTCGCTGGGCAGGACCCAACGGTGGCATCACCAACTTCGACAACTTCTTCTTCGCCATGCTGACAGTCTTCCAGTGTGTCACAATGGAAGGCTGGACCGATGTGCTCTACTGGGTGAGGTGGTCAATGGGCAGGGATTGTACCTGCTTTTCCTCCCCCAACTCAGGTGGAAGTATCCATCCATATACCCTGAAGGATGCATACCTTCTTTCTTCCCAGATGCAGGATGCCATGGGGTATGAGCTGCCCTGGTTGTATTTTGTGAGTCTTGTCATCTTTGGGTCCTTCTTCGTCCTCAACCTTGTACTTGGCGTCCTGAGTGGGTGAGGAGCCTAGACAGTCCCCACCGGACCCCTCAGCCACTATCCCTTTTAGGTCCTAGCAAACTCCTAGGTATCCTTCAAAACCCATCTGAAATATCCCTTCGTTCATTCAACAACATTAATTATCTACCATGTGCAAGTCACTCTCTTAACAATGAAAAAGAGAAAAAAGTCCTGCCTTCCTGTGTATTACATTCTGGTGGAGAGATACAGACAGCAGTGACATAAATAAGTCTGTGTGTGTGTGTGTGCATAAACAAGCACACACCTATATGCCTAGTGTTTGCTATTGAATATGTGCTATTGGAAGAAAGGAAAGATAAAGATAGATATGAGGAAATCTTGCAATTATAAATAGGAACAATTAGGATAAGGCTTTAGAAGGTGTTATCTGAATAAAACTGTGAAAGACATGAGCGAACGAACCAAGTGGGTATCTGAGGAAAGAGTATTCCAAGCATAGGAAGCAGCCAGCAAAGGCCCCAAAGCTAGTACATGCTTGGATTTGCAAAGCACAGCAAGAAAGTCAGTGTGGCTGCAGTGGTAAAGGCAAGGAGTCCAGGGTGTTCCCCCATTAGCCCTCTGTCCTCCCTCAGGGAGTTCTCCAAAGAGAGGGAGAAAGCAAAAGCACGAGGAGACTTCCAGAAGCTTCGGGAGAAGCAGCAGATGGAGGAGGACCTTCGGGGCTACCTAGACTGGATCACACAGGCAGAGGAACTGGACGGCGAGGGCCCCTCAGCTGCTGGCAACTATGGTTCTGTGGTTGAGGAGGGCTGGGCTGGCCCTCATAGGCAACCCCAGTTTAACCCATTCCCTGCTCCATACATGTCTCCTATGTGGTCTGCCCCCCTGAGACAGGTCCTGGCCTAAAATACTCTAAGCCCAACCCCCACTGTGCACACAGAAACCAGACCAGGCTTTGATCCCCTTCTCCAAATAACACCTCACACACAGCCTGACCTGGCCCCAGTCATGCCCCCTGATTGTCTTCTCTGTTCCTTCAGGGCCACAACTGGCAGAGCTGACCAACAGGAGGCGTGCACGTCTGCACTGGTTCAGCCACTCGACCCGCTCCACACACTCCACCAGCAGCCATGGTGGGGGTCTAGCCTGACTGGAATAGGGAGAGATGGGAGAAAGGGGAGAAGGCCAAAGGTGGAACCCTGGGGTCTTTGTGTCCTAATCACTGTTTCTACTCTGCTCCCAGCCAGCCTCCCAGCCAGTGATGCCGGTTCAATGGCAGAGACCCCAGGGGATGAGGAAGAAGAGGGGGCTCTGGCCAGCTGTACACGCTGCCTGTGAGGGAGGGCCCCCAGCTCTTGACCTCTGACCTAGACCAGAACCCAATCCAGACCCTGACTCCGTCCTTAATTCAACCTCAAACCTCCAAACTTTAAATCTCAGTTCCTAACCCCAAACCCACCCCTGACTACCCCTCAGCCCCTTATAACTTGAACTTCCCATCCTCCACTTTCCAGAAACAAGATCATGAGAACCAGGGTCTGGTGAGTGGGGAAAGTTGCGTGACTCCTGGACCTTAGGACTTTTCCAGCCCCGCCTCCAAGTCCCCACCAGGGCAGCCTCAGGAAGGGGGTCTCAGGTCTCAGCTGGTGGGCTCTGATTTCCACCCAGCCGCAGCCTCCGCAGAACCAACCGGGGCCTTCGCTCATACTGCCGAAGGGCTGTGAAGTCCAATGCCTGCTACTGGGCCGTGCTGCTGCTCGTCTTCCTCAACACACTGACCATTGCCTCCGAGCACCACGGACAGCCAGTGTGGCTCACCCAGATCCAGGGTACGCTGCTGTCCCCTCCCACCCTACCCCACTCTGTCTGCCAGCCCTCTCCACCAGCTGCCAATTCCCTCCACCTTAGAACCTTAAATCTAAGATCTCTAGGTACCTTAGAGCCCCAGAAGCTGTCTTCCCGCCTGCCCAAATAAATGCAGAAGACTGAGTCCTAACCCCAAAGGAGTTAGCTTACACAATCATGTGGCACTTGCTGTGTGCCTAAGGTCAGCGCTTCACATGCACTAAGCCAGATTCTCTCAACTGCAACCTTATGTGAATTACATATAAGGCACAGAGTACCACAGTATTGGAGAGTGAATCACCTAAGCCCAGCACTCAGCTGGCAAACCCAAGTTCTTAATACCATTATCTGTGCCTTGATTACCCATCTGCAAAATGGTGCGTAGTAGCAGTATCTACTCCGTGGGGTGATAGAGAGGATTAAATGAGCTCAAGTGAAAACTGCTTAGAAAACTGCCTGGCTCATATAAAGTTAACACTTTATAAATGTTAGCTCTTAATATTATTCCTCTCAACCTCAGCCCTGACCTGAATAATGAGCACATTTCTAACCTCAACCAGTCCCAACTAAACCCCAGTCTCCAACTCTTCCCCTGAGTTGGAGTTTTTCTGGACTTAGAGGCTGACTGATGCCTCCACCCCAACTCTGCCCTTCTGCCAGCTCCAGGCGCCTGAAAGTTGTCACCTGCTCTGACCTACAAACTTACCCAATGCCTCATCCTATCCCCGCTCCCCAGCCTGTGCTTCAGGATACCAGCCACCCCAAGTCATCCCACCGCCCTCCTTCCCCACTTGTTGCCGCAAAAACTGGCCAGCACAGTCGCCCCTACCACTCTCCCCGCAGAGTATGCCAACAAAGTGTTGCTCTGTCTGTTCACGGTGGAGATGCTTCTCAAGCTGTATGGTCTGGGACCCTCTGCCTATGTCTCCTCCTTCTTCAACCGCTTCGACTGCTTTGTGGTCTGTGGGGGCATTCTGGAGACCACCCTGGTGGAAGTGGGTGCCATGCAGCCCCTGGGCATCTCGGTGCTTCGATGTGTGCGCCTCCTCAGGATCTTTAAGGTCACAAGGTGTGTTGGAGGCAGGGGAGGACTGGAGCCCCAAGCACAGCCCCAACAGCCCCACCCCAGCCCCAGTGATAACTTCATCTGCACCCCCATTCACTGAGCAAATGGCCACTGAGTGGCCAGTATGTACCAGGCGCCACTCCAGCTCCTAGGGAAACACCAGGGTCTAGTCCTTTCCTTCATGGAGATTAGAAGCCCCTGGGGAAGCTGTCTACTATATTTCCGTCCCCTTCCTTCAACTCTGTCTCGAACTCATTCCCAGCCCAAATCCCATCCCCAACCTCAAACCACAACACCATCTCTAGCCTTAGTACCCCCATCACTTACAGCCCCAACACCCAAGCCCATCTCCAACCTCATTCCTAGCTCCCAGCCCCAGCCCCGTCACTCACCGCCGCCCCCACCTCCCGGACTCTTAACCATCAGCCTGTTTCCAATCCAAAACCTGCTCCCACGCCCAATCTCATCCCCTCTCCTCCTCTGCCCCAAACCCCAACCCCAGCTACAACTCTAAATAATCTCCAGCCCCAGCTCCAGTCCCTAAGCCCAACCTGAAGCTCAGTTCTGGCTTGCCCAACTTCCACACAACTTCCATTTAGTCTCCCATTACAACCCTATCCCCAAACTCAACTGTGCCTTCATTGCTTATTCTCACCTCACCCCACTCCAAAATCACTTCCAGCTCTGACACCAAAGGTCACTCAATGCAGCACACCCCAATGCATCCCAAGCCAGAGCCCTGCCCTAGCCCCTGACTTGCCAATAGAAGTGTCAACCCTTCCCCTTCCGCTACAGGCACTGGGCATCTCTGAGCAATTTGGTGGCCTCACTGCTCAATTCAATGAAATCCATTGCATCCCTGCTGCTTCTCCTCTTCCTTTTTATCATCATCTTCTCCCTGCTTGGCATGCAGCTGTTTGGGGGCAAGTTCAACTTTGACCAGACCCACACCAAGCGAAGCACTTTTGACACCTTCCCCCAGGCACTTCTTACTGTCTTTCAGGTGCGGCCTCAATACCATGGAATGGGGGGATGGGTAGGGTCTATGGTCAGGGAAGAGTCCCAAGTATTTCAAGCGACGTCCCACCCCCAGATCCTGACGGGCGAGGACTGGAATGTCGTCATGTATGATGGTATCATGGCCTACGGTGGCCCCTTCTTCCCAGGGATGCTGGTGTGTGTCTATTTCATCATCCTCTTCATCTGCGGCAACTGTATCCTTGGCTGGATGGATAATACCGGGGTGGGTGGAGGAGAATACGGGGACCTAGGCAGTCCACAGGCAGGCTGCTTCTCCATCTGTGCACCCTGAGCTCAGCCCAGACATCCTGTTGAATGTGTTTCTCGCCATTGCTGTGGACAACCTGGCCAGCGGAGACACAGGCACTGGCAAGGAAAAGGGCAGGTAAGTCTGCCTCCACCCCAAGGAAATCCCTTCTGGGCATCCCTGACTGGGGAACCCCCATCACATTCACATACCACCAGAGATGCTTCATCCCCCCGGTGATCTCCAGCTCCAGCTCCAGTCTGCCTCACTGATTCAACATGCATTTGTTGAGCACCTACTTTATGCCAGGCTCTGAGGAAATAGCAAGGATCTGGGTAGACAGAGTCCTCATCTCGGGAAGCTGACATTTTCTGTGGAAGAGGCAGGCAAAACACAAACAAATGAATATATAATAATGTAATTTACCTAAATATATGTTAACGATACTAAGAAGGAAACAGAATAAAAGAATAGAGAGAAATGAAGAGTGCCATTTGGATTAGACTCATCAAAGAACGCCTCCATGAGGAGGTAAGGGTTGAACAGAGACCAGAATGAAACAAGGAGTGAGTCATGCGGACATCTGGGAAAACGTCTCCAAGGCAAGGGGAGAGCAAGTGCAAAAGTCCTGAGGTGGTGACATTCTCCACATTTCCAAAAACCATGGAGACAGTGTGGACAAAGGGGAGAGGGAAGGGAAGAGGGAGGTGGGAAAGGCGAATCCAAATGGGTGAAATAGGGAGGCCAGCTAGAGGGTGCTCTGGACCACAGTGAGGACTGGTGTATTGCTGAGTGAAGGGGAGCTATGGAACGGCTGTGAGCAGAGAAGAGAGGTGCCAGGATTGAACAGGACCTCCCCGGCTGCTCTAAGAACAGAATGTGGAGAATGAAAGCGGAAGCAGGGAGATCCTGTGGGACCTAGAAAGGTCTGTTCTCACTGCCATGACCACCCACCTCAGCCTTGCCCATCTGCTGCGATCCTTAGAATGAGCCAGCATCTCCTCACGCAGGGAGAAGAGCACTGAGGGGAAACTCCCACAGGAGAATGGAGTATTGGTGAGTTTAAAACCTGGGTGCTGTTCACACCTAACACTACTACAAGAATTGTCTATGTGTGTGTGCCTTTACCCACTGGTCTCTGCGCCTTCATACTGGCCTCTGCGTCTTCATCCCTCCATTACCCACTGGCCTCTGCGTCTTCATCCCTCCATTACCCACTGGCCTCTGTCTCTTCATCTCTCCGTGTCTTGTCCATGCCTCCTCTGTGTCCATCTGCTGGTGTCTCCCCCTTCGCTGACCCCCATCTCCTTATCTCCAGGTGCCTGGTGGGGAGAACGAGGAAGAAGAGGGTGCAAAGGATGACGGAGAAGGCAAGTGAACAGGGCGAGGTGGCAGAGGTGTGGGACCTTGACCCCTGAGGCCCTTCCCTCTTCCAAGATGGCCTTGAAAATAATGGGCTTCATATATGGCCAGCAACGGTTGAAACACTGAGGTCGAGGGCAGGAGATAGGGGTTGGTTTTACTGCAAAACTCCTTAGTCTTCATTACCAGCGTCTGTGACTGGGGTCTGGTGATGTTCATTCAGCCGCATTCACTGAGCCCCTGCTGCATGCCCGGCTCTCTTCTAAGTGGTAGAGACACAAGAGTGAACAAAACAGACTAAAGACCTTCTCCAGGAAGCTGACATTCTAGCAGGGAGATAGCATACCTTTACTGTATGACAAGCAAGGTTTGAGGTGCTCTATACACATTTTCTCAGTTAACTCTCTCATTTTGGATCTCTTGGTGCCAGTCATGGATGAAAGAGAGGAAGAGGAGGAGGAAGAGGAAGGGGGCACAGGGCCTGTGGAACTTCTGCAAGAAGTTGTGCCAAAGGAGAAGGTGGTACCCATCCCTGAAGGCAGTGCCTTCTTCTGCCTCAGCCAAACCAACCCGTGAGTACCAAGAGTGTGGGGGGCTGTGGCGGGGGCGCTGGGCAGCAAGTGGAGCTCCAGGGAGCATCTGAGGCTTGGGCAGGGTGCATGTCTGCCTCAACAGGGCCTATGCCATGTGCCCTGGTCTCCCCCAATCATCTTTGTGCTTCTGGGGCCTGACCATGGTCCATCTCTCTTACTCCCCAGGCTGAGGAAGGCCTGCCACACCCTCATCCACCATCACATCTTCACCAATCTTATCCTGGTGTTCATCATCCTCAGCAGCATGTCACTGGCCGCCGAAGACCCCATTCGGGCCCACTCCTTCCGAAACCATGTGAGCTTCTGGCTAGATGATGGGAGGATACTCCCAGGGGTATCATTCTGATCACAAGCTGGAGCCAAAGTGGAGACAGCGAGAAGACTGCCCCAACCCCTAGTTGGACAGAGGAGAATAGTGACAGCGACTGCAGTGACAGCCTTTACTATGTGTGCAACACGCTTGGGGAAACGCGAGGGAGGGGCTTAGTGTTTGGTTAAGGAGTGAGCGACACTCAAGGATGCTGAGCAGACCAAGGTGCCCATGTGGCTAATCAGTGACACTGGCCTCAGGGGCAGGACAGAGTCTGGATCCTGGGGGTATGGGTAGAGTAGGTTTCCATGTAAGGTAGAAGCAAAAGAGCCCAAATTTGAAACCTGGCCTTTCTGATGTCAAGACTTGCCTTGTAGAGCTGTTCTTGATGACGATAGGGGGAGGTGTGGAGGGAGTAGACAGTGAAACTTACACAGAAATAAATTCACACACACACACACTCACCCTTTGCATCTCCCTCAGCCATGACTCAGTGGCTCCCCCTCTTTCTCACCCCCTAGATTTTGGGGTACTTTGATTATGCCTTCACCTCCATTTTCACTGTGGAGATTCTACTAAAGGTGACTGGGCCCCTAATCATACTCAGTAGCCCCAACTCACTCCCCACCTCACAACCTAACCCCCCATGGCCCCAGCTGGCTTCTGAGCTTGTTCCCACCGGCCCCCACAGCCCATTGCTCCTGTTCCCATCCCCCTCCCCCCTCTATTTGCAAGCCCAGGGTCTAGCCAGATTTCCTGTTCCCCCAGATGATGGTGTTTGGGGCATTCCTGCACCAAGGCTCCTTCTGCCGTAGCTGGTTCAATTTGTTGGATCTGCTGGTGGTCAGTGTGTCCCTCATCTCCTTTGGCATCCAGTGAGTGAAACCCCAACTGCTCCGTTTCTCCCAGAGATGAGGTCAGGCCCAGACCAGGGCCTGAGACTGCCCTCTCCCCAGCTCCAGTGCCATCTCGGTGGTGAAGATTCTTCGAGTACTACGAGTATTGAGGCCCCTCCGAGCCATCAACAGGGCCAAAGGACTTAAGGTAACCACACCTTACCTGAACCCCCAGGACCCAGGCTCTATCCTGCCCTGAGGGCCAAGATCACTGATCAGACTGACCACACTGATGCATGACCGCACAATCTGGCCACTGGCACATGGTCTGACCCATGTTCCTGACAAGTGACCATATATTCCTTACCTGTGTCCACATTTCTCTCATTAGTCCCAGACATGCAACTATGTATTCCTGCCTGGAAAATACATGTTGCCTGCCCAAAAGCCCCACCCCTACCCAGAATCCCTGCCCCAGGGTCACTGTGGCCTGTGGTATGCTAGCCTATCTGTGGGTGCCTGCAGCACGTGGTGCAGTGTGTGTTCGTGGCCATCCGGACCATCGGGAATATCATGATTGTGACCACACTCCTGCAGTTCATGTTCGCCTGCATTGGTGTGCAGCTCTTCAAGGTGGGAAGAAACACTGGTGGGCCGCCTGGGCAGCGGGTCAAGGCTGACAGGTGCTAGTCAAGGGTGAACCTGCTTGATGATGTCCTCCATGCAGGGGAAATTCTACAGCTGCACTGATGAGGCCAAACACACCCCCCAAGAATGCAAGTGAGTGTCCAAGATCCTGCTCCCCCCACAGAGCCCAACACCCCTCCAAAAGGTTGTAGAGACCCCTTGATCTCACCAAGGTCCCTGAAACCCAGAGCTTCCTCCTGAGAACTTTAGAGATTTCCCCCAGATTTTATCAAGACATCCAGAACTCCAGGCCCCAAAATATACATTCAGAACTCTTCCAAGAACTACAAAGGCCCTCAGGTCTCACTAGGCCTTAAGAGTCCTTAAGAGTCCCCCACTGCCTCCTCAAACCCTCTCTCCAAATTCCTCAGAAGTACCTGCATTCCACTCTGGATTTCCTAGCAATTCCAAGACACCCCCACCCTTGAATCCTCAGCTTCCATTTTGAGACTCTTATAGAAGCGTGTGGTTAAAAGCATGAACTTTGAATTTATACATTCCTGATTCAAATCTAGCTCATGAGACTTGAGAGTACATTTCTAAATCTTGCTGAGTCCCATTTTCCTCAACTGAAAAATGTGAATAAAGTGTGATGCTCACATGGCTATCGTGAGGAGTAAATGAGCAACTACATGGAAAGTGCACTCAGCTTAAAGTTACTATGTGTAAAGCCTAGCAAAGGGCCTAGCAGCTAGTCAGTGCTGACAGGTGTTAGCTATTTTCAGTCTGGGTAGTGATGATGATGATGATAGCTAACCTGCAGACACTGTTCTCATTGACTGACTTCATTAACTCTTGTAACAAGACAGAAAATAAGTTCAGTTACCCTCATTTCATACATGGTGAAAACTGAAGCACAGAGAGATTAATGCCCTCAGTCACCTAGCCAATTAATGGAGGGGCAGGATTGGAACCCAGGCTTGTCCAGCTCCACTACTGTGCCCCGTTGCCTCCATCTTGGAGAACCCAGTTCTCAGGTCCCTTTCTGTAGCTCTTTACCCTGCCTCACCCATCCAGTTGGTCTGCAACATTCACAGGGGCTCCTTCCTGGTCTACCCCGATGGAGATGTGTCACGGCCCCTGGTCCGAGAGCGTCTGTGGGTCAACAGTGACTTCAACTTTGACAACGTCCTTTCAGCCATGATGGCCTTATTCACCGTCTCCACCTTTGAAGGCTGGCCTGCGTGAGGGGCTGGGACCCAGGGATGGGCAGATAACTGGGCAGGAATCTCCAGAGGACTGGCCTGTGGTTTCCTGGGAATAGATGGGAGGGTATCTTGGGATGTAATGAAGTTCTCTTAAGACTGGATAGGGTTTTCTGGGAATTGATGGACATTAGAGAATTGGGTGAACATATTAGAGAAGATGAATGGGAGTGGGAATCTGGGCGGGAAGTCTCCAGGAATTGACCAGAGGTCTCAGAGGGACTAGGTTGAAGTCTAGAGAGGACTAGGTAGGACTTATGGAGGACTAGGCAGAGGTCTGGGGGGACTGGGTGAGGGACTCAGAAGAGATGGAGCTGGATAGTCAGGGGTTTCCAGAGAACTTAGTGAAAGATCTCTGGGAACCAAAGAATTCAAGTTGATAGGACAGGGGATTTAGAGATCTCTAGGAGTTCATAGGGGGAATTGTGGGGAGCTTCATGAGATCTCCGTTGTTATAGAAGGGGGCTGGGGAGTCTATGAAAAGTTAAGGGATATGGGGGTCTTATATGGTTTGGTGGTAATTGCGTGGGGTATTTTGGAGGTCTCAGGTGGTTAGGTCAGGGGATTAGGAGTCTTTGGGGGGGGGCAAGAAGGAGTCTGATAAGTTGTCAGGGGGGATGGTCTGAGAGGGTGGGCATTTCCCCTCACCTGCCCCAACGGCTCCCCAGGCTTCTATACAAGGCCATAGATGCACACGCAGAGGACAAGGGCCCCATCTATAATTACCATGTGGAGATTTCAGTGTTCTTTATTGTCTACATCATCATCATCGCGTTTTTCATGATGAACATCTTTGTGGGCTTCGTCATCATCACCTTCCGTGCCCAGGGTGAACAGGAATACCAGAACTGTGAGCTGGACAAGAACCAGGTAGCCTCTGACCCCTAACATAGCCTACTCCTTACTCATGGCCACCTCCAACCCTCCCCCCAATTCCTTGCATTAGCACTCCAGTGCTCACTCATGCCCTGCACTCATGCAGCGCCAGTGTGTGGAGTACGCGCTCCAGGCCCAGCCGCTCCGCCGCTACATCCCCAAGAATCCACATCAGTATCGCGTGTGGGCCACTGTGAACTCTACTGCCTTTGAATATCTCATGTTCCTGCTCATCCTGCTCAACACAGTTGCTCTAGCCATGCAGGTCTGAGCTCCCCAGCCTCACCCCTGCCAGACATATGGCCCTGTTCTGTCTCCATAGTCCCATGAGAACTGTTAGGAATACTTTAGGTATCAAGTGACGAAACTCCCAGCTGTCAAACTTAAGCTATAAAGGATTTTGCCATGCCTCTTCAAATCTAAGGTCAATAATCATAAGCTGCATCATGACTTCAGAGATGTAAGAATGTGGAGGAGAAATGGCAGTTATAAGTTGCTATTGATAGTAAAATCCACCCCAATTTCAGAGATTCTAAAGTGTGAAAAGATGTGCATCATATAGCAATAAAATGTGGCAGTTGCCTCATTTAGTAACAAGTGTCTAGGTAGCCTGCTTGCTTAATGCTCATCAGGGACCTAACTCTATCTTTCTGCTCCACCATTCTTAAGAAAGTTGCCTTTCATTTCACAATTGTTCCTTCGTGGTCACAAAATGACTGCCACAAATTCAGGTATCAATAACATATTCAAAGCAGGAAAAAGGAAGGAAGGTTGTATCCAGAGGCTCTCCTCCTCTGAACCTTTTATTGGAAAACAAGAATTTTTCACGGAAGCCACCCAGCCAGCAGTCACCTTGAGTTTATGCCTCATTAGTCAGAATTAGCTGGGGGGGGGGGAATAAAACACCTCAGAACTCCAGAGCAGGCTTTCCGATAGGCAGAATGGGAGGCAGACAGTGTACACGATTTGGCAGTCCACAGTGCTTCTACATGCCAGGCTCACCTGGGTCCAAGCCAGAGAATATTTGCTTGGGGATCTCTGCCGCCAGCTCTGTCCCACACCTGGTTTTCTCTCTAGCACTATGAACAGACGCCTCCTTTCAACTACACCATGGATATCCTCAACATGGTCTTCACTGGCCTCTTCACTGTTGAGATGGTGCTCAAAATCATCGCCTTCAAACCCAAGGTGCCCCGCCCCCAGCCCTAGACTGACCAACAGTGAGTGAATTCCCTAGGGTGGAACTCTCGTGGGGATAATAAGCAGGGAGTCAAGAGACAAGGGAGTGCTTGGGATCCAGATGCAGGCCCATCAAGTGGTCCAAGCTGGACCCTACTTTCTCAGTAACCCTTACCACTACTAACCTCCTACCCCAGCCCTGCTAGCTCTGAGAAGACAGCTCTCTGCTTTCCTCCTGCCTCTAGCATTACTTTACTGATGCCTGGAACACATTCGATGCTCTTATTGTGGTGGGCAGCGTGGTGGACATTGCTGTCACTGAAGTCAATGTGAGAACTGGCCTCCTTACTAACCCACTCTTCCCCTATCAACTCTTCCCCACCTCGACCCCAGGGGTCTCTTTCATATGGATAGATGGTTCCCACTCACATCTGTCCCTCTCATAAAGACTCATTATAGATCTATTTCTTCCAACTTCCTATAGTGTTCTACCATCTCCCTAATCCCATTTTCACCTATCCTCTGGGTTCCATTATCTGCTAAAATGACTCTCCTGTTATTTATGTTATTTCCTCCATTGCCTTTCCACCCCCATCCATTGGCTCCACGATCTCCACCAACTCCTGGCTTCAATTCCATCATCTCTTCTGACTTCGTTTCTTCCACTGACGCCATTATTCCCAACATTGGATCTTTCATGGTTCTGTCATCACCACTGACTCTGCGGTTGGCTTCATCATCACCTCCATTGAGTAATACCTTGTCCTCTCACTACTGGTTCCATATCACCATCTCTGACTTCTCCATTGGGTCTCCCACTTGTTCTCTCATCACTATAAATCTCCATGAAACCACTGATTCCATCATTCCCTCCATTGGTTTCAATATCTATCCTCCATCATCTCCTGTACCCTCTCTCCTTCTTTCCATTCTCATCCCCAATTATTTTTACAATCTTCTTTATCCACTACCTCATGACGTTTCCAATCTTTCCTTGCATAACTTCCTACACTTCCTATGCTTGTTCCATAACTTCTCCCCATGTTGGACTTGTGATCTCATTGTCTCCTCTATCATATCTGTCTGGGCCATATTTACCTCCAGAATGGTGGCCACCTTGGCGAGGTAGCACCCCATCCCACAAAGGGACTTTTTGCTTCCTTCTTCACTCACCCTCCCTTCCTATCTTCCTGAAGTCTCTTCACAACCCTGGGGCCTGAGTACTGAGATATTTGGGGACTGGGAGGGCCAAAACATGAGACAGAGAAGCAACTGGAGCATATGTGCCCTGACATACCCTCTACACACCTAACTCCAGAGCTCTGAAGACAGTTCCCGCATTTCGATCACCTTCTTTCGCCTCTTCCGAGTCATGCGACTGGTCAAGCTCCTCAGTAAGGATGAAGGGATCCGCACATTGCTCTGGACATTCATAAAGTCTTTCCAGGTAAACACCCCCACTCCCTTGACCAGTCCTCATTCCCACCTCACATGTCTCAATCTGCCTTTTTACCACACTACATCTCCCAGCATGCCGTACCCCACTGCGTTTTCTCCATTTTCTAGGCTCTCAATTCCCAACATGCATGGCCTCACTGACCTTACTTTACTGTATTTAATATTGTGTTCACATTTGAGAGACATTGGTAGGCATGGGCACTTTGGGGGTGGAGCACAACAGGCCCAGGCCTGATGGGAACAGACATTTTGGAGCTCATAGTTCTCTGCCCAGACCTAAATCTCTCTCCTCCTCTCCACCCTAGGCCTTGCCCTATGTGGCTCTTCTCATTGCAATGATATTCTTCATTTATGCAGTCATTGGGATGCAGGCAAGTGGGGACCTTGGAGAGCATCCCTTGGGCACTCGTCTCTGCTGAGAGGGGTTGGGTAGGAAATGCCCCAAAGTGGAGGTATTAGGTGGAAAAATAGACAGACCAGGCTAGAGTACATCCACGTGGCTCAGCAGTGTCTGTTGGTCAGGGTTGTAAGGATCCTTTAGATATTAGGAGTTGTGAAGTGAGCAGAAATGTGAAATGGGGGGAAGGGGATGGGTTCACCCCTCTGACACAGCCCCTATGTGGCCACAGATGTTTGGCAAGGTGGCTCTTCAGGATGGCACACAGATCAACAGAAACAACAACTTCCAGACCTTTCCACAGGCTGTCCTTCTGTTGTTCAGGTGATGTGTATCACTCTCCCTTGCCACTTTAATCCCCAGAATGCTCTCGGATGCCCACACATCTCTGGGCCCCAGATAGAATGAGCCAAGGAAATAACAGGGCACCAGAAGACCCCATATTGTTTGAGACCTCTTCTAGTTGTGCTCTAAGTTTTTTTTAGAAGAATATTCTAAGTGTTCTCATTATTTAAATATTACAAGCAGAAAAAAGGATGTCTGTAATGTGCATCCTTTTTCTGGCTATAATATATGTCCCCTTCTTAGAACTCAGAATCTCATCTGTTAAATAAGATCAGGACTATATCATCATGGCCATGCCAGCTTTAAAAATACTGAAATGCTTTCTGTGCCAGATGCAGTCCCTGGTGAAAAACGGGTCTTCTCCTTGCCCCTTCAGACCCCACAGCCCCACTTGCCATGTCTTTATAGTCCCCCTCCAGGACTGTACCCCTGTATGACCCCCAGGTGTGCCACTGGTGAGGCCTGGCAGGAGATAATGCTTGCCAGTCTTCCCGGAAATCGATGCGACCCTGAGTCTGATGTCAACCCTGGTGAGGAGTTTACCTGTGGCAGCAATTTTGCTATCGCCTACTTTATCAGCTTCTTCATGCTTTGTGCCTTCCTGGTGAGGATCACTTCCCCACAACCTCTACCACTGCTGCTATAGGGGCTGGTTTGGAGGGGCCTGGGGTGAGGTGGTGAACCAAGGTCTTAAGAGTGGTGAAAGGGCTGACCTGACAACTGGATCAACTCAAATGTTTGTGACCCAGTGGCCATATGACTTAATCAGCCTCCCACCAGCTCTCTGCTCTGCCCTTTCCTTAAGCCCACCCCTGCTCACTGCCCACAGATTATAAATCTCTTTGTGGCTGTGATCATGGACAACTTTGATTACCTAACCAGAGATTGGTCGATACTGGGACCCCACCACCTCGATGAATTCAAGAGGATCTGGTCTGAATATGACCCTGGAGCCACGTATGCCCTCTAATCCCACATCTGGGGTTCCGGGGGGCAGTGCGCCACCCAGCACAGTCCCCCAGACCCAGACCTCTGCCCTCTGCCTCTCACTACCTGGTCAGTAGATAATCCAGCGTTCCCACTGCTCCTCTCTTTTGCCCGCTTCCTCCCGTGGCCACCATCCAGTTCTTCCCTGGAAGGCCTAGGGTGTTGGTGGAAGGGGGCAGTGACTAATTAGTGAGGCCCAGAGAAAGAGCTAGATGGGGGGTATCTACAATCCACTGGTGCCTCCCACCCATCCCCACCTGCCCCAGGGGCCGCATTAAGCACCTGGACGTGGTTGCCCTGCTGAGACGCATCCAACCTCCCCTGGGATTTGGGAAGCTGTGCCCACACCGAGTGGCCTGCAAGGTCTGTGCCTCTGCCCTCACACATCCCCACCTCTGAGAGTATTGCCCACCACGCAGCAGGGGCATTCATACCTGCAACCCCTGCACCTGCCTAACACCGTTCCATATCCCTGGTGTGCAGAGACTCGTGGCAATGAACATGCCCCTCAACCCAGATGGGACCGTGACATTCAATGCCACCCTCTTTGCCCTGGTTCGGACATCCCTAAAGATCAAGACAGAAGGTGTGTGAGGGGGAAGTGGAGGGGGGCACGGAAGCAGGAAGTGGAGAGAGTGTGGGGAGCAACTCATTGAACAATGGGCCTCACTTTCAGCTCTGAACCTCAAAATGGGTAGCTGTCTTCCCCAGGACTGTTTTCCCACCTGTCTGGTGGGGGCAATATGTTGCTCAGTAAAGCTGGTGAAGCCCCCTCCAACACTGAGGGAGAAGCTATGAAGGGCTCTTCCTATTGGCTCATGCTCCACCTCCTCTCGCTGCAGGGAACCTGGAGCAAGCCAATCAGGAGCTGCGGATTGTCATCAAAAAGATCTGGAAGCGGATGAAGCCCAAGCTGCTAGATGAAGTCATCCCCCCTGCAGACGGTGAGCTAACCCCATCCCAGCGCTTTGAGCCTGGCTTTGAATGTCAAACGATTGCTCACCACTACAAAACTGCACTGGCTGGGGAGGGGAGCAGAGGGGAGCCCATGCTGCGAGCAGGGTAGGGGGTGAAATACAGACCCCTTATGTAACCTTGCTTCTTCTCCCTTGCCTCCCCCCCAGAGGAAGAGGTCACTGTGGGCAAATTCTATGCCACATTTCTGATCCAGGACTATTTCTGCAAATTCCGTAGGAGGAAAGAAAAGGGACTACTACGGACTGAAGCCCCCCCAAGCACTTCCTCTGCCCTTCAGGTCTTCACAGCAGGGTCTTGAATGGGGGGGGGGAGGCTAAAGCATTGTGACTGAAGCTAACTGCCCATGGAACCCATGTCACAGATGAGGAAACTGAGGCCCCAGGACCCACAGAGCGTCAGGAATAGCTGAGGGGCTCCTTCCCCCACCCACATTCCTAAAGGGGAAGTAGGCTCATGGAGAGAGGACTTAGGCCCTGAGATGTCCCAGTTCCCTACTTTTCCACCCCACAGGCTGGTCTGAGGAGCTTACAAGTCTTGGGCCCAGAGATCCGGCAGGCCCTCACCTGTGACATAGATGAAGAGGAACAAGAAGAGCAGGAGGGGGAAGAAGATGAGAAGGACCCAGAAAAGCACAAAGTGAGGACAAGTTTACACACAGACACCCCCAGGGACTCTTGATTGTAAAGTATGACTTCAACCCCCAGTGATTCTGACACTGCCGCTGTGGGAAGCCCTCTAGAGAAGCCCCCCCTGCAATAGATCAGTGTTTATATGGTAACTGCCCTCTGCTGTTTAAGGGCAGATTCAGCCCCTGGGGAGCTCATTAGAGACAGACTATATGACCGAGTGACTGAGAACACGGATGCACAGCTCAGTCCTGTAACTTCCTCAGGCCCCAGTGGACTTCCAGCCCCCATCTCGCCGGAGTTCCATGATTTCTGTGTCACTGCCTTCTGGGGACAGACTTCCAGATTTGCTCTCCCTTGGACCCAGTGACGACAGTTGGGGGTGGGCCAACTCCAGACAGCCCAGTGTGCCCCAAGCTGGATCCCATGCCCACAGGTTGGTCAAGGATCTGGGGGAAGATTGTGAGGCAGTAACTCAAAAGGCAGGGAATGGCCCTTATGTGGAAATCTGTGGAGGGTGAGTGGGACCTAAGGGCACAGGTAGGGACACAGGAGTAATAAAAGATTCCCACATTGAAGGAACACAAAGGTTTAATGCAAAAGGATATCATGTGGAACTAAATGGGTTTAAGTTCAAATCCTGGCTCTGTCATTTGCTAAAGAACCTTGGGCTAGTCACTTGCTTTCCATGGCCTTCAATTTCCTCACTTGTGAAAAGGGGAGTTAATAACACTGGAAGGGTAAAATGAGGTCACTCCTAGCTTCGACAGCCTCTTCCTCCTCTCCCCTGCCCCAACGCACCCCTAGCTCTTATGTTGAAGCTGTCTCTCCAACAGGCCAACTTTGATTACTTTGAAACCTGGGTCCTTCCAAGGACACAAACATCTATTAAAAGGAAGCCCACATTTGCTCTACAATGATGACAGGTTGATTTATATTAATGTTCTCAGATAAAAAAAATAAAGCCCATTGCTTCTCTAAGGGGTGGGGATGGAATGGAAGAGAGCCAGGGACCCAAAGTCTCACACTGGAATCTAGTCAGCCTGACTTGCCTCACTTTTCCCAGGAGAAGCTCTGGGGCTCTCATATGCACCATTCCAGAAGAAAGAAGTTCCCAGCCCAAGGGAACCCAAGAGGACAAGTCGAATAAGGAAGAGGATGTCCCTGGCCAATTCTCTGGCCATGACATGTGGGATGAGCCCATGAGCTGTGTGGGAGGGCAGGACTGATGGCATCCCTTCACGTAGGCCTGAGCTAACCACCAGCCCCTCTCCTGCACAGGCTCTCCTACCTAGAGGAGCAGGTAGAAATGTTCCCATGCCCCCTCCTTTTGCCACCTCAAGGACCACAGAGATATGTGGACAGGCATCATGCACCACGCCGCCGACTGCTACCCCCCACACCCACAGGTGAGTGTGAGCATGGGTCATAGGGGCCCCCCAAGAGCCAACAGCCCAGAGGGGTATCAACCCTGCTCACTGGCCCACTCCCCGACAGCCCCAGGTCGGAAGCATTCCTTCACTATCCAGTGTCTACAGCGCCAGGACAGCTGTGAAGATTTACCCATCCCGGGCACCTATCACTGTGGGCGAAACTCAGGGTCCAGCATGGGGCAGGTGAGGCAGAGGAAGGGGTGCTGAGGTCTGGAGGAGGGGGGCATCTGATGGAGTTATCAAACACACTTTATGTCAGTCCTTCTGCAGAATGAGGCACACATGAATTCACACAATGCTCACTACCATTTTTTAAAGGATATATCTTTATTTATTTATGCTTACAGACTGGGGTACAGGCCAGAGGTGTGGTGGGTGAGAGGATTCACCAGAAACAGTGGGGAGCAGAACAGGTAGATTGACAAAGTACACTGCTGAGGGGAGCAGCGGGCGGGTCAAGAGAGGTCTGCCGCACCATGTGGGTCAGGTCCCTGGCCGGGATGGAACTTGTGCTGCAGTGGTTTCGGAGAGCTTCATAATTTGCTGCTTTAACCCATTGCACCACCAGGGAGAGCCCACTTCCCATGCTCTTAAATAAACTCGAGTCTGACTCACACCCTTTCCATTTAACTCCAGTTCTATTTGGTGGGTAAGAGGTAGGCGCAGGATTGAGTTCTAGACCCTCACATTCTACTCATTAATCACTGGCCCCTGCTGTTTATTCTTGTCCAGGGTTCCTGGGCAACCCCTCCTCAGCGGGGTCGGCTTCTGTATGCCCCACTGCTGTTGGTGGAGGAGGGTGCTGCTAGGGAAGGCTACGTGGGCAAATCCAGCAGGCCACTGTGCACCTTCACCTGTCTACACATGCCTGGACCGCACTCTGACCCCAGCCACGGCCAGAGGGGCGGGGCCGACAGCCTGGTGGAGGCTGTGAGTTCAGAGGGGCCTGGGCAAAAGGAATGGAGAGGAGAGGAAGGGGGGTTTGCCAGAGGGGAAAGGGCCCCCGGTCTCTGTGTTGTGCATGGAAAAGTCCCTTTGCTCTGCAACTTTTGCCCAACCTGATGTGCACACCATTGTCCCCCCCACCCACTTCCTTGCACGCCCTCATAGGCACATCCTTTATCCACACTGACCCTGTGCACACCACTTCCACTCCGTGCTGTGCTCCCTGTCGACCTGAGCTCATCTGTGTCCCCAGGTGCTTATCTCTGAAGGACTGGGCATCTTTGCCCAAGATCCGAGCTTCGTGACCCTGACCAAGCAGGAGATTGCAGATGCATGTCACCTGACGCTGGACGAAATGGACAGTGCTGCCAGTGACCTGCTGGTACAGGGGGCCAGTGCTGTCTATAGTGACGAGGAGTCCATCCTCTCTCACCTTGATGAGGAGGACCTGGGAGATGAGATGACCTGCGTCCATGCCCTCTAAATCCCCACCTCTCCCCCTTGCTCAATAAACTGCCTGCCTTCTTTCCCCAGAGGGAGACAGGCATGAACCACACCTCTGGACTTCGGTCTCTTTGCACTGGAGACCTGGGCTGCCCAGGGGCTTCCGTTCATCCATCTCCTGTTTCAGCCCTGAGCCACTGCCCACACACAGGTATTTCCAGAAACCAGGACAGCCAAGCTTGATTATTCAGCGTCAGGAAAGGAGGGAGGAGAAGAAGGGAGAGACAGCAGCCTAAAAAAGCTGGAGACAGAATGGAGGTGGTGGGGGAAGGGAAAGGCACTGGACAGAGATGAAGAAAATAGGAGGGAGCAGTTGTATGGGAGCTTAGGTGAAGATTGGGGGAAAGTCAGAGATGTCACTAGGGGTCAGTCAGGTCAGGTCAAACTGAGGGAGGACAGATGAATGGGAAGGAAAGGATAAGCAAATCCACAGGAGAGTCCCGCCAGTAGAAAGGCCTGGAGGTTGGAATCGGCCTGGTATGTCAGCAGAGAGGTTCTTTGACAGCCTCAGAAATTTCAAGGAGACTAAATTGGGATCACCTCGACCTTGAGCCTGAGAAAAGAAGATATGGTGACTGCAAAGGGCAGGGCTCCCAGTCTGGGGGAACCCGCTCCATACCCACCTGATTTTCCCAAAAACCATTCTCCTCCCACACAGATCTCAGTTCCTTTCTGCTTCCCCTAGATTTAGCTGTTGCCCAACCTTTGGGGTCTTGTTCATTCAATGAAGGTTTATCAGACTATTTACTTTCTGCAGGCACTACCCCCAGGCTTCCCTCAGGACAAACCAAGCTGGCTTAGACATGAGCTAGAGCTTGTCCAAAGTGGTAGTCAGCCCCACTCCAAAGGAATCCAAGGCAGTGTTAGGAGTGGAGCTAGATGGATGTGGGGTCTCTGCACAGCTTTCCCATTTGTATAACTCTGTCAATCAAACCAGAAATTTGAGGGAAGCCAGAGTTGGAGACCAGGATTCAGAATACAGAATTAGACAAAGCATTGAAACAAAACTTGAGTTGTATGGCTGGTGTTCAGTGGAAACAGCAAGTCATTGGCAGGGCAAAAAGTGAAGGGAGACTGTGGAGAAATTGGGCTAGAGAAGTTACCTGAAATTAGATGATGTCTTGAATGTCAGGCCCCAAACCCTGGCATTGTCCCTAAAATCTATGGGCAGCATGGGAGAGGTTTGAGCAGGGTAGTGATATAGTTAACTTTGCATTTTAAATAGATGCTCTGACGGATGTGCTGAAAACAGAAGGGAGGGGGAAGAGAATAGAGATGCTAAAATTGGCAGGCCTTAGCCTTAGCCAGGGGAGGTGGCAGAGGAGATGGTGAGAAGTGAGAGGATTCCAGAGATGTGTAGGAGGTAAAATGAACCATTTATTGGGCCCTGTGCTAAGAGCATTACAGTGATTATCTTGTTTAATCAGTGCAACAATCTTGTAGGTACCATTTAAAACCATCTTATATGTCCAAAGTCATAAAGGAATGAATATTGGAGGAGGGATTCAAATTCCAGCAAATTGAATGCCAAAGCCCATATTCTTCCCAATAAGGCAAAAACTGAAGTATCCATTACACATGTGTATGAACTTGAGTACCTGCGTTTGTGCATGCAAGACTATGGAGGAATACAGGGAAACTGAACAAGGGGTCAGAAAAAAGACAAAATTAGCAGGCAAACTAAATCCAAGACATACAGTGAGGGAGGGGAGGGAGAGGGGTCAAAACAGGGAGGAAAGAGCACAAGAAACTATGGTGGTGGTTCACCAACAATGTGGTGGTGGGGATTTTATGGGGATTACACCTGTGGGGAGATATCAAACATTGTACAAGAAGGAACAACAGTGTTAAATATATATGTATGTATGTATGTGTATACGTATGTATGTATGTATGTATCGGCCCTCCCTGGTGGCACAGTGGGTTAAAGCACAGCACTAAAAAGCTAAACCACTTCAGCATGAGTTCGATCCCCACCTCGGGAGGTGACCACATGGCACAGCAGACCTCTCCTGACCTGTCTGCTGCTCCCCTCAGCGGTGTACTTTGTCTGTCTGTCTGTTCTGCTCCCCACTCTGTCTCTGGGGAATCCTCTCACCACCCCTGCACCTCTGGACTTTACCCCAGTTATGTACACATAAATAAATAAATATTTTACATATATATAGTCTACATTCAGATGATTCTAGCATTTCCCTTCCCTCTGGGGATAACCAGTGTTATCAGGTATCTTTTCTTCATGCATAAGGTACAGCACTGATAAATTAGCACAGTGGTTAAGAGTAACAGATGCGGGCCCTCCCTGGTGGTGCAGTGGGTTAAAGCACAGCACTAAGAAACAAAAGCCACTTCAGCATGAGTTCGATCCCCGCCCCAGAGGTGACTCACATGGTGCAGCAGACCTCTCCTGACCCGCCTGCTGCTCCCCTCAGCAGTGTACTTTGTCAGTCGGCCTGTTCTGCTCCCCACTCTGTCTCTGGTGAATCCTCTCACCGCTCCTGTACCTCTGGCCTGTACCCCAGCTCTGTATACATAAATAAATAAATCTTAAAAAAAAAGAGTAACAGATGCTAGAACCAGACTTACTAGGTTCAAATCCTAGTTCTACCACTTACCATGACCATAAGGTCATGTGATCTAATGAAAATTCTTTCACCTCTCTGTACCTTTTTCAGCTTTAAGATAATAGCAGTGGTGTCTACCTCATAGGATTGTTTTGAGGGTTTAAAAGAGTGATATATGTAAAGTTCTCGGAACAATTATTTGACACAAAACTGCCATAATGTAAAAAGTTAACTTTTCTCTGGCACATCTTAAAACAACTAGCAACAACAAGGATGTGGAGAAAAAGGAATGAACTCTCCCACACTGCTGCTGGGAATGCAAACTAGTAAAACCACTGTGGAAAACTGCTTGGAGGTCCCTCAAACTGCTAAGCATGGAGCTTCCCTATGACCCAGCAATCCCACTCCTAGGTATCTACCCAAAAGACACAAAAACACTGATTCAAAAAGATACCTGCACCCCCATGTTTATTGCTGCTTTATTTACAATTGGAAAAACATGGAAGCAGCCTAAATGCCCAAAAGTAGATGACTGGATTAAAAAGATGTGGGACATATATACAATGGAATATTACTCAGCAACCAAAAAAGAGGTTTCTCTTTTGCAGCAACTTGGATGGAGCTGGAAAAGATCATGCTTAGTGAGATAAGCCAGAAAGAGAAAGAAAAATACCGGATGGTTTCACTCATAGCAGGAGTATAATGGACCAGGCGGAAAATAACAAAAATAATGAGCAACCATATACCAGAGACATTTTGTGGGTTGGAGTGGGGAATGGGATCAAAAACGGGGTGGGGGGAGGGAAATGCATGGGATTATGGTGATGGTACATGGGTGACTTGGTGATGGGAAACCCGCGGGGATTACAATTGAGATGGAAAAAAAATGTACAAAATGATGTAAAAATAAACTTTTGTAATAAAAAAAAGAATTACAAAAAAAAAGGAAAAATACCAGATGGCTTTGCTCAAAGCAGGAGTATAAAGGACCAAGGGAGAAAATAATAATAATAATGAACAACTATATACCAGAGACATTTTATGGGGATGGAGTGAGGATGCGATAAAAAATGGGGGTGGGGGTGTGCACTGGACTATGGTGATGGCACATGGGTGATTTGGTGATGGGAAGCCCACGGGGATTTATAACTGAGATGGAAAAAGGCACAAAATGATGTAAAACATAAACTATTATATTATTTTTTAAAGATTTATTTATTTATGAATACAGAGCTGGGGTACGGGCCAGAGGTGCAGGGGCAATGAAAGGATTCACCAGAGACAGAGTGGGGAGCAGAACAGACCGACTTATGAAGTACACTGCTGAGCGGGCGGGTCAGGAGAGGTCTGCTGCGCCATGTGGGTCACCTGCAGGGCGGGGATCAAACTCATGCTGAAGTGGCTTTAGCTTCTTAGTGCTGTGCTTTAATCTGCTGTGACACCAGGGAGGGCCTCTATTATATTGCTTTTTTAAAAAGCAGCAGTGACAAGACAGGGAGAGAAACACAAAATAAAAACAGTATTTTGTTTTTGAAAAAAAAAAGTTAGCTATTCTCTCTATAATTGTGATATAATCCTTTCCTTCTCTTCATTCACAATTCCCACAGAGTTTGGCATCTTTTATTTCTTACTTAACCCAATATAGCAGTGGTTATCCCATATCTCCATATCATTACAGACAGCTGCATAGCACTCCATTTTTTGGCTGTATCAGTTTATTTAAAGAAGCTGCCAGTAATGAGTTTTTAGGGAGGATCCACTCTTTATTATAAACAGCACTGTCGTTTATCAACAGGCTATCTGGAAGGTTAATCACCAGAAGTGTAAATGCTGAACCAAACAGGATATGAATTTGCTTTTTACTAGATTTTACCATATTGCCCTCTACCAAGGTTATACTAACATAACTTCCATTGGCAATGAATGAGAATACCTGTTTCTGGCCAACCTACCAATTTTGAACATTATCAAACTTTTTTATATTCACCACTCTCAAAGATGAAAAACTACCTAACTAGTAGGCACTTATTTTAGTCTGAGTGAGGTTGAGCATCTTAGGTTCCAACTATCACGATTCAATGGATTTTGCAACATGGCAATCTCCATGACTTCTTTGGGCCTGGTCTTAGCAGCAGAGAGCAAGAGAAGGTTGAGGAATAAATATAGAGAGTTGAATTCAGCAAGAATTTGACTAAAAGGAACAGAGAACTAGGAAAAACTGTTAAGAGAGAGAAGAGAGTTTTTAAAGTGTACGTAAAATGCAGACAAGAAACCCTTAAGACATTGGACTAAAGAGACTAAAGCTTTAACTGCAGGAACTTTGCGCACTGCCAACTACTAGCTGGGAGACCCTGTGCAAGTCACTTAACCTCTCTGGGGTCTTTATCCTTATTTGTAAAAATGGGACTGAGTACCACATAGTGCTGTTGTAAGGATCAAATGAGTGAATACATTCAGCAAACTCGGTGAAAGGTCTGGCAGAATTGTCACGCCATATGATGCAGCCGTCTAGCAGTTCTGAGAGAAAACGATCTTCCTCGACCACTCTCATTGCCAGTACTGGGCCGGAATGGCGACCGGAGAGCCTCCGGCACTGTCCTCTGTGCGCAGGCGCGCTCAGCAAGGGAGGTGGGGGGGGCGAGAGGCGGAGCTGCAGCCTCTGGGCTGTTCCAACGATCGTACGCCACCCCCGCCGCGCCCCGCGCCCGCCCTTGCTAGCAGGCGCCTCCCGCCCCCCGCATTGCTGATGCTGCTGCTGGCAGACATGGACGTGGTGAATCAGGTACGCGTTCCAGCACCGCGGACAGAGCCCGCCGCTGCCCTGCCGCCCCGCCTAGGTCACAGTGGCCCGCCGACTGTGAGAGGTGGTGGTCAAGGTTCTGGTAGTGGACACCCTGTCCCCGGTGCTGGGGCTGGGGTCTGCGGCAGGCGAGGGGAGGAAGGGGGAGATGGAGAAAAGGATTGCGCCCTTTGCCGCAGCGAGGGCCATCCTCACTGCCGCAGCAGAGGCCACCAGAAGCCTAGTTCAATACAGGCACCCGGAGGGGAGGACTAGGGGTCTTGGAACTGGGGTGCGGGCAAGGGGGAGAGGAGAGGAGAGTGGTAGGAAGGTGGGGGGTGCTGCGGCTGAGCTAGGAAATAGAGCGACAGAAGGCATGAGGGCGGGGGTGGGAGGTGGGGGGGGGAGGAATGGCACCTGCTCCTCCCAAACAGAGAGGGTACCCTGGTGGACGACCACCCCTTCCCCCAGAGCAGACTAAAGGGAATAGTCCGGTTTTGCCTTTCCAAAACCGCTAGTCTCCCCCCAGCACATATCCATTGAAGTAATGTCCCAGCCCTCCCCCACCTTAATCAGCCCAGACCCTCTCTGCCTTCTCACTCTTCTTCCCCATCTCAGAGCCTCACCCCCTCTCTAACCAGTACCAACTCCTCCCTGTCCTCATCACCTTAGACCCCCCACTACCACCATCTGACTCACCTTTACCGCTGTAGACCCCTCCCCCACCCTAGCCAGCCCAATCCCTCCCTGTTATGACTCACCTTCACCACTCAGACCCCCTCCCCCACCTAATGAACCCCGACTCTTTTCTCATTCTCTCAACCCGACCCCTAACTAGTCGTGGCTCCATCCTCACCTTCCCTAACTAGTCGTGCCTCCATCCTCATTTTCCTCACCTCTGACACCCTCTGCCATCTGACTCACCATCTCCCCAGACCTCTGCAGCAGTCCTGAACCCCAAGGGTCTTCTCTCAGAGACCCTGTCTGTGTTCACACCTTCCACTAAATGTCACTTTCTCCTTCTCACCTCTTCTCCGAACTGAACTAACGTCACTCCTTCTCGGAGGTCACATGCCCTATCCCTAGGGGTCATCGCCTGCCAGCCTTGCCCCTTGCCTTCCTCTCCATCCTTAACAACCCCACCCCACCCCCACCATTTTTCTCCTCAGTTGGTGGCTGGGGGTCAGTTCCGGGTGGTCAAGGAGCCCCTCGGCTTCGTGAAGGTGCTGCAATGGGTGAGTGTGGCCTGGACAGTGGGGAGAGGGTGGCAGGGCAATGGGTTCTGGAAGAACAAGGATGGACCCAGAGTGGAGATCAAGGAATGGATGGTTGAGTGGGGTCAGAATGGACTGGGGGAATTGGGTTCCAAGATAAAGTCCCTGGGGGGTTGGTGCTAGAGAATGACTGGACTGTGATGTGACGTCACGTAAGGTCGAGGGTGCCCATGTTGTGAAATGGAAGACTAGTGAATTCCTATCTGCTCTCCTGAGGTGAGAGATGGGCAAGGGAGGTGGAGTCTGAAGCCCATTGCTGGGGGAGAAGGTGCAAAGCCAAAAAACCCAGAGACAGTGAAGGTGACAGAGAGAATGAACGTGGGAATGATGGGAAGAAATGGACATATCAAGAAAAAGACATAGAAATGAAAGAGAGAAGATAGAAAGAGACAAAGAAAAGGAAGCCAGAGAAAAATGCACAGAGATCAGAGATGCAAAGAAGTAGACATAGGAGCAGAGACAGAAAAAATGGGCTGGGGGTAGAATAAGAGACACAAGAAAGACAGAAAGAGAGGCTCGAGGGACACAGCAAGGCCAGCATCGAGGCAGAGTGAGAGAGAGTAGACAGAGAGCCCAGAGAAACAGTCTTACATTCACACAGAGAAGCAGGAAAGGGGGACGGAAAGAGATGCCTATACTAAAGAGACAGAGGAGCAGAGATACCGCGAGACAAGCAGACACCTGAGAAAGACACATAGAAAAACAGGGACAGTGAGAAATAGAGATGTAGAAAACAAGAGACAGAAAGAAATACGGAGATAGACTTAGAAATAGAGAGGCTGGGACTGGAGTTGGGGGGCGAGGTACTCATCATTGAGCTGTAGACACAGAGACACTGGGAGAGAGACTGAGATAGCCACACCCCTATAATCAGCTTGTCCTTGGACCCGATGAGCCCTGATTAGAGGGTGGGGGTGGGGACCGTCCATCTGCTGCTGCCTGTGCTGGCCCCTATCTGTCCGGAGAAGTGCCCCCCCTCCCATGTGCACAGGGGCTCACTGTGATCATCCGTGCTGCCCAAGGTCTTTGCCATCTTCGCCTTTGCCACATGCGGCAGTTACAGTGGAGAGCTCCAGCTGAGCGTGGAGTGTGCCAACAAGACCAAGAGTGACCTCAACATCAAGGTCGAATTCGAGTACCCCTTCAGGTGTGCCCTCACCCTAGCCTTCCCCTGGGATCCCAACCGACCTGGGAGGGGGCGGGAGGCTGGGTGGGATCGCCAACACCTCCTCCCCTGCAGCTCCTGCCCAGCCCTCACCTCAGACAACCACACCCATTCAGGTCACTGCGCATGCACCGAGCACCTACCTGGTGCCTGGCACTGCTCTGGACCTTCTAGGACGTGGGTGAGCTAGTCAGGCAAAGACTGCTACCTTCTGACTATGTCCTGGTTCAGGGGGAGGTGGGGAAGAGGCAGAAATGGCAATACACAAGATTCAAACGTAAAAGGTATGACTTATATGTATATATAGCCTTAACACAGTAGGTGCTCAATTAATGTTAGCCAATATTATTATTTTATCTACTCGTTATTATTACTATTTACTTCCCTTTCACTTATTCCATACCCTTTTTTTTTTTTTTTTGAGAGAGAATCTACTCTATGCCAAGTACTGCTCAAAGCGCTGGGGACCTAACAGTGAACACAGGCTAAGCTTCTGCCCTCACGGAGCCAATATTGTAACAAGTAAATAGATTAATAAAAAGAATAATTGCAGCTCATACGGGCTTTTATGATAAAGAATAATGAGGGGGTTGCTGCTTAGCCATAGGGAATGATTAAACTCAATTAAACAATTCTGATATTAATTGAGCTCATACTGTGTGTCGGGATTGGGCATGGTGCCTGGTGCTAGGAACAAGACAGTGAGCACAGGCAAGGTCACTGCCCTCATGGAGCTGCTTGCCTCCTTGGGGCAGGGTGGAGGTGGGTAGGGGACAGAGACACAAAGACACAATCTCAAGAGAGGCTTCTGAGTCTCCTTCGATGCTTGGACAGATCATATAACTACTCTGGGTCTCAATCTCCTCATCTATGGAAGGGAATGCTACTACTCAACTCATGGGGTTATTATACGTATTAAATGAGTTAATACCTGTAAAGTGCTTAACACAGCACCAGGCACACAAAAAGTGCTCATGAGTGTTTGTTAAAATGAGTAAAATAGGTTTAAGGGTTCAAGAGAGAGGTCAGGGATGGAGTTGGAGATGAGGGATTTGGGGCTACTGAGAGTAAATGTGGGCTTGAGAGATCATCTAGGGTAGAGTGAACGGAGCAACATCAGGGAGAGTGAAAAGAATATCTCCAAGCAAATTATGCAAAGAAAAGGGAAGCAGGAAGGCAGCCAGGGACCCAGCAGTTCACAGATGCCAGGGAAGAAGGTCTGGGGAAGAAGAGGGAGTTGGCAGCCCAGGTACAGCTCCAGGCAGTCCCTTTAGAACCCACAAACTGCAAAACTCTGCTGTGGACCCCCCTCAACACTTCCCATACCTAGGACCCGGGGTTCTAAGGAGCTGTCCTTTATCCACAAGTCTCCCAGGAAAAAAAGTATTTGCCTTGGATTCCCCCTAAGCAACCCTTGATGCCTGATACCCCCACACGGACTCCTCATACCCCTTGAATACTCTGCTCCCAATCCATCCCACTAGAAACGCAAAAGTTCAAATTCTAGCTTCATCATTTATCAACTGTGCGACCCTGGGCAAGTAACTTAACCCTCCTAAGCCTCTGTTTGTTCATCTGTAAAATGGGTATTCTCAAATGTCTGCCTTTGAGAATTTGGGGGGAGGGTCATTAAATGAGACAAGTATGTGTTTACTAAGTGAGCAGTGAATATAAACCCCTTCCCTCAGGATCTTTGCTACACAAGAGCCCCACTTCTCAGCCTCAGGATCCTGTCCCCCCATCTGAGGCCAAATCTCTGGGATCCCACCTATGTCTTTGTTCCCAAATATATTTGCTCCCTGTAGCCTTTCCTCCAACCCACCACAGGCAAGGTCTTAGCCAGCTACCTATCCAGTCTGCCCTTCCCCCATCACATACACATATCCTGTTCCAGATCCCTCTACCCACAGACAGACGGACAGACAGACAGACAGACAGACAGACAATCTTGTTGTCAGTCTCCTCTTATTTTGTAGTCTCCGGATTGGCCTCCGCTATGCATACATATTTTTTTTTCTCTCTGGGGCCTAAGGAAGAATGAACATGATATAGGGGGCAAGCACAGGGTTCAGATACCAACTCTGCCATTTCCCCAAAAGCTGTGACCTTAGGCAAGGTAATGCATTTCACTGAATCTCTATTTTTGCCACTTGATTTAGTAAACACTTATTGAGCACCACTTAGGTGAGAGCACTGTTTCAGACCCTCGGGATACAGCAACGAACAAAATAAAGGGAGAGTCCCTGTCTTCTTGTAGTTACTGCGACAATCAAAATAAAAAATACATGGTGTGTCAGATGGAGATTCCTGCGACTGGGGAAAAAGTGGAGAAAGGAAGGGGGCTAAGGCATGGTGGGAGGGGATGGTTTGATTTCATTTTGTTTATTATTTTTTAAGATTTCATTTTAAATAGTGAGGTCAGGGAAGGTCTCACCTCCCTCAGAAGGCTTGAAGGAGGTGAAGGGAGTAAAACATGAAGTTATCTAGCAGAGCGCTCCAGTGCTAGAGTGCTCAGGTGGCTGGCATGCTCTCTAGATCTCCAAGAGGCCAAAGTGACCGAGTTAGAGTGAGGGGTGAGTAACCCTTATCTCACCAGGATGCAGTGAGCAATCAATGAAATGCGACCAGTACACAGTAGGTGCTCTGTGAATGATTACATCCTCCTCTTCCTGGGACCTGGTCAGAATCTGGGGGCCCGTGACTAGGTACAGGGCAGGGTGAGGGGTTGGGTGAATCTTAGGATCCAAGCCACACCTGCCTGTCTCTCTCCTCAGGCTGCACCAAGTGTACTTTGATGCGCCTACCTGCCGAGAGGGCACCACCAAAATCTTCCTGGTAGGGGACTACTCCTCATCAGCCGAATTCTTTGTCACCGTGGCTGTGTTTGCCTTCCTCTACTCCATGGGGGCTCTAGCCACCTACATCTTCCTGCAGAACAAGTACCGAGAGAACAACAAAGGGCCCATGATGGTGAGCTCCCTCGGCCACTCCAATGCAGGGATGGGAGGACACAGTCAAGTCCACAGGCCACACCAAATCCCAGGCAGGCCCACATGCCAGCCACCACCCTATCAGCACATGTTACTGCTGTTGCCGCTGCTCTAAGTATCGGGACACAAGACAGAGTGACACACACAGAGCCCACACAGAATCCTAGACAGGCCTACACCCAGAAACCTGCCACCTCTCACACAACCACACAGTCTAGATCAAAGACAGGAGCACCCAGAGGTTCACTGAAATAGTCGTGCTGCTTATCATCATGCCACACAGATACACCGATTCCTATACAGCTGTACTCATACAAACTCAACCCAGGCACAAATACCCACATTCAGCTGAAGGCAGAAAGACACACTACTTTCTACAGAGTCAGAAACCATTCCACAGAGTTCCCCACATCCCATAATCACACCTCTACATCTTCTGTGTCACATCCACAGCTCCAAGCTAGGGAGACCACCTTCAAGTGAAAGTGTTGGGACCTTCAGAGCCAAAAAGGCAGGGGAGAAACACAACTCTTGGGGGACCCCTCCCCCAGAAAGCCTATGATCTGAGAAGGGCCCATAGTCCACTCAGTGACACATTTCCTGATCCCTGCCCACCCTAGGACTTTCTGGCCACGGCAGTGTTCGCCTTCATGTGGCTGGTTAGCTCATCGGCGTGGGCCAAGGGGCTGTCAGATGTGAAGATGGCCACAGACCCAGAGAACATTATCAAGGAGATGGCTGTTTGTCGCCAGACAGGGAACACGTGCAAGGAGCTGAGGGACCCTGTGACCTCTGGCCTCAACACTTCAGTGGTAAGCCTTGAGAGGTTGGCTGTCGTGCTGTAACAGCACGACTATAAGGGGGCTGGGAAATTGACCGTAGGGCAGGAGGAATGGTGGAAGGAGAGAATGAGAATTCAGAGGAAACCCAAGAGGGTTCTCTGGAAGAGGCATGCCAACCACAGAACCATGAAGGATGAGATAGCAATTGTGACCACTGTGACACCACAGGCTGCTCCAAGAAGGGATCAGTTAGGTTTGGGAGACTTTGATCGCAGTCCCAGTCTAGTCATGGAGGAATCTCTGGCAACTCAGTAACCCCCTTGGGACCTGTTTCCTCAGGTGCAAAATGAAAAGAGTAACTTGAAATTTTTCCTGCATGGGCGCCCCCTACTGGCTCAAGACTGCACTGTCTAAAATCAAATCCCAGCTCTCCCATCTACAAACTATGACCTGAAACTAGTTACTCAGCCTCTCAGACCTCACTTTGAACGTGTAGATGGAAAACTAGTAATAGATTCTACTACAAAGATGAGTATTCAGTGAAGTAATAACATAGGACGTGCGTAAAAAAGAACCTGACACTGGAAACGCTTATATAGTGTTACAGATGCTGAGATTCCGACTCTTGCTGACTGTGAGACTTGGTCAACTTTGCCTTTCTGGGTCTGTTTCCTCACCTGTAAAGTGGGGATATTACTTCCTATCACCAAATGGGATTACATTGTACATAGTTATATAAATCCCATATTTGCTTAATGTAAAAACATATTTATTCACATAGTGCATGTGTATATTACATGCATTTGTATATACACATGTTTATATGCATTAGTGGCATATCTACATATTTAATAAAATTGATGCTTACCATTTTACTATTTATTACAAATTTAGATTGGCTATTTTTATATATGTATAAACGTGTACAGGTAGTGTGTATGTGTGCAAATATATATACAGTTATGTGATACCATATACCTCAATATCCTGAGGAATCTGGATTCTAGCACGTCCCAACACTAGGTGATTTTCCTGTATACTGACTTTCAAGTGCCAGGGCAGAGTTTCGGTTTCAGAAACCACCACTCTCCGGAAACCTGTGGATCCATGTCTAACGTGCCCGACTTCACATTCCCCAGGGCGGCCAAAGCAATGAGCGCGGGATAGCCAGTCGCTGTCTCCCTGCAGGTGTTCGGCTTCCTGAACCTGGTACTCTGGGTTGGCAACCTGTGGTTCGTGTTCAAAGAGACCGGCTGGGCTGCCCCATTCCTGCGCGCGCCTCCCGGCGCCCCGGAGAAGCAACCGGCCCCCGGGGACGCCTACGGCGAGGCGGGCTATGGGCAGGGCCCAGGCGGGTACGGACCCCAGGACTCCTACGGGCCTCAGGGAGGCTACCAGCCAGACTACGGGCAGCCTGCCGGCGGCGGTGGCGGTGGCTACGGGCCTCAGGGTGACTACGGGCAGCAAGGATACGGCCCTCAGGGTGCGCCCACCTCCTTCTCCAATCAGATGTAATCTGGTGAGTGGTGGACGGATGGTGTGGCCAAGGAGGGTACACGAAAGGAGACGGGCGGGTCAATGAACCAGTACGATTCAGGATTAAATGGTTTGTAGGACGCTTGTTAGACTAGTAAGGCTGGGAGTTGGAAAGAGCCAATAGAGAGGTGGAGCTCCAGGCTGGGCAAAAATCTAGCCAATAAATGAAGAGAATGAGAGCGGTGCTTGAAGATGGGCAGAATAAAGAACCAATAAGAGAGAGGTGGAAGTGCCACTGGTGGATGGGGGAGCCAGGGAGGGAGGAGAGAGGCTGGATGTTGGGGTTCAAGTAGTGGAGAATCTGAGGAGCACTGGAGTCAGGAAAAAAGGAGGTGATTCTGAGAAGTGAGTGATAAGCCAATAGATTATGATACGGGCAATAGATGCTGGTGAAGGTAAAACGGTTTGTGTCATGAATGCCACTCCAGAAGGTGGTGATAGATTTGCTGCCTTCGTAACCCTATGTTTGAGAGATTTCAAAGAAGGAAAAGAGGCAGAACTGAGGCATGGCGCAGACTTGCTGACCTTCTTACAGGGCCTTAACAATTAGTACTATTTTCCTCACATGTGAGGGAGGAGAAAGGGAGAAAAGGCAAGAGAATGGCTTAAGAGCAGAAAGAGGAAGTGGCTACACGTGGTTGGAGTCGTTTATGGCGCTTGGCCAGGATGGAAAGTGCAGAGAGGAGTTCACTAGGCATCCCAAATTGAATGTATTCAAGAAAAAATACCCTGTTGATTCTACCTTCAAATATATAACCACTTCTCACCAGACTGTGTTAAAATCCTAAATCAGGCCACCCTCTTCATGCCCTCAAAGCTCTGCCCATGCTCCCACCTCAATTAAAAGCCAAAGCCTTCACTGTGTCCCACAGGTCCTACACAAACTACTCCAACTCTCACTCCTCTGACCTCTCACCTACCACTCCCCACCCCATCACCCTGCTACTCTGCTATAGCCCCACTGGCCTCCTGGTATGCCAAGCACAATCAAACATCAGGACCTTGGGACTTGCTTTCCCCTTGGGGTCCACACACACACTGATAACCTCACCTGCAGCTCCTTTTCATCCTTTGGGTCACTTAATTCAGTGAGCTCTCTCTGACTACCCTGTCTTAAAACAAGTCCCCTTATGTCTCTCATATTGCCCTATACTTTTCTTTATCAAAATCTGTAATTATTATTTATATGTTTGTTTATTGTCTCTTCCACTAGATTTGGGGTATGTAAGCATGACTTAGTCATGCTGTACACATATCTATTAAAGCATGGCTAATGTTAAGAAATACTTATTGAGAAAATAATAGAAACAACATAGCAGAAGACCGTTTGCTCTCATTTTACTCCTCTCTGCTCCAAATCTTCCCATAATATACACCTCATCAAGAATCAAAGCTGAGATCCACATAACCTAGTCCACAAGGCTCTATGTGACCCTGTTACCTACCTTTCTGACATCACCTGCTACTACCACTCCCCCCTGCTCACTCCACTAGAGCCCCACCAACGTCCTGGCTCTTCCTAAAACATACCAGACATGGGCCCACCACAGGACCTTTGCACTGGCTTTGCTAATTGCAAGCTCTGTGACCTGAAACTAGTTATTGGAATGCTCTTCCAGTGTGGGACAGCTATTCCCCCTTCCCTCCTCTATCTGTATGGCTCATTCCCTCACCTCCTTACACCTTTACTCCAGTATCACTTCTTCAGTGACAGCAACTGTCCACCCAACTTAGTACAGCAATCGTCCCCTACTAGCACTCCTGATCCCTTCACCCTGATTCACATTTTGTTTTCCATTTCATTTTTTATCACCTTATGTCATATAGATAGCTCACTTATACATTATGGTCATTATATGAATTCTGTCTCCTCTGCCATAATGCAGACTCCACAAAGATAGGGATCTTCGTTTTGCTCAACATTTAGCTTATCACCAATGGCTAGAATAGTGCCCAGTAATGGTTATTGGGGGGGGTATTAGGGGAAGGAGAACCATTATTACTTCCATACTGCCCAGAAGGGACAGCTGGGATGGAGCCAACTCCAGGACTATGAGTACAGGAAAAAGTCATGCCAGGCAGAGCCAGGATGGAGGCATCGCAGCCCAGCCTTCCCTAGGAACACCTGTGTCTGGAACCCCTCTCTTTTCTGTGTCTTTGTCTCCACAGGTCAGTGCAGCCCGGGAGGACCCCATGGGTGGGCAAGAGCTCAGGAGAAGGCCTGCCCTCCCTTACCACCCCTACACCCCAGGTCTCCACCCCTCAAGCCAGGAGACCCCTACCTGTCTTTGCTGTTTATATATATATATATATATATTATATAAATATCTATTTATCTGTCTGAGCCCTGCCCCCATTCCATTCCCCTCATGCACTAGGGGCCAATCTTGAGTGGGCCCCTCTCTTACCCCTACCCCTTTCCCTGCATCCCTTGGCCCCTCTCTATTCTCTGTGCCCTGAAGTTGGGAGACTCTGAAAGGGGGACAGGTTGGGGACAGGCTTCAGCTGTGTGGGGAGGGTGGGCGTGACTTCACACTCTCTCCCCTCTTTCCCTTCTCTCCTTCCAAATCTTGCCTTGATTCCTCTAGCAATGCCTGAACAGGACCATTAGGGGAAAGTCAACCCTGAGGTAGGGAGAAAGACAGAGATTGAAGGGCCCAAGTTGGTCTTGGCTAGGAGCTCTGGAGTGGAGGGAACTCTTAAGCTGGGGTTGGGTTCCGGACATACTGGATCTAGAGTCTAAAGACAGCGGTGCCCCAGAGCATTCTGGCGTGGGGCTTAGGAAGAGGATAAGGGCGTGGTCCAAAAGGGGGCGGAGCTTAGCGTGAGGCAACGGGTGGACCCCAGAGAGGGCAGGGTTTGGAACAGGACAGGGGTTCTGTGGAAGGGGTGTGACTTGGGGCCTGGGCACTGGGCTTGAAATAATGCTGAGGGTGTGGTTCTAGAAGGGATGGGGATAGAACTAGTCAGTGGGTGAAGCTCCAGAGGGAGTGGGTCTTGGATTGGGACATAGTCTACCGAAGGGTGCGGCTTGGAACATCCAAGAGGCTGAGTTTGATTTTAAAGCAGGCAGATCTTGTGTGAGATCAAGAAGTAGGATTCTGGAATGGGCCAAGCTTGACTGAGGTCGCGGTCAGGGTTCCAGATGGGGCAGGGCTTGTAGTCCGTTGTATATGATGGTTTCAAAAGGGGCAGCCCCTTCTTCCATGGGGCAATGAAAAAATGTTTTGAAAGAGAACAGGTTTGGCAGTGGGAGTGGGCAGGTTTGCCTAGGGGCTGTGAGGTGAGGCTTCTTGGGGATGAGAGAGATATCCCTAGCCAAGGCTGGGGACTGAGGTGGCCTGGGAAGAGTGTGACTTGGAGGATAGAGGTGGTGTCCAGAGAGAAAGGCCTACACACATACACCCATGCCCCCCTCCAGATGGGATAATTAGGTAATTAGTTGACAGAGCCAACAGGCGTGTGGGGCCTCTCCCCCTTTCCCTGCCTCTTCCTTCCCTCCCTACCCCACCCATCCTGGGGTGGCTGGAGGCCCGGTCTGGAGCCCCTATCCTGTACCCTCTGCTGTGTCTGTGCCGTTGGTAGTGCCTGTGATCGTGTGTTGCCATTTGTCTGGCTGTGGCCCCTTCCCCTCCCCTCCAGACCCCCACCCTTTCCCAAGCCCTTTGGTATTGTTTGAAGACTCCCTCCCCAAGGAAGAACAAATATGATTAATTCTCCTCCCCTAAATAAACTCCTCAACCACCTAGTCCACCCGGCTCTGGCTTCACAGTGTGTGTTTTTTTTTGGGGGGGTAGGGGGACAAAAAGAGAGACAGTTCCACCCGCTACCTGCTGACCACCATTCAGCTCACCCCACTATTTGAGGTTCCTTCAACAGTGTTTTGCGGAGCTGTAGCCTCTGGGAAGCCTCACCTGCAGGTCATTCTAAATCACACTGAGTGCCCCCACTACTGGCCACCAAATGCTGTCTTTCTGGGGCTCAATTCCATTTCTGGCCCTTTAGCCATACCTCTCTCCCTGTTTCTTGTGGAACCATGTCCCCCAAACCCTAAGAAGTTCAAAAATGACCTTCATACTTCACAGGAAGACTTCCCTTTGCACCCCTGACCCTGCTGTCTGCACTTCCTCGCCTCAGCCCCAAATGGAGAACGGACTGGCTAGACGCAAGGCCAGGCGCCTGGGCGCCAGGTTATTAGTTCATTCATCCATCCCCTTTGACCACTCCCAGTCTCCTCCCTGGGGCGAGGATGGGCGGGAAGTGACAGGGATGTGCGTAATGGGGTGGGGTAGGAGGGGGGAGGTTCTGGGCGCCCACGATGAAAGGGCAGTCTGGCCGCCGCCGCCACCACCACCGTGCCTAATTAGAGACCCCGCCAGGCGCCCAGGTTCTGACTACAGGCCGGGGAGCCCCCTCCTCCCAGCCCCGAGGCACAGCGAAGCCTAACTGCGCGAAGAGACTCCCAGCTCTGGGACTAAGTTCCAAGAAGGGATTTCTAACTGGAGAGAGGAGGGCTGTAGGATCTATTTGTGAGAATTTAGGGGGTCATAACAGCTGGACCTGTAGGGCTGAAGAGAAAAAGGGGAAGCGGGCTTTGGAACCAGCTCTGTGACTTTAACCTCCTCCTCAGTGAAATTCAACAATAGTTCTCTGCTGGGAGCGAGGATGCATCAGCTGGTGCAGCGATGCGGCTGGGGGCCATTCCTGCATCGTTTATCAGAAGAAAAGAGACCCTCAAAACATCACGAGTGGGAGGAGGCCAAGAGGTGGCTTTTAACTACTCCCCTCCAATAAACATTCAAGAGAATCGACCTGAAGCGTCAATATAAGTACCCTAACGCACCTATCGCAGTCAAGTCTCTTCCAAGCCCTGCATGGGAACACGCGGCACCCTGAGGTTTGGGGTACCGGGCCTTCTGATAGCCACCTCCAGCCTGGAGCCTAAGGACCTGGAAGCTCTCTGGTCCGGCACTCCTGGGTTGCGTGCCCCTCACCTCTAGGCAGGGGGCGCCTCGGCCGCGGAGAGACTGCAAGGCTGGGGAGCGGGGCGGACCCTTCGGGGCGCGCTCCTCCCACCCCCGTATCAGGTTTACGGAACCGAGCTCCCCTGGCGGACGCGGTGTGGCCTGACGCTCGCAAGGATTCCATCCGCCTGACCCGGCCCAGCTTGACCCTACGCGGGTGCGCCATGTTCGCGCGTGGGTCCAGGAGGCGCCGCTCCGGGCGCGCGGTGAGCGGGTATCAGGGCTACGGTGGGGGTCAGGGGAAAACTGAGGTCCAGGAGAGGAAACAGGAGGGAGGGATAGTGGAGTTTCCCACAGAGGGTCTGGGAATCCCCATTCCCAGGATTCCCACAAGAGAGATTGGGGCTGTTGGAAGTGTGTGGATGAGGAAAGAATAGATCTGGTTGCCCAGGCTTTGGCAACCTTTATCAGCACCCCAGGGCTTGGTGGTGCGCCCCCCCTCTAGTGTGGATTATGGTAGGGGACTCTGCGGGTCAGAAGATTGGGCCCTGGGGTCCTGAACTGAGCAAGACCTCCTGAGCTTCTGGGGGAAAGGACCACCCTGCACCAGAAGGTGAACTGAGAGGGGCTGCTGTCTCCTGAGCTGCGGAGATATTGAGAGTGGATGGATGGGAACAGGGGAAAAGAGCTTCCAGGCTTCCACTTGAGCCAGGGTGCTTTTGTCTTCCTAGTAATAGGGTATCTCTCTTTTCTTTGGAGGCCTCTAGGCTGGTTTTGGGTTTGGTGGTGCAGCGGAGTGAAGAGCAATTCGGTCTAGGGCTGTGTATGGCTATGAGAGGTAAAGGACAAAAGTTCTTGGCAGGGAGATTTCCGAAAGAATCAGGAGCTTCCTGAGATCCTGGGGGAGGGTTTCCAGCTTCTTGGATCTGAGAGGGTAAAGCCAGGGTTTGGTGAAGGGCAGGCTTTTTCTGGGGATCCCAAGTAAGGGTCAGGTCTTGGACTCCTATCCTGTGGAACCCGGGTGCTGCTGGCCTCCTGGTGGAGAAGGAGCCAAGATGAGGCCTGTTAGAGTACTCTGAGTTCTGGGGGCAGTGTTTAGGATCTGGAGGAGGCAGAGGCTGGTGGCAAGTGTCGCTCTGAATGGGTGGGAGTCTGAGGCTGGCCAGGGGAGGGGAATTCTTTGAAAGGGGGGGGATACAGGGAGGTGGCCTCAGCTGCCACGCCTCTACCTCCGTTGTGGGCCCTTCCCCCGCGCTCTGGGCCCTGTCCCAGCCTGCCTAGAGCTGCCCTGGTGGGACAGGCCTCAGCATGCGGTCGCTGGCCTTGGGGCGTGTAGTGGAGAGGTGGGCGTTGACTTCTTCCTCCTGGCCCCCATGCCTTGCCCTGTCCCGCGTCTGCCCCCGCCCACTACAGCCACCAGAAGCCGAAGACCCAGACCGTGGCCAACCCTGCAACTCCTGCAGGGAACAGTGCCCCGGCTTCCTGCTGCACGGCTGGAGGTAAGTGACTGGTCCAGGGCGTTGCCTGCGTCAGAGCCCAGCACTCGCGCGAAATCCCCACTCCCGGCTTAGGCCCCTCCTCTCGATTTGATCCTGGTCCACCGGAGAGGTGTCCCGAAAAAAGCCTCAAACTCAGGTTCTGAGCCCCGAGCTCCCTGATCTAGTCCCAATCGCCCCATTCCCAGGAGAGCTCCGCCCACCGCACAGCCCCGCCCCTTAAGTGTCTACCCTGGAGTCTAAGCCCCAACCCTAGGGAGATCCCCAGCTCCGCCCACTGGCCTCCAGCCTGGCTCTTAAGCTCTGAGCTTGACTCCCAAGCCTAGCGCCCTGTCCTACCGGAGCCTGGAACCCAAAATGTCTCATAAAATACTACAAAGCTTGACCCACAGGCTCGTAGCTCCACCTGGCCTCAAGTCAGAGCCTCCACGCAAGCTAGAGCCTGCCTCTAGGGAAAGTTCCCCTGCTACCGACCAGAAACAGTCCTGAGGGGAAATCCCTAGATTTATGCTAAGCTCAGGCTCAGAACCCATCCCCTACTCAGGCCTGCTGCCAGGAAATTCTGACCCCAGTTCCAGAGCTGAAAATCAGGGGATGGCCTTGAAACACCACAGACACACTGTTCCCAGGATGCCCTCAGGCCCCAGACTCTGAGCCCTGTCCTGACTCAGTCCTTTGTGGCGATAATTTCATGCCCCTGTCCTTCAGTTGAACTTCCTTGGGCTGCCACGGGGACCGATGGGCTACCTCTCAGTAACCGACCCCATCCCGGCCCCTCAGAAAGATCTGCCAGCACTGCAAATGCCCACGGGAGGAGCACGCGGTACATGCAGTGCCTGTGGACCTGGAGCGCATCATGTGTCGGCTGATCTCAGACTTCCAGCGCCACTCCATCTCTGACGACGACTCTGGCTGTGCCTCTGAGGAGTATGCCTGGGTGCCCCCAGGTCTCAAGCCTGAGCAGGTGACCAGAGGCCACCAACCACTCTTACTCTACACACATACTCTCTTGAATGGGAACCAGTTTCTGGGGCATTACTATGGTATGTTAGTCAAATTGCTGTGTCCTTCTGACCCCTCTGTGATCACGTGGTGGTCAGCCCCCCACAATACCAAGGTATCCTGAGTGGTCCCTGGGCCAGTTCCTCAGGGCCTGTTCACCTCACTCCTATTCTACTCCTTACCTCAGTCCTTAGTCCAGCACTTCATTCACCCCATCTCCACTGATCAATTCATTCGGCAAATACTCATTGAGCACTACAGACTGCAAGACACTGTGCTAGGCATGGAGGACACAGAAGTAAAGAAGCATGTAACAAGATGTATAATATCTGTCCACCTGGAGTTTAGATTCCCAGCGCGAGCCACAGCCAATAAGCAGATCTGCAAGAATATGTCAGGTGGTATAAAGACTGGAATTAAAAAGCAGGAAAGGGAGATGGAAAAGGATGTTTGAATTGCAAGGAGAGTGCCCAAGTGAGCTTGTGTGGTAATCTGATGTTTGGGCTTCCTGAAGGAGGTGTGGAAGTGAACCATGTAGGTGTTTGAGGTTAGAGCCATGCAGGCCAAGGGTGTAGCCAGTGCAAAGGCCCTGCAGCAGGAGTGTGCTTGGCATGTATGCAGAGGGACAGTGAGGAGGCTAGGACAGCTGGAGCAGTGTGAGGGACAGAGCGAACTTAGAAAGGTGTGATAGCTGTGGGGGGACTTCGATTCCTACCCTGCATGAAGGAGAAGCCACAGGAAGGCTGTGAATTCAAAGGGATGTGTTCTGCCTTAGGATTTCACACAACCTCTCTGACGGCGGCATGTGGAACAGACAGCAGGTGTGAGAGTGGAAGCAGAACGTAGTGAGGGGGAGGCTCTTGCAGTAGTTCAGGTGACTGATGACGGTACTGGCAGTGGAAGTAGTGGGTGGTGGTGAGATTCTGGATTTATTTTGAAAGTAGAGCTGAGAGAATTTGTTTGAGAGAGAGAGGTGTGAAAGATGATTCCAAAGATGGATGGATATTGGAAAAGTCAAGGCGAGAACAAGTTTGAGGGATAAGGGCCTATGTTTATTTTGGCCATTTCAGTTTGAGATGCCAGTTAGACAGCTGAGTGGCCAGGTTGCCTGGAACACAAGGAAGAGGTCACTAGAGTGGAGGTAATGCATTTCGGAGGCATTAGCCATTAGGTGGTATTTATAGCCACAGGGTTGGATGCAGTTCCCAAAGGAATGAGGCAAGCAGACAAAGGACTGAGCCTCAGGACCCTCACGCACGCACGCAGGGCTCTGCTAGCTGAGGTGGAACCAAAAGCGGGGCAAAGAAAAAGTGCATAAAGTAGAAGGAAACACAGGACTTTGTGGTGTCCGAGAAGCCAAGGGAAAAGTGTTTCCAGGAAGAGGGAGCGGTCATCTGTGTCAGTGGGTCAAATTGGATGAGGACTGAGACTGAACAATGTTTGAACGTCATTCATGACCTTGACAGGAACAGCTTTGAACTCCAGACAGGACAGGACGGAAGGGGTGGGAGGCCTGACTAGAGTGCAGACAGGAGAGCATGGGAGGGGAGGAAATAGGGACTCAAGTACACACCACTCTTTTGAGGAATTTTGTTGTAAAGGGAAGGACAGAAGTTGGACAGCAGCTGGAGGGGAAAATGGAGTGAAGACATGAGGGCACTGCACGTGTTTGGGAGCTGACAGGAATGGCCTGGCCTGTAGGAAGGAGAGGGGGTGGGTGTTAGACATTCCCTGCTAACTGATGACTTTAATATTCTCATGGAAGTAGGACCCACCATCCCACTGCATCTCAACTCACCCCTAGTCTCAACTGTCTTCTCTCACCTACCCTGTCCTCCCAGGTATACCAGTTTTTCAGCTGCCTCCCAGAGGACAAGGTTCCCTATGTCAACAGTCCTGGGGAGAAATACAGAATCAAGCAGCTGCTGCACCAGCTGCCCCCACACGACAGTGAGGTGAGGAGCGAGAAGACAAGAAGGGTGTGCCAGGGAGGAGATAGAACCTGGGTGAATATTGGGAAACTGGAAAGAAATGGCAGGATCCCTGGAGGACAGGTGAGATGAGCCGAGGTGCAGGGAGCAACCAGGGTACATTCCGTGGCAAAACTGCGGCTGGATATTGGAAGCATAAGTAAGGGGTGAGTATTTCGGGTGGGAAGTAACATCTGTACAAAGGCCTAGAAGTAAACTTTGTAGGCATGGTTGAATTTTGGAAGAGGATTGGGGGCCAGCATCAAGCGAGAAGCCTGGAAGATCCCTACTCCCTCCAGGCACAGTACTGCACAGCCCTGGAAGAGGATGAGAAGAAAGAGCTCAGGGCTTTCAGCCAGCAGAGGAAGAGGGAGAATTTGGGGCGCGGAGCTGTGCGCATCTTCCCGGTGACCATCACTGGCGCCATCTGTGAAGAGGTGAGTGGTAGATGGCCTCAGTGAGTGAGCAGTGCCAGAGCAATGCCCTGCAGTGCAGGGCCTGTCTCCCCAGGCCAGGGAAGATCAGACTTGCCCTCGCAACCTGTCACTACTGTCCCCCTGCTGAGTAGGGTCTGTGGCTCACATCCCTGTTAGGCAGGGACCGGCTTCATCTCCCTGGTGGGCAGGCTGTGTCTATAGGCCCTAAGGCATGGGGCCTGTACCTCAGATCCTCTTGTTGGGAGCGGACTCCTAAGGAAGCACTGGTGGACCTTCTCTATGGACTCCTCCTGTCCTCAGTGGATTTGGGGCCTGGGCTGTCTCCCTGATCCTCTCATGGTGAGGACTTGCCCTTCAAAACAGGGCCTCTAGAGCCTGATGGTGGATGGAATTAGCCCCCAAGGTACCCTGTTTGGTGGAGCATGCCCTTAGATCCTACATTAGATGGGGTTTGTCACTAAGGTCCCCTCAAGGCTTGGCCTGTCTCTGTGGTCCCCCAGCCCCTTAAGAAGTTTGCCTTTAAGGCTACCCATGATGAATGGAATCTATCTGTACTTTTCCCTTCAGGAGCAGGGTCAATTTCTAAGCCCTCCTCATAATGGTAAGCAGAGTCTGTCTCAAAGCTACCCTGTAGATGGGGCCAATCACAAAGATCCACCACGGGGAAGGCCCAAGTGTGCCATGCCTTGACTGACCAGCTTATCTGACTGGCCCGTCTTTTCTATCTGACCATCTTGATGGGCATGGTGTCTGTGATGGGAATGGTGTACATCTGTCATTTGGCAGTGCGGGAAGCAGATTGGAGGTGGAGACATCGCAGTATTTGCCAGCCGGGCAGGCCTAGGGGCTTGCTGGCACCCACAGTGCTTTGTGTGCTCTACGTGCCGGGAGCTGCTCGTGGACCTCATCTACTTCTACCACGCCGGCAAGGTCTACTGCGGTCGCCACCATGCTGAACGCCTGCGCCCACGCTGCCAAGCCTGTGATGAGGTTTGTGCCTTAGCACAGGAGGGGGCAGGGCAGTGGACTAGGCGAGGGGCATGCCCTTCTGGCAGCCACAGATGGCCTTCTCTCTCTCCCCCAGATCATCTTCTCCCCTGAGTGCACAGAGGCCGAGGGCCGGCACTGGCACATGGGTCACTTCTGCTGCTTCGAGTGTGAAGTGTCGCTGGGAGGGCAGCGCTACGTCATGCGTCAGAGCCGCCCCCACTGCTGCGCCTGCTATGAAGCCCGCCATGCCGAGTACTGTGATGGCTGTGGAGAGCACATCGGTGGGTGAACATGGGACCTGGACAGGGGGGTGGGTGGACAATTGGACCACAGCCCCACACCACCAGGATTCCTCCTGTCTTCCAGGCTCTCCCCCATGCCATTTATACTTTAAGTCTAATCCAGTGCCCGTTACTGCAAATCGCATTGCCAATAGCCCCTCCTAAAGTATGGTGATATTTTCCACACCCCACCTGTGCAATACTAGATACCACTACACCACTACACATCTAGACCAGAGTGCCTTATAATCCCCACTCCCTCAGAACTACCCTCTTACCCTTTCAGCTGAGCCCCTTTGCCCCCAAGATATGCCCAGTTTTTTAAGACTCTCCTCTATCAGCTTAGGTGAGTTCTCCCTTCTAAGCCCTACCCTCTCCCCCCCTCCCCAAGGCCACTCTACTTTCTGAAATAAACCCTGCCTCACCACCCACACCTCTTCTTCAGGTCCACCTTCCACCAGCCACCTCCTAATGTCCAACTAGCCCTGATGGGAATTTTAGAGTCCAATGCCCACCCCACCCTGAAAGGGGGCACCCTGGGAAGAAAAGACAGGGAAGGGTAGACATTTACAGAAGAGACAAGAATGAGGAAGCCAGGGGTGAGGACCAACCCTCAGGTTTCCTGCTCTCTCCAAAGACCAGCCCCATTCTGGAGAGATGAGGGGAGAGGGTTGTTTGGGTATCCTGTCTCAGATTCCTGCCTCTTTCCAAGAAGGGCTCTATGCAGGAGGGGTGGAGTATGTTAGAGGACTCAGCCTCATTTTCCCCTCTCGCTTGGGTCTCCGCAGGCCTGGACCAGGGACAGATGGCTTATGAAGGCCAGCACTGGCACGCCTCAGACCGCTGCTTCTGCTGTAATCACTGCGGGCGGGCCCTTCTGGGCCGCCCCTTCCTGCCGCGCCGTGGGCTGATCTTCTGCTCTCGAGCCTGCAGCCTGGGTTCAGAGCCCACTGCACCGGGGTCTGGCCGCCGCAGCTGGAGCCCAGGCACGGTGTCCTCACTGCTCGCAGCCTCCACAGCCTCTTTCTCCACCGTAGAAGGGGCGAATGAGACGGCCACCAAAGGCACCAGTACGGAATCGGCGCCTGGTGAGCTAAGCCTTCAGCCACTCACAGCTACTCCCGCGCGGGCTCCACCAACCCTGGCCCCTCCCCTTCAAGTCCAGGCCCCACCCATGCAGCAGCCCTGGGCCCACCCCCAACCCCGTGCTGGCTTAGTCGTTCTAGGCCTGGTCTGCAGCCCAGACTACACCCTCCTGTGAGCCCTTCTCTACTGGGATTGCCCCCTACCTCCACCTGTTCCTGCTTCAGCCTACGGCGCTTCCCCTTTCCTCCAAAATCTTGACCCTCCACCCTCCAAGCCTAGGCCCCAGCCCCTAAACCTATTCCTTTCCAAACCTCCACTACCTCGACCTATGCCACGCCCCTTCCATCAGAACCATGACCCCATTCCCCGCCCCTGGCCAATCCAGTCTTGGTCCAGCTCCTCCAATCTCACCCTTCCCTCCACTGGAATCTGCCCTGGGGTTCATTATTTCCAGCACTTTCTACCTCACTGCCCTTTCCTGACCCTGCCCTCACTTTCCCAGTCCTAGTAGGGGAAAGGAGAAGAAAGTATCCCTACCACAGGCCTTCCCTCAGGTGGGCATAGTAGTTGTATAAATACCGGAAGAACTGCCCATCTCTTTCCAGATGCAGTCCCTGAGGAACCTGCCCGCTTTCTGAGAGGGGCCCCCCATCGCCACTCTATGCCTGAGTTGGGTCTCCGAAGTGCCCCTGAAGCACCCCCAGGGTCACCCGGCAGGTCGGACCCATGCCCAGAAGATGGTGCTTTCGGTCGCCAGAGCACCCCACGTGTCAGTTTCCGAGACCCTCTGGTGTCTGAGGGAGGCCCTCGGAGGACCCTGAGTGCACCCCCAGCCCAGCGCCGCAGGCAGCGTAGCCCCCCACCCAGGGCCCCTAGTAGGCGCCGCCACTGCCACCGCCGCCGCCACCGCCATCACCACCATCACCGCCACCACTCTGGCAGACGCCGCCACCATCAATGCGACTTGGGATCAGGATCGGACTCTGGATCTTGCTCCAGCTCACCCTCCAGCCACAGTTCCGAGTCCTCCGAGGATGATGGCTTCTTCCTAGGGGAACGTATCCCGCTGCCCCCACACCTATGCAGGCCTATGTATGCTCAGGGCACTGCAACTGAGAACCCCAATACCCCATCTCCACAGCTTCCCCGGGACTCCCGCTCAAGGATGTCTCGCCAGACCAGAGACAAGAACTGCATCGTGGCCTGAAGGCAAAGCAATCCTGGGGGGGGGGGGATCTCCATTCAAGTCAGTGTAGATAACGGCCCACTCCCAATCTAAGGCATAAATTCCATTCCTCCTTCATTTGGTCTGTTTGTATTATTGGAGTAGCTTAATATTTGTTGTAATACAGGCCTGGCCTTTTTACCCTCTTGCTCCAGCTGCCCCCACCCTCATTTTCCCCTTCCAGATATTTGAGATCTATGCACATTTAATCAGAGGATTAATTTATTCATTACCATGTGTAACCATCTGTTTATTAGAATTTATTTATCCCTCCACAAAACTACCCCTCACACAGAGGAGGTTACTTGGAGTGGCACACAACTTGTCACCTGGAGTCTAAATCTGTGGTGCCTTCATTTTGTGGATTAGGTGGGGGCATAGTTTAGACAGAACTGGTGGCTCCTTTGGGATACTGCAAAAGGCAGGAGGAATTAGGCACACACCCAAAGGTGGTCACACCCAGGAAGGCTGACTGGCAGGCTGGAAGACAAATTCTCCAGATAAAGGCACTTTTACCTCAAGGGGGCAGAAGTAGGCTGGGAGTACTGTTGTAGGGTGGGAAGGAGTAACTTCCAAGGTGTCTTGCAGGTTGCAAGGAGAAATGAAGGGTGATTCACCTACACAGGGCCATCTGCAGGGTCTGCAAATGAGGAAAAGAAAACATTGGGTGGACCCATATGCCTGTTTTACAGACAAGAATATTGACAGTTATGGTACTGTTGACACCACAACCGTCATCTGTACCAATAAGGGACAGATTTGGCATTCATGCTCTTGAGATACCCCTTCCCATCATGGTCCCCTCAGCAAACTGCCCCCCCACACTTACCAGTAGGCGCCGCTGTGTGTCTTTGTTGGCGCAAAGGGAAGGTGAAATAGGCATCATAGCCAAAGAGGAAGGTAGCGAGTAGGCCCAGTACCTAGTGGGTGGAATGGGAGTGAGGGGAGTTGGATTAGACCAATAAGCCTACTCATCTCCAACCTCCTTGTTTCTACCACATCCAGTGACTGCCTATCCCACAGGGGGATGGTGACTGAAGCCCCAGGTTGGGAAGCTAGACAGCACTCAGGGAATGGCCAGGAGACATGACTATACCCCACTGGCCTTCTCCTAGAGCCTCTCAACACCAGACAACAATATGGGTGGCCTGACATGTAGGCACCACCCACACTGTACGATTAAGACAAAGTTCTAGCAGATAGTAGTCTAATGTATTGATATTTTATGAATCACATCTTATGATTCCCACAATGGTCTTTATGCTGGAAAAGGAATGGGACTTTACAACTGATCTTAGGAAGAAAAACAGGGCCTGGGCCAGAATGTCCTGCAGGCCCTGAGGACAGGTGTGGCCTGCTGTGGGTCATACGCTTTCTATCAGAAGCAGAGAGAGCTGTAGCCCTTAGGTCCCCAAACTCCTCTTTAGACTGCGGCGCTGCTTCCATGGCCTTTACCCCAGCAACTATCGTGGAGTTGTTTCTTCTGTCAACAAGAACAACAATGGAGGTGATCAAGTAGAGGATGGCTGCTATGATGGTTCGCAAGAAATCCTGTGAGGTATGAGAAAAGATGGAAGTCAGCATCCAGAGTTCCCAGATAATCCCAACCGCTGGGGCTCCTCCCCATTCCCACCATTTCAACCCCTTTCTCACACTCCAAGGCCAGTTGATGAACTGTATCTTGGTGTGCAGGTCACACATGTAGATGACAAAGAAGACAGCAGCAAGGACCATTTCAATCACTGACAGGGAGGAGTATCCAGGTGTGGAGGCACTGAAGCAGATGAGGATCACCAGGCACAGGATCTGGAAGGGTGGCATGGGAAAGGGGACTCCACCAACCACCAAGGCCGAGGGGTTGGTTTTAATTAGGAATCTCAAACTCAGATGCCTGCCAGGACGCGGAAGATGACAAATAATCGCAGCTAAATACTTACTATGCTTACCATGTTCCAAATATCTTTCTAGGAACTGTACTAATTCACTTAACCATCACAGCAACCTAATAAACTGAGTACTATTATTACCATCTTTAGTTTAGAGATGAGAAAAATAAGGCACAGAGAGGTTAAGGACTGACTCAGGGTCACTCAGCTAACAAGGAGACGAGTTAGGTCACTCGGTTTCCTCCTTTCCCTCCTAAGATGGGGGGGGCTGCAGGGAGTGGTGCCGCCAGGTGTTTCGCTAGCTCTGCAGGCGCCAGCTTCGGAGCCTTGAAAGGGCGAGGCAAGTGGTTCCCCAGGCAACCTCTTGGGGAAGCGCAGACAGTGACTCTGGAGGGGCAGGGATTCGTTAAAGGAGCAGAACCTCTTTTACAAGTGACTCTAAAGCTGAGCTCACTTTGAGGAGGGCGGGAAAACGAGGCCCCAAGAGACCCACCCGGACAGCTTAAGGCCTTCCCGCCCCAGCACAGATGGGTGAGAAAGCGTCGCGAAGGGCGGGGCCCCCTACCGCGCGGGGCCCCACCCCAACAGACCCCGCCCCTGGGCACCTGGCCAGCCCGCCCGCCAGTGCCCAGGCCGCGCCACGCCCTGCCACGGGAGGCACCCCCCCCCCAGGCCTTCGGGACCCCTTCCATGAGTACACCGATGAGTCCAAGTCATCTCTCTCCACCGGGCGCCCCATTTGTGTTATGCGTCCCTTGCCTCACCCGGTGGACCCGCAACTCCCGACCACCTTCTCGGAACCCCACTGATTCGCTCTGCGCCTCTGGTTTCGGGCCCCCACCACCAACCCACCCACCCTCACCTCTTACCGAACGCTCCTGGCCACGCGCCTCCCTCACCCGGAGCCACACAACACTGCACGGTCCAGACACCCAATTCCCCTTTGCCCACCCGCCCGTCCCGGGACGCTCACAATCTCAGCAAACAGGAGAATTCCCTTTCGGGTGCGCCAAAATCTGGTACAGGCGGCCCAACAGCCGGGGGCCGAGAAGCGCTCGGAATCCGCCATGGCGTGGGCCGGTGTCTCAACGGGAGCGGAGAATCTGCTGGTTTGCTCGCGGGTTCGAGTACGCTGCACACCCAGCCGTCTTGCCCGCCGTCTGGCCGGGAAGGGGGCCCCCGGGGCGAAGGAGGGAGTGAATCACCGCGCGGAGCAGAAGCGGGCGGAGCCGGAGGGGGCCGGGCCAGGTGGCTGCCGCCCCGGAAGCCCCCTTGCCCCGCCCGCCAAGGATACTCCTTGCCTGCGCACAGCGCTCCCCACTCCAGGGGCCCACCCTATCTCCAGGGGCGCCAGCCTTGAGGCTTGGCATCTCGAGGTCTCCTGCTCTGTAACAGCGAGACCCTTTACCTTTTCAGGATAAAAATACACCCTCCTCCCCTCCGGCCTGACTCAACTCAGAACCGCTGACATAGGCTTTGGTAGGGTGTGACTCAGTTTCCTCAGCTGTAACAAAAAGCTAGAGACCATGTTTAAACTCACATGTTTCCAGAATTCATTTTTCAGATTTTAAAAAGTTTTCCCAATACAAATAAGGTGTGTCACTTAACACTCTCAGTGGGGCCTGAGGTTGCCCCATTTTTTAAGAACATTATTTCCTCAAGGGAACGGGTGGATAAGCAAGGATGGAAATGCTCCTCATCGGTCAAGTCATGTCTTAAAAACAAATGGTACCACCAAATTTGTGGGGAGATTGTCAGTTTCCAAAACTTTTTGGACTTCAAAATTACAAAGGATTGTGAATTGTGGAATAAACCTCTTAGCAGTGACAGAAAAGAGATGAGGCTGGCCTGCAAAGAACAGGGACTGTTGAGCATCAAAACACTCAGTAAGTGGAACTAACATGTCAGAGCCCACAGTGTGATTCTCTGTTCTTAGATCTTGGGGAAGTCCTGGCCTGAAGTGCTGTGTCTAGTTTCCTGATTCTCAGGAGAGGAGTTGTTAGCCCATCCCTAGATGAAGAAAGGGGAAGGAGCACAGGTTAACTTCTTGCTGGCAGCTTGTTAAGATGAGGGGGAGACTCCTGGGTGCCAGGGTGGGTGGGTGACAAGGTTGATTTTATTTGAAGAGTGTGTTATCCAAAACAAGTCATTTTTCCTGACTCGGTCACAATCTCTGAGATGTGCAGAAATCTTCTGTGACTGAGGTGTGTATTGAGGGGTTTTACTCCCCAGTGGTATGTTGGCTTTATTTTTGTTTCATATGGAGAGAGCTGTGTCTGGAAGTCTATAAGAACTGGACCTAACAGCCTGCCTGCTCTCCACCACCAACCCAGGTCCCTCAAAACCAAGGGAAGTGGGGCCCTCCCTGGTGGTGAAACAGGTTAGAGCACAACACTTCAAAGCTAGCCACAGCCACTTTAGCACTGGTTCTATCTCTAGTCAGGGAGGTGACCCACATGGCACAGCGGACCTCTCCTGTCTCACCCGCTGCTCCCCTCAGCAGTATATTTCATAGATTGGCCTGTTCTGCTCCCTATTCTGTCTCTGGTGAATTCTCTCACCACCTCTGCACCTCTGGCCTGTACCAGAAATCTGCATGCATAAATAAATCAAATTCTGTATGCATAAATAAATAAAGTGAGGTACTCCTCACTTTTAGTCCATGTTGCCAAGTAATTGAATAGTGGACCGGGTGAAACATACTTTTCCCAGTGCTTGAATGTGGGCTTTCCAACTCTGTGAGGACATACCTGAGTTTCTAGAACAAACAAACTCTGTTCCACAACAGGGCCTTTTCAACTGCTGTTCCCACTGCTGTTCCCAGCTCTTTACACATTGGTCAAATGTTGTGTCTTTGGGGCCTCCCTGGTGGCCTAGAGGTTGAGCCTCAGTGCTATTATCACTAAGGCCTGGGTTTGATCCTCGGCCAGGGAGGTGAACCACATGTGGCGCAGTGGACCTCTCCTGTCTCACCCACCGCTCTCCTTACCAGTGTATTTCAGTAGATCTGCCTGTTCTGCTCCCCACTCTGCCTCTGGTAGATCTGCTCACCTCCCACGGGGCCTAACCCCCAGTTCTTTTATGCAAAAAATAAGAAAGATCAAATGTTAAGTTTTCGAAGAGGCCAGCAGCCCACCATCATTCTTGTTCCCATTATAGCCTCCTTTTGATATCTTCCTATCACTTCTACCTGAAATTGTCTTTTATTTATTTATCTTCCTGCATTTTCTGACATCTATCCACTTAATATTTTAAGTTTTGTTCCCCTGACATTCCTCCAGTGCCTATCACAGTGCAAGGTAAACAGTTGAGGCTCAGATGCAGGTTAGATTAGACAGGCTTGGGAATCAGGTCTTGATTACATCTTGCTTAATCCCCCTCCCCCATCAAGCTATTTATACTCTCTGGATCTCACTTCCCTCTTCTATGAAATGGACATATCACGGTTAGATGTGTAACTAAATGAAAATAGATAGCACAAGTAAAGCTGGTGGCAGGAATAGGCTAAGTGGTGGCTGGGATTACTATTATTAGTCTCCTGTCTCGCCCGCTCCTCCCCTCAGCAGTGTATTTCATAAATCTGCCCGTTTTGCTCCCCTCTCTGTCTTTGGTGACTTCTCTCACCACCCCTGTATCTCTAGCCTGTATCAGAGTTCTGTACACATAAATAAATAAATCTTTAAAAAAAAAGGGCGGTGTTCCTCAATTTCAGCCCATGTTGCCATGTGATTGAATAGTGGAAGGGGTGAAACATACTTTTCCCAGTGCTTGAGTGTGTGCTTATAAGACTGTAGCTCTGGAGTCTTTTTCTGGCTTCCATGGAACCACACATCCACGAGTTGCTGTGTCAGGGGTAGCTGGAAGCCCAGGGTGTGCACCACCACAATTTCTACATTGCAAACACCCAAGGGTTCACCTCGCTACCTCTTTACACCCCAATTCTCAGCCTGGCTTTGCTCTCCTTCCCACCTCCCCAACACCACTCAGGACACTCACAGACTGGTCCTTTAATTGCCTCCCCCCACTACCACCCCTCCCCACAGGGGTGAGATTTGCCCATTCCAACTTGACCACAGCTTCCTTCACTAGGTGGGTGTAGCCAAGTACTCAGGATGTGGTGACAACAGAGGTGACTGGACATTTCTGCCCTGGCCAGTGCTTCAGGACTACCCAGGCTGAAGTCCCACTGCCCATATAAACCCCAGCTTTTGGGCTCTGTCCTCAGGATGGAAGGAAACTCAAGCCTCTTCCAGGACTGGGAACGCCCATCGTGTGGCGTGTGCACACAAGCCCAGCCACAGCAGTTCTTCTCCAACTATGGAAGGGGGCATGGCCGGCAGGCTCTAGCAAACTTTTTTAGCCCAGCCCGCTGACTCACACCTTCTAGCTCCACCCCCAAGGGGGCTCCAGGGCCCCAGCCCTTGCCATGAGGGTGGCAGCCTAAATGCCAGAGAAAGCTAGTCAACCCAGCAGGAAGTAAGAGACCACAGGTCCGGGGAAGGAAGCCACCCTACTTCTAGCCTTGCTATCCGGTAGTCAGCTGAGGGTTTGGGACCATTCCAGCCCAGGGCTGTAGGTATGCTGGTGCCCTCCCGTCCCAATAAGCCAGCCCTGCACACCTACTCTCCCCCCAAAGTGAAATGAATGAATAGGGGCGAGAAGCAGGAGTTGGCCAGGAGAAACGGAGTGGAGGAGTTGGCCAGGGGAAACGGAGTGGGGAGAGGGCACAGGGGACTGAGGATCGGTAGAAGAAAAAAAAAAAAAAACCTCCAGAGGTAAGAAAGAATATCCACAAAGCTCCTAGTCGAGGGTTTCCAGAGGAGGCCCTCCTCGAAAACTGATCGATCCACCCCTTTTGCGGCAGGACTCAGGAGCGCCACCCCGCCAAGAGCACCTGGCAAGTCAAGACTGGATCGAACCATTTTATTACCTCCCCCTCCTGAAACAAGAAGCGCCGGGCTGGCCGGTCTGGGAAGACTATACCACTGACTCCGCGAGGGGAGCGCGGGCTGGTCGACTGCGCTGCAGCAGGGGGGACAAAACCGAAGGGAAGCTCTGTCCACGACGCCAGATCCAGGTTGGGCAGTGCCGAGAAAGCACCAGCTGTCTGATGCCTGCTCAGTGCCTCCGCCTTCCGGCTGCCATCTCCAGCGACAGCTGCGCGGATCCCGGGATTCCTAAGGCTCGCGAGAGCCTTTCTTCGCTCGGCACTAGCCAGGGCCCCGGGGAACCAGGGGTTCGGTCGCCGGGATCCTCCGTGATGCGCTCTGAGGGAGAAATGGCGGGGTCGTCGGCCGCTCGCTCTGGGCTAGGCTCCTGGCTGCCCCGGGTTTGGGGTGGTTCACGGGATCCCAGATGCTGAAATGGGGAAGCGCTGGCACTGCTAGAACTCAAGACCTCTGGTCTCCCAGGACCTGGGCGATCTGGGGATGGCAGAAACTGTAGGTTACATTGGTCTGTAGGGCAGGGATCAGAGAGCTGGGCTCTTAACTGAAGAGGGGAGATCCCAAGGGCTATGGGAGATGTAGACAACTCTCTTTTGAGAAAACTCCCTTCAAGGTCTGGACATGTCCCTCAGGAACCCACACCATACTTCAGGCTGCCCTATGCTTCCTTTCCACAGACTGTTCTCCTAAATCCAGGAAACACCTCAGAAATCATCATGATCCCCAAAGGCTATCAAACCCTGACCTTGGTGAAGAGACCCCAAATCCCTCCTATCTAGGACCCTAAACTCTTCATGCGCAGCTCACCTTCCTAGACTTCAAATCCTTTCCTTTCAGATGGCTGATCTTTCAGATCTAGACCTCCCTATTGCTTTACCAGCCAACCCAATCTCTCCCTGCTGAGACCCACTATCCTTTCCCTTGAGGGACCCTGAAGCCTCCTTCAGAACATTTGCTTTTGTCTCAGAAACTTTTCTTTTTCTTCCCTCCAAGTAACTCAAAAGCCGCCCTCTGAAATCCACCCATCTTCCCATTCTGGGACCCTATCTACCTTGTCTCCAATTTGGAGCATACCATGATCCTACATAGATATCAAACCCCTGTCCCTCCTGATGGAAGCGACCCATCCCTTCCCACTCAGGACATCAGTGTCTCCCCTCTGGAATCCTCCCCTCCTCTCTAAATGGCTGAGAAACCCACCATCTCTTTTCTGGGGCCCTGACACCCCTTCAGGTTTGCCAGGGTGGGTCACAAGAGGCCTGCGAAGCACGAGATGGAGCCTGGGACTGCCTGTCCGAATCTGCTCCAGAACCTGGGCATGGGAGAGGCCCTGAGTTGACTCTCCATTTATGCGAAGCACGAGATCCCCAGCCTGCAAGAGTGCAAGTGGAGAAGAACTGTAGAAAGGGCATAAGGAGAGTGCCTCCTAACAGAGCAAGAACGGGACTAGCAATGTCCAATGGAGGGTGCCTTATGCTCACTTGCAAACGACCACAGCGCTGTGCAGGCCCATCCTTCAGCAGCTCACCCACTGCCAATGGAGTGTTCCCAGTCGCATCTCGTCCGCCGCTTAAAGTAAAACCAAAGCCCACGGGGCCGCGAACCAGTTCTACGCAGAACTGACCAGAGCCCTGAAGATGCTTCAAAGCACAATGTGCCTTAACCTGGGTCATTTGAGGCCGTGTGGTACGTGTACCCAAGGTGTTGGGCTGACGATGCTGAAGTAAGAATAAAAGTGTTCACACATTGCCAATCTCATTGTTTCGAGGCCTTAGTTAGGACAAGGTGGTACCTGGGATGGATGATCCACCAAGGTAGGATTAGGGAGGCGTCTGTCTGTGACCTCTATCTCGGCAGAATCCAACATGCAGGTGGCTGGGGGATTGAAGAGGCAATTAAAAGAGTGCGTGGAAGCTACCCACTATGAGCCTCTGACTTAATATTCTACATTTACCTGTTTTACTTGACTCGAGAATACACTTACAAATTGACCTACTGTTTTAACTAATTTGCTCACACAATTAGCTGTACTGATTACTCTCTCATAACCAGCATTCGGGGTCCAGGTGTTTGAAGAGTGGTCCTTTCCTTCCCACATCCCTCTAATAACACGCAGACTCCGCCCCTCCAGTGACAGTTGGAGCCCCATCCTCAATTGTAGGAGGTTCACACCCCCATATTAGCATTCCAGGCAGCCCGCACCCAGAGCTTCCACCCCGCCTCCTAGGAACGCCTATCCGAGCCCCGCTGATAGGGGCCGCGTCCAACCTCTCACCTTCGCTAATCTTCCTGCACTCACCTACTGCGATAAACACCTGCTATGGGAACCCCCAAGGCCCCGCCCTCTGGAGCTCCCTCCGAGCCCCACCTCTCCACTCACACCGTGGGCTCAGGGCTGGAGTAACTAAGGACCCAGGCCTGGCGGCCACCTCAAGAGCGACCCCCACCCCGACCTTATCCCGCGGGCGGCCCCGCCCCCGTCACG